ATTGTACAAATTGAATTTTGATATTCATTAGATACACATAAAATATTCTGGTTGTTGTTGTAAACTCACTATTGGAATTGTTTTCGAAGATATTTTATCTACTTGGAGGAATTCATCAAAGTCTTCAAAAGTTATAGAAAATGAAAATACATTTTTTGAAAATTTTCAACACATCGAAATCAATGAGAAATTTTCTCATAACTTTCAAATGAGTAAAATCGACGAAGAATTGTGTAACATTAATCAAAACAAACAACATGATGGTCTTTTGAAAAATGTCGAGTGTAAAAATCATTTTATTTGATCATCACTATAATGCATGACAAATATTGTTGTTTATTGATATTCCAACAGGAGCGATTGGATTATTTCTTTGCCAAAGACAAATTCTTTGTTTAACTGCTTGACGAAAACGTTTTGATGAGAATAAAAATATATAAAATGTACTCTAAAAACAGATACAAGAACTATAAAATGATTTTCGAAATAAAATAAAACATACAGCATAGTATTCATAAGCCATAAGTGCCGTGATGATATAAAGAAAATTCTCTATATCTATTCGAGTTGAACTCTTAGTGATCCCCGTTGAAAAAAATATATATGCATTGTAAGTAGCATAAGGTGTTTGACTGATAATAATCAATATCACTTGTATTATTATCGTTTTAGTTAATTGACGATCAAAATGATCTTCTGTAAGATTTCGAGTTTGTTGAATATTTCGACAAGTTAAGCAACCAAATACAATTAATATACTAACGGGTATGAAACATAAACACAAAAAACTAAATATTGGAACATAAACACCATAGATGACATTTGTATATGTGCATATATGACTCACAGGTGAAATATCAAAGAAAAGAAATGATGGAATACTATGCATCCATGTTAGGATAATAAGAATAACTACAATTCGATAAGTCCATTTTATTTGACTTTTACGTCGAAGAGAAACCTCTCGTGATGTTATCAAATATTGATCAATTGTAGATAAACATGCACAACTAAATGATATAAAACCAAAAATACCTGCGAAAGTTATTCGTGATTTACACCAAATAAGTGATGTACGACTATAATCAAGTCCAAAACAGACATTCAATATACGTAAGAGAAGATTAGGGATCATTTGAGTAAAATTATGAATAGAAGCAATTAACATATAAAATGTCGATGGATTTGTTCGATAAGTCTTCACACTTGAAAGTATATATATATTAAGAAAATTTCCAATCAAACCCATGATGAGCATTAAAAAACCAAAGTAAATTGTTATTTGTTGACCAATGAAAACCAAAGACATAATGAAAATTTCCTTATGATAAGAATAATGATGAAATGAGATTTACAAAAAGATAGGCTGAGTAGACATAACTAATGATGAAAATATAATTGCATACTTCACTGAGAGTTTTCTGTATTCTTCAATATAATAATTATTATAATTGAAATAGAAACATTTTATCTAAAAAGATCAAAGAAAATTTTACTTTTGTCTTGTGAGATGGAAATTATAAAGTCTGAAAATATCAAATCTAAAAATAGAGAGAAAATTAGTACAGCAGATTTAATCATTCATTTGAATTAGTTTGTTTTCACAAACACTATCAAAGTGACTTGTCTTTTCAGTCGACCAAGTTCCTATTTGTCGCATAGACACGTAAGAATGAGTTGCAAACATTTTGTCGACAAACGACATTTTAATCTGAACTTAGTGTGACTACTATTATGTCGAAAACTAGAATAGAAGTAAAAATGTAGAAGAAGATTTAGATAAGAATATTGTAACTGTATGGATGAATCGAATTGAAAGTAACTTTGATATCGATATTCTCAGAATTTGATGTACTGGAATTTTTGGCATAAAAATCTATTGGCAAAGTGTAATGGACCCAAATGAAGAATATGCTACAATATTCAAAAGTATTCTTTAGATCTTTGGTTTTAATTTTAATGATTCATATTCGTTTTATTCTCTTAATGATGATTCGATGAAATATCAAAATTGAATGTTAGAAGTTTCAAACATTTCGAAGTAAGAGATCCATTAGATATTATCAGGATAATCAGTAATAACAATCTCAAAGTCAATGCAGAGATATAAATCACCTTTTTCCTCTATTAATTGTATCATCAATCGATTACGATAAATCCGAAGAGTTATTTTTGGTATAAAAACATTTCTAAACTTCATTAATCTAAAGGAAATTAAGAAAGAAAATGATTTAAAGATTTCTCTACGATCGAATATTATTAGATTAAACTGTTCATTTCATAACATGAAGTATCTTGATGATTTGTTGAAAATTGAAAAAAAATAATTGTAACCATTTGTCGAATTGATACCAAACCAAAATTAACGTATATGTTCTTTTGCGAGTATTGGATGGGAGTAAAATTCATGTATAAAGAAGCTCTACTCATTCTTTCGTCAAGTAAACGAAAAAACAAGAACATCATTCATCTTTTTTCTCCACATTACATGAGTTTTCTGAAATGCTGAATGATGAGAAGAAATTTATATCTACGATTCATGTTTATAATCAGAGGATATTTAAAGTTGATGTTATAGAACAATGTGTAAGTTCGTCGTATAATTTGAAGACGATTAAGTGTTTCATTCAATTGATATTATCACGACTAATGCACTGATAATCGTGTCTAATGAATGTAAAAGTCAAAATATTGTTCAAAACAAATGTTGGCATCATCGTTCGTTTCAAATACTTTGTTGTTATTTTAATTGTATTTGTAGTTAAACTCTCCTTAGTGTTAAAATTCATTATTCTCATACGAAAAAAGATGGAGATCACTATCATAACATCTACATTACTATCAACAACGATAACAATAACAGAACATTCATCAATATCTATGATTACCATCACTACTAAAAGAAATAGGAAGATTTCTTTGAATGAAGAGTATCAAGATCAATGATCGTTTCGTTTCATATAAGATATAAACTGCTTCAATGAATTATGATCCGATAACAGAAACTTGCCGATGTTTACTGATAAAATGAATAATCAGCAATATGAACATACTGTAACGTATACTAAAGAACGGACGAGTATTTGTAACTGATGATACTCTGAATATGAATGTGGTATAGATTTCTTTAATTCATAGTAAATTGAATCAATAGACTGAAAATTTACGCGCAGTTGTTTCAATATTCGTGCACATAGAAAAGTCGAGAGAATAGACGAAATATTCTACATCGAAAAAGATATTCGATTCAAACGAAGTGTAATTTCTGTCAAACTTATGTTTATTTATTGAATCAAGAAATCTGAAGAGAAGTGTTAATATAAGAATTCATTGAGATCGAACATATTTACAAATCAGATAAAGAAGTGAAGTTGATAATGAATTGACTTATGATCCTTCAATAGAATATAAATGAAAGTAGTTCGATGATCTGTTGTCTCTCCTATACTAAATCCAATTTTCTTAGTTTCTGTGAGGAACAAATTTGATTTTATTTGATGAGAGAAGAAAAAAACAAGTTAAGTTCCAGGTTTCACACGAATATTTTCTAAACATAAACATAAATCATGATGACAATGTCCATATGTATCTGCACCCATATTATGAAGATGCAAAGCGAGATCGATATCACCATCCAGAATACAAAAATGATATAAACAAGTTGCATTCATTTTTTTCTTAAATCCATCATTAAAATTATTATCTCGAAAACGTTCCCAATCTCTTTTTGTCCATTTTTTCCAATTTTGTAACNATGTGAAGGAAACTTGAAGGGTCTATGGATCAGATTCCAATTCCTCATGGAATTTCAGGATTTTTTATGGTTTGTTTAGGGAGCTTAAGAAATGCCCTTTCTTAGTCCTTGGACACTGCTGCATCACATCCACACCCTCACCCTCACCCTAATATGAATAATTAGCGATATGAACATATACTGTAACGTATACTAAAAAACGGACGAGTATTTATAACTGATGATACTCTGAATATGAATATTACAGAACTCTATTAATTTTGTTCAATAAATTGATTTAGTTAACTTTTAAAATGAGTAAGAATGTGCATAGATGACTCTCACTCGCATTTATACACTTTCTTCGACCTGAATTCTATGCTAAGATTTCTTTCTCAAATCTTCACTTCTGTTGGAATTTGAATTAAACTTCAACTCCATAAACAAAAAGAAAAGTATTGAAATATTATCACGTTTTATACGGAATATTTTCAAATGAAAATGACAATGTAAAAGTATTTGGTTTTTTTTCTTAGATTTTCTTAGGAAAATCTTCAAAATTTTAACTTATACGAACGCGTACGTCTAGATGAAAATCAGATGATCTTCAATAACGTTTTAAATTTCATTCGTCAGATTGTAAAAGATAAGATGAACTCAATATGTCAATCTTATGTGATATAAATTTATTTAATTCATAGTAAATTGAATCAATAGACTCACAAATTGATCTGCAGTTGTTTTAATATTCGTGTACATTCAAAAATGAATGAAAAAAAGAAATTCAATCTAAACGAAATGTAATTTCTGTTTATTTATTAAATCAAAAAATATGAATAGAAATATTAATATTTGTCAATTGTTCAATTTGAAAATGATAAGATTCATCAAGTTTTCTCATTCTCATCATAAAATATTAATATAAGAATTGATTGACATCGAAAATATTTTGAAATCAGATAAAGAAATGAAGTTGATAATGAAAATCGAAAATATTTGTTTAATAAAATAGAATAAAACTTTATGTATTGCTTTTGAAACACTTTGAATAGAAGAATTGACTGATCCTTCAATAAAATATTTTTATAAATGATATCTTTGATCAATTTAATTATCGATAATGTAGTACAATTAAATTACTAAATTTCTCTTTAGACGATTACAACAAATGTCGATAATCTTTTGTCTTTTCTATATAAAATCTAATTTTGTTAGTTTCTGTGAAGAACAAATTTGATTTTATTAAATGAAAAGAAGAAAAAAAAAGTTAAGTTCCAGGTTTAACACGAATATTTTCTAAACATAAACATAAATCATGATGACAATGTCCATATGTATCTGCACCCATATTATGAAGATGCAAAGCGAGATCGATATCACCATCCAGAATACAAAAATGATATAAACAAGTTGCATTCATTTTTTTCTTAAATCCATCATTAAAATTATTATCTCGAAAACGTTCCCAATCTCTTTTTGTCCATTTTTTCCAATTTTGTAACCATTGTAAACTTGCATCATTTCCAATATAATACCAATCACGACATTTTCCACATCGAGCACAAAGATGTCCACTACACGACATTTGTTGAGGATTTGCAGCTTCATAATTCTTTATTATATCCATTGCTAAACAATAGATCACATATGAACATGAAGAATTATCAGAAAAGAATCCATCTTTTACCTGAAGTCATTTTGAACAACAACGAAATGTGAAAATCTACAAAAAACGTTTAATAAATGACAATGATTTGTACAATTATTAACGACACCTCAAGAGACAAATCGTAAAAAGTAACTATAATACACGATTTGATCTCTTTTCTTTCTTATTCTTATTGTAATTATGAATACAATCCGTTTCTTTTGTTTAAAAAGAAACCAAATAAATCGAGATATAATACGTGATGATTTTATGTATTGACACATTCATTCTTGTGGTTATTTCATAATTTATATAAAAGAAACGAAAGAAAAGGACGGTATTATCAAATGGATCTTTTTTTTCTCTTAATCAACCATGAAATTACATTGTCCTTTAGACGATTATACATCGTTATTACCTTTTTGTACAATAGACAATATGAATAATCGTTTCTTTTCATTTGCATTTTTACCAAATATTATCATATTTATCGGTTTTCGAGTAAAATAAATCTTAGGTCACAATCATTCAAAAGAGACGATTTCTGTATGCGATGGTATTTGGATTTTCATTAATCTCTACTCACATTTGTGATTGAAATGTGTTTCTCTCCAAAGGACACATCGCATCAGTAATCATCTTCTGTGCGAATCTTTAAATAATATATAATGAGGAAAATGAAATGCAGCAAAGTACAATTGATGGTTTCTGTTTCTATTCGATCTGAGGATTTGAATGCAAAGACAAGACTATCCATTGAACAGATTGAGATCATCTAAATTCATATCACATTCGCGAGTGTTTCCTCTTCGGATTTCGTCGAAAGATTTATTTTGAATCGAAAAATAGTTGTGATGGATTTCAAATGTAACACAGTCATATTCAAACAACGATCAAATCTTTGGACAAATATGATGATAACTTTATTGTTACACTGCGTTTTTTTTTCTTCTTTAGCTAAGTACAACTAATACTAAAAGTGAGTCTCATTCAGCAATTGATCACTATTTCATCATAGTCTGGTTAATTTCAAGTGCCATCTTATTGTATTCCTGAGCTTTAGAATCCATTCCTAACTTTTTGTACACTTCCCCAATCTTATGGTATGTAATGGCAAAGTCTTTATGACTCGCAGGCAAATAGTTCCTCTGAATATCCAACACTTTACTAAGATTTTCAAGACTCTTTGAATGCAAACCGAGCTTGTAGTACACCAATGCCATGTTCTGGTACGTCGGCGCTAGACGGGGATGTGTCGCAGGGAGAATCTTTAGTTGAATCGCAAGCTCTTTCTCATAGTTCTCCAAAGCTCTTGAATAATCGCCCAATTGGGAATACACCAAGCCAAGGTTGTTATACGTCTCGGCTACATGTGGATGCATCACAGGAAGAGCTTTCTGTTGAATTTCAAGCGCTTTGTTATAATATTCAAGGGCTCTTGCGTAGTCGCCCATCTTAGAAAATAATAAACCGACGTCGTTGTATGTCGTCGCTAGACTTGGATGCATTTTAGGGAGTACTTTGTGTTGAATTGTGAGAGCTTTATCGTAGTTTTCCAGGGCTTTTGCGTACTCAGCCATGCCAGAATGCACCATACCTATGCCATGATACGTAGTCGCTATATTCGGATGTGTCTCAGGAAGAGCTTTAAATTGAATGTCAAGAGTTTTATTATAGTACTCCAGAGCTCTCGTATATTTGTTCATAGCCGAATACACTGTAGCAATGTTATTGTACGTCGCCGCTAAATTTGGATGCGATACAGGCAGACTTCTCTGTTGCATTTTAAGTACTTTGTAGTAATTTTTCAGAGCTCTGGTACGCTCGCCTATAGCAGAATACACTCCGGCGATGTTATTGTATATCGATGCTAAGTCTGGATGGTCCTCAGGAAGAGCTTTCTGTAGGATTTCGACGGCTTTCTTGTAGTTTTCTAGTGCTCTTGAATATTCGCCCATATTTTTGTCATATATGTTGGCAATGTTATTGTAAGTTAACGCTAGGTCTGGGTTCTTTCGAAGTTGAGCTTTCTGTTGAATAGCAAGAGCTTTTTTGTGGTGTTCTAAAGCTCTCGCGTATTCGCCCATATGAGAGTACACTATACCGATATTGTTGTATGTCTTCGCTAGGTGCGGATGTGTCTCTGGGTGAGCTTTCTGTTGAATTGCGAGAGCCTTGCTGTAGTTGTCAAGAGCTTTTGAATGCTTACCCGTGACAAAATACATTACAGCGATATTATTGTACGTCGACGCTAAATGTAGATGCTTTTCAGGAAGAACTTTCTGTAGGATTGCAAGAGCCTTGTTGTAGTTTTCGAGAGCTTTTGAGTAATTGCTCATCTTGTAATATGAGCCAGCGATGTTATTGTAAGTCGATGCTAAGCGTGGATGCATTTCAGGAAGAACTTTCTGTAGGATTTCAAGAGCTTTGTTGTAGTTTTCGAGAGCTCTTGACTGGTCGCTCATGTGAGAATATACTGAACCGATGTTGTTGTATGTCGATGCCAAGTCGGGATGCAATACAGAGAGATTTCTCTGCTCAATGTCAAGCGCTTTGTTGTAGTTTTCGAGAGCTCTTGAGTACTCACCCATGTCAGAATACAGTGTAGCGATGTTGTTATACGTTGTCGCTAGTTTAGGATGTGTCTCAGAGAGACTTTTCTGCTTAATGTCAAGAGCTTTGTTATAGTTTTCCAGCGCTCTTGAATGCTCTCCCATCTGGTGATATAGGGAAGCAATGTTACTATACGGTGTCGCCAGTTTCGGATGCAAAGGAGGGAAGGCTTTCTCTCGAATTGCGAGAGCTTTGTTGTAGTACTCTAGTGCTTTTGAATATTCGCCCATATTGGAATATACTACACCGATGTCATTGTACGTCGTGCCTAGACTCGGATGTAGCATGGGGAGAGTTTTCTCTTGGATTTCAAGAGCTCGATTGTAGTTTTCCAGTGCTCTCGAATGGTCACCCATTTTGCCATAAATAGAACCTTGCTTTCTGTAATTAGATGCGAATTCTGAATGAGTTGGAGAGAGAATTTTGCTTTGAATATCGAGTGCTCGTTGATAATTGACCAAGGCTTCGGAGTATCGAGCGTCCTTCTGATATTTTGACGCAGCTTCGGTCAATGCAGCAGCTAAATGATAGTAATGGTTAGAAGATCAAGAAATCATTTAAAATAACGCTGAGAATCATAATAACTTTTCAAATACGACCGGTCAGAATTTATTCTTTGAGAAACTTGAACATACCTTCTCTAAGTTTCAAAGTACGTTCGATGAATTTTTTGGATAGGAGGACAACGAGTGGAAGACTTAATATGGTCAGAATAAACATGCTGATGAGAATCCAGTGACACGAGTTTAGTGGCCTTCGAAACATTCGCTTTCTCCATCGACGTTGATCAGTATTCACGTGGTTTTCATCGCGTCCTAACAGAAATACATTGACCGTTGTTTGAATCTCGGCAGTGATGCCAGGAATGGATTTTGACACATCAGATATCGATGCTAAACAGAATAAAATTTCTCGAATTGAAATATTTCCCTGATTTTTACTCATTTGATTTGCTTGAAACTCTACAAGAGATGAAATTTTTATGTAGTGTGATCATAAAACATCGCCAAGAAGAAAATTCAATCGTACTCGGTCGTTGTTCGAAAGAAAATCTTGGATTTTGATTGAAACAGCTCGATAATCAGATAATGTTGCCATAGGGTAATGACATAGAAGAGTGAGAAAATGGATTGTAGACATTTAAATAGATGTTACTTATAATGCCAAACAGGAAAAGGTCGAAAGATTCTATTTTGTTATTGATTTGATTTTCGCTTCACTGAGAAATCGATAAAAGAGATAAATAACATCGGAGAAAAAAAGATGAAAGATCTCATAATATTTACTGCGTGATTTACAGCAAATCAGCTAAATTATCATATGAAATTTAATAATAATCTTTATTTAACTGAGATTTTTAGTTTTAACTAACGAGGAAAAGTAGTAGTCTTTCATCATAGATGCTTCAATAACCGATATTATTGGATATCCTATTCTCTTGAGCACGGTTGTTGTTGTAATAAATGAACAAGCGATTAACATCGATCCAATGATAATTTTTCTTCTTCATTATGAAAGTTTAGTGTTAAATGAGGAGAGAGAACATGACATTGTAGGGTTGAAATAATACATGTTTATTCTTTTAGTAAAACAAATCTCGCATCTTCTATTGTGAAGACCACTAAGAACAAAATGTATATTTGTTTTTCATTTTAATGATCAGACAATTCAAAGAGAATGAAAAGGTAAAATGACTTTGTTATTGTGATGATTCTCTTTTATAAGTTAATTGCAAAAACACCTTACAATTTCATTTTTTGACTTTTTCAAGTCAAACAGTTGTATATTTTTCTAATTCATCTACGCCAAATGTACTTTTAATCATGACCTCTAAAATATTTCTTTATACGAATATAAAAAGCATTAATAGAAATAATTAGTCCATTTTCTGAATTTCATTCAACTAAAAACAAAAGTTATCTTCTAATACAATGGCGAGACAACATTTGTTGATTTTCTTCGTCATTTTCTGTTTTGTATCGAACGATTTCATCAATGGATCACATTTTCGCGGTGGAATCATTTCATGGCGTCCATTGAACAGTACACCATCGGGTAGTACAGCGAGAATTCTCCTTCATCAACGATATTTTTTTGATCGAATGGCAACTTATTTTAATCCTTATCCATCTCGTTGTACGGAAGCATTTGTCACCGGTGAATCTCCAATTCCAGTCATTGGTACGATGGATTGTTTGGCAAATTGTCCAACTTCGACTTATTCTCCAATTTCGATCGCCGTGAACACCACAGATTGTAACACACTTACAATTCTTTCATCATGGGGTGGTGAACGTTATGATCCCGTGATTTTACCGTTAACAACAGTAATTACAATTGGTTACACAGGAAATGCATGGTTAGGTGCTCTTTACAATGACACCAATGGTTGGTGGGCTGTTGTCAATCGATTAAATTTAGCTTTGAGACCTGATGGTTATATCAATAGTAGTCCAGTAACAACAACATTACCTGTTGTTTTATATTCAATCAATGTACAAATTGTTCATACTATTCAAATGGCAGATAATGATGGAACGGATATTTTACAATGTCGCCGAGCCAATTCGAATTCATTGGGAAATTTTAATCAAGTCGATGAATGTGAAGGTATTTGTTATGGTTTACCATCTGGAACAATTTTAACTGATCGAATTGTACATTATCTTTTATTTTACCAACAGCGAATATTTATTATGCATGTGCTGTTCAAATTGAAGATTATTATAATTCTGCAGCAACAAATCCAATGAGTTCAGTTCCAATTCAATTTCTATTTTATGGATATATACCTTCTAATACTGCATGTTCACAACGTCCTCAAATCATTGGTGATCGGCCAAATAGAGGTAAAAGATTTATTCCTTTTGAATAAACATCGTCCAATTAATTATTTCTTTTTCAGCTTGTATTGGAGTACCGATTGGTAATTGAAACTCATGAAATATTCTTCCTTTTCTGATCTATCTTGACTTTTCAGGTATTCAATTAAATGAAACTGTCATTGTTCAAACATATTGTCCTGGTCAAACCATTGTTGATTTTATCACAAGTTCTCCACTTGGAATGATGCATAGTCCAATCATACAAACAGGTGCTTGTAAGTTTCTTCACTTTTTTCTCTTCATTTAAAATATTAATTTCGAAATGTGATAGTTTTGTATACAATGACATTAACATGGACACCAATTGCAAATCAAGCTGGTCCTCAGGGATTTTGTGCTGGTGCTGTTGATAATAGTAATTTACAATCAGATCCATGGTGTATCACATATTTGGTTGATTATACATCACCAGATCTCATTCGTCCAACAGTTGTACAAGGATCAGCAAGCCCTGTTGGAACAGTTTTTGCCAATCAATCAATGTTTTCAATTCAAGGTTTATTCCTTTTACATTAAGTTTTTATCTGGATATTCGATTTTGTTTTTTAGCAACAAGTTTAGTTGGTCGTCCAACTCGTAATGGAACAAATGTTTGTTTTAACGATGCTGCAACGAATAACACAGTTTTCTGTTATGATGCCGGTTATTCAGCAAATGTTATTTATACAGGATATACCATTGTTATCATCACTAATTATACATGGACACCCGGAGCATTTTATTATATTACAATGGATAGTGGATTCGCAAGTGGAAGTGTCTTTTGTCGTAAGTTGTATCGAGAGAAATCGATTTTCTCACGTGAACTTGCAATTTGAAAAGATGCGGAATCAACACCGATTCGTGATAAAACATTTTGGACATTTAATATTTGGAATCCAGCAGTTTCATCGACAACGACAACAACAACAACACCATTTACAACTGCAACCGTCACAACAAAGCCAACATCAACAACAAGTATCAACACTCTCGTAAGTTATATTTATCTAATTACATACAGATGTTCTTTGATCTATTCAATCGTAGTTGACAACAACTGGAATTGTTATAACCACAACAATTCCGATGACAACCAATGCAACAACACCAACCACTACATCAACAACAACAGCTGGTAACGAGCCATTTCGTTCCTTCTAATCGATCCAATCTTTCTTTGTAGCTCCCACAACACCAGGTCCAACGATAAGCGCTGCGACAACTGAATCAACAGTCGCCATGGTTTATCCCCAAGATTTCGTAAGTGAAATTCTATTCGATATCTTCTATTTTTCAAACGAATTTCATAGGAAGATGCATGTAAACAAACAGTAGCGATCATGACAACTGTTTCGTTAGTTACATTTATGCCTATTCATGCTTTAATAATGTACGCTGCAATGAATAGATTTGCCAATCAATTTAATCCCGTGAAAATTGATGCGAAAACGAGACACAAATTACGAATGAAACGAATTCGTCACTGATGCAACACAACGAATGTTTATCGATTTGATTTGACTAATCGGACTTTCTATTTTAATTAAATATGAGACCGGATTCCATATGAATAAACTCAAAGTTAACATTTTTCATAAATAAAAACCTCGACTTTCAATATCTGACGGCATTTCATCACAGGTGATAAAGATTATGATACACGATTATTTGAAAAGATTCGAAAGTATTAGTATTGATTGATATAAGAAAAAGAATCAAGACTAATATTGACACAAGAAATGAAAAGATCCTATAAAAAGTACCTTCGTTGTCTTATTCGAAACATTAATTCAATTGTTTAATCCCAACGATGCAACTCAACTATATTTGTCTGTTTGCGAGTGCGGCTTTTCTTCTATCATTCGTTGATTGTCAAGTGACCAATAGTACAGGAAAACCATTGGGAACCAATAAATGCAATGCAACATATTGGGAATACACAAAAGACGCTTACGATGTTTATTATTTGGGTGAAAAGATCAGCGGAGCTCGTGCAGATTCGTTTCGAATTCTCAAAGATGGATATTCGAAAGATGCTTATGATGTGTTTTATATGGGCAAACAAGTCATTGGAGCACGTGCCGATTCTTTTCAATTGATCACTGATGGATATTCCAAAGATGCTTACACTGTTTATTTTGGAGATAAAAAGATCGATGGTGCACGTGCAGATTCATTTCAATTATTACCAGATGGATATGCCAAAGATGCTTATAGCGTTTTTTATCTAAGAAAAAAACTCGAAGGTGTTCGAGTAGATTCGTTTAAATTCTTAACAGATGGTTATACAAAAGATGCGTATACGGTTTATTATATGAGAAAGAAAGTTGAAGATGCACGACCAGATTCTTTTCAATTTGTTGGTGAAAATTATTGGAAAGACACGTATTATGTTTATTATATGGGTGTGAAAATCAATGGAGTTCGAGCGGATTCATTTAAATTATTAACAGATGGATATTTTCGAGATGCATATGATGTTTATTTTATGAGAAAGAAAATTGAAGGTGCACGAGCAGATTCGTTTCGAATCATTGGAAATGGTTATTCAAAAGATGCTTATAATGTTTATCTCAATGCCAAGAAAGTTGTTGGTGCACGTGCTGATTCATTTCAAATCGTTGGTAATGGCTTTGCCAAAGATTATCGAAATATCACTTGTATTGATCAACAATAGTTTTCTCAAAAGAAGATTTTCTCTGTGAAAATTTGATTTTTCTCTTTAATAAATATCAAAAAGGCGATTATTTTCATTTAACCTGACGAACCATCGAATATATCAAAACATAATGTAACTTATCGCTGTTTTGCACCGTGAAAGTACCTTTAAAATGAAAGAAGAAAAGTAAATCGATGACTTATAATTTACTTTGCTGATTTTTGTATATATTTTTTCTTTCTCTTTGCAATATTTATTCAATTAGTCAATGTTGATATTACTTTCTCTCTCTCTCTCCTGTCCTTTCGCTTTTTCCTCTACAAGTGAGAATGTATTGACGTCATTCGACTGTCGCATAATTATTTTTCTTCTTCCGTTCGTATGAGAAAGTCACAAGTTCGTTGCGCTCAATAGAAGTGATAATTAACGAATGTTCTTTATTGTTTGTTTTGACTCGATTCTTTCGAATATTTGAAAATGAATGATAATGAAATGTTTTCTTTTCTCATAGTCACTGATTTTCATTTGGAATAAAATGAGAAATTTGTCAATAATTGTATTCGTATTGTTTACGATTTGTTGGAAATCGAAAGTGGTGAAATCAACGTGGCCACAAACTTCTTCCAATTTGAAATTAATTGGTTTTTTTCCTGAAGAAATCACTGAAGAATCAGATGATGGATTATGGATCATTCATTGTCGTTCAATGTTTCATTCAGCTCTTGTTTTATCTCAAAAATATGAAATGAAATTTAATGGAGAATATTTAACATCTGAAGAAATCTTTACTGATAATGAAATAATGTTTACATTTAATAAAACTTGTGAAAAAGTGTTAAAATCTAATATCATTGGATTTATTGGTCCATCGAGTTCTAATGAAGCTCGATATGTTTCATCATTTGCTCATCGATTAGGAATTGTTGATATTTCTTATTCATCAACAAGTTCAGATTTGTCGACAATCGACAGTGGAGCATTTTATCGAACATCTTCATCCGATGAAAATCTTGTTTTAGCTTTGCAAATTTTATTTGAACAATTTCAATGGAAATCTTGTTTAATAATTTATCAAAATGATGAATATGGTTATAATGGAATGCATTTACTCAGTCAAAAACTAAGTGAAAAACAAATCAAAATCTTTGAAACGATTAAATTTGATATAAATCAACAAAATTTACAAATTGATTTAAAAAAAACACTTTCAAATAGTTTATCACGTCTTATTATCGTTTGGGCAAATATAAAATCAACGAAAAAGATTTTAAACAAAGCTTTAGATAAGAATCTTATTGGACAAGATTTTCTTTGGATTTTAACAACAACTGTTTCATTAAAAGATTTCAATAAAGATCAAAAAGAAAAACTTATTGGAATTCTTTCAATTGAACCTTTTCAAGAAAATGTCATTAATTCATCATTATTAAATCAAGCAATGAATATTTGGAAAACTTACGAACCAGAAACATTTCCAGAAGAAAAGAAAATTAGTATTTATGCATTAATGACATTTGATGCAACATGGTCATTGATTTTATCATTAAAAGAACTTTGTTCGAATAAATTGTTCTCATGTTTAGATTTTCTCGATGTTTCTGATTGTTATAATCGACGATTTTTGAATTCTCAAAAGTATTATCAAACAATTCAATCAATAAAGTTTTTAGGAGTTTCAGGATATATACAATTTGTTAATGGAACACCTGATCGTTTCAATACAATGAATTATTTAATTAAAAATATTCAACCAATCAATTTAACTGAAAATGATGTTAATTATGTTCCTGTTTTACAATGGAATAGCAATTCGATCAAATGGAATCAAATTAATGAAATTTTCTGGCCAAATCGATCGAAAAATATTCCAAAAGATCATAAATTAATCTACGGTAATCATTCAATTTTGAGAAATATTCAATTTCAATTGTATTTTCATAGGTCAAAAGATTCGAATTGGTATCATTGAATCTCCTCCATCGATAATATTGAAAAATTCCAAGAAAATTTATGAAAATATGAAAGATAATTATCAAAGAATCAATTTAGAAGATTTTGATGGATTTTATAAAGATTTTTTAATGTATTTAGAAGAAAAAATGGGTTTTATTCCAGAAATAATTTTAGCCAAACCTTCAATTCCATATGATAAATTAGTAAGTGAAGTTGCGAATGATTCATTTGATATTGTTATGAGTAGTATTGATATAAATGCTAAAAGAAATCAAATTGTTGATTTTTCAAATGCAATTATGCCTGCGTCATATCGAATTGTTATAAGAAAATCTCAATTAAATTATTTTCATATATTTAAACCATTTCTTTGGGCTTTATGGTTACTTTTATTAATTATTATTCCATATACAAATATTTTAATTTGGATTATTGAAAAAAAAACTTTAAATAAACAAAATAAAGAATCTTTATTTGGAATTATGATTGTGATTAGTTATCCAATTTATAATTTATTTCGAACAAATTCTTTACATATAAAAACAAATGCTGGAAGATTTCTTTCTTCAATTTTATGGATTTTACAATTTATTTTATTAATTGTTCATACTGCTGGATTAATTTCATTTTTAATTCCATTAAATTCTAAAATAATTATTTCAGGAATTGATGATATTAAAAATGGAATTTTTCCTCGAAATCGAATTGGAATTCTTGTTGGTTCACAAATTGAAGAATATTATTTAAATTCAATTTCTCATGGAAAAAAAGATTATTTTCCATTAAAAACACCTGATGAAGTTTATACAAAATTAATTAGCGGAGAAATTGATGCAAGTTTATGGAGTAATATTTCAACTGCTTATCATATTAATAATTTATATTGTCAATTAATGACTGTTGGAGTCGAATTTAGTCATAGTTTTTATCAATTGCCGATGAAAAGAGGTTGGTTGTATACAGAAGATTTCAATTGGAATATTTTATCATTTATGGAATCAGAACAAATTGATCGAATATCAGCGAAATGGTTTGGAATAGGGGTGGCACATTTACTTTACTTTTAGAAAAAGTAACTAAGTAAAGTAACTAAAAAGTTACTTAGTTACTAGTAAATAAGTAACTTAACAGTTACTAGTTACTAGTACCTTAGTAACTTTTTAGTTACGTAGTTACTTGTAACTTAGTAACTTATGAATTCTTGGGGATGCAATTACTCATAAACTAATAGTCGATAATTGCTTAATACCATGCAGGCTGTGAAATGACAAGCCACTACGAGACCTATAAGCCAGTTGGAACTAAATTACTCATAAGTTACTAGTTACTAGTAACTAAGTAACTAAAGTAAAGTAACCTATAAAGTAATGAGTAATTGAGAACAAAAAGACTTAGAAGTTGCCAGTTTTTTATTAGTTTAGTACTTTGAGCGAAATGCAATATAAGTTACTAAGTTACTTGTAACTTGGTAACTTAAAAGTTACTTAGTTACTGGTAAATAAGTAACTTAAAAATTACTAGTTACTAGTAACTAAGTAACTCTTAAGTTACCGAGTTACTAGTAAAGTAAAGGTAAAGTGCCACCCCTAGTTTGGAAGAAAAAATTGTTCGAAAACGAATTTATTTAATAATGAGACGAAAAGTTTAGCGAAAACAACAATTACAAAGATTTTTATTACAATCGCTCTTGCATCGATTTTATCGATTTTTATTCATTTTTGGTCAAGTCGAAATCATTTCATGAAATTTCTTATTCGAAATTATCAAAAAATTCATCTCAATTCACGTAAATTTATTCATTTTGAAAAATATTCCATGAAATGAATAAATTCTTTTATTTTAGCGATTGTGATCAATTCGACAACTACTCAATTTGTTCTTATTGATTTATCAACACGTTTAAATGAATTAGCATCTGCTATGTTAGAAGTTTTGTGTTCATTGACAGAAGATTCAATAATCGAATTAGAAATGAATTCGAATTTGAATAAATTATCCAAAGAAAATCTCGTTTTATTTGTTAGTAGTGAATTTGCTTTGACAATGAAAGAACAATTTGGAAAAATATTTATTCTTGAAAATGACAAAAGTAAAATTGATAATGAAAAACGATTTGGAAATGGAGAAGATTTGATTTATTCGTTAGCTGATGAAATTTATCGTTGTTATATGAAAGAATCAAAAGAATATCTTCAAAATGGTGATTTAATCAATGCAAAATTAAAAGAAGAAAAAGCCAATGAAATTCATCATGAATTGAAAAAAATCTATAAATCAATTTCTTCTCTTCAAACACAAATTTCAATCTCAAATCCTCCTTTAACAAAACTCATTTGGATTAAATCAAAAATTCAAATAAATCATATTGAAATCGAAAAAATAGAAAATCATTTTTCCGAAGTTATTTCTTCTTTTTTAGTTTTTAACGATCCATTGATTTGTCATCAACGTATCCTTGACAATGAAATTCAGACAAAAATCTTTCTTATTATCGATTCAAATTATGACGAATCAATTATCAATGATTTTCAAAAACTTTCCAATGTCAAAATTGTGATTCGTTATGGACAAATCTCATCAGAAAATGAAACAATTATTGATAATTACGATGATTTATGTTTTCATTTGACTCATGAACTTCTCACTCATTATAATCAATTGGGTTCTTTCTACAGTAACAAACAAGATGCAAAAACCGCTAAAGACATGTATATCAAAGCACAATTACTTTGTCAAATGGATTTTTGAGAGTGTTGATGTGACGATTTTGACTTGACATTTTTGTGAATTTTAAAAAACCAATTTTCTTTATTTTTAGATGAAAACTATCAATGATATAATCTTCGATAATTTCATTTATCGTCTTGCTCGGTTTTGGTTTTTTATTCTTTATGATATGACAGGTGCACATCTTGCCATATCTTTACCTCATGCACATCTCATGTCATTTATTCATCCATTTTCAAGAACTATTGAATGTAAAGATCAAATAGAGACAAATCTCGATAAACGAATTACTTTATTTACTTATGAAGATAATATTTATTGGTTAATTGAGAATTTTTATTTTCAAAATCGACCACAATTACAAAAAATTCTCATTTTTTGTTCATCAAATGAAGAACAAGATTATTGGACGAAATGGACGGAAAGATATCGACATAAAATTCAAGAACCTTTTTTACATAATGAACTCGATATCAATTTGTTATTGTTCGGTCTTAAACATATTAAAACAGTTCAAAAACAATTTTTCAATGATCATGGAATTTTAAATCGAATTCAGGAAGATAAAAGACTAATTAAACACGCATTAGCCAATTATTTTCATCAAAGAGTAATTGAAGAGGACGATAAAACCAAACAAAGTGAAGAAGCACAATCGTAACACAATTTTTTTTTCTTTCAATATTGAATAAAAAATAAATAAAACAAAGAGTGTGAGGGTGAGAGTGAGGGTGTGTGAACAAATGTTCAATGGTCAGAAGTAGAAGTGATTTTTGAATAGTCCAACATTGACATGAACGAATTTTCAGTCAGGGAGGGTGGGTGGCAGTTGTTCTCAATCATATTCTCATCATCTCTAAAGTGTCAGATATACGGTGGAATCATCCATCTCTTTAAAAGAAGACTTATATTTAAATTTAGGCGGAAGCTTCAGAAATTTCACAAAGTTGATCACTGCTGATTTCGGATCAATATTAGCATTCATTAAATCAAATAGCCAGAACGAAACACTGACAGTAATTGATTCTGAACAAGTGATTTTGGGTTACTGACAAAGTACAGGTTTGCTCTCCACCACAAGATGCTGAATTTTCCCAACTGCTGCGATGTATCCTGGGAATTGAGGAGGACAGTTTGCAGAATCTCCTTGTATTCAGTACTCCCACACGGATTTGTGGGAATGATCAATGAAACCAAAATATTTTTGAGATGTACTTGAAATGAAAAAAAGACCACTTGTGCCCATCATCGTAGGTGTATGCCAGCCTCCGCTGTAAACACGATAGATATAGTCTACATTGAATCGACTTGTGTCATTTAAATCTATATCCTTCCATGAAAGGTACGGAACCATGCAATGTGCAGCTGATTGGAGACCCATCATCGTGACAAAAGCTAACAGTGAATAGCAAAACCAAAAACGCCCCATGTTGTAACTATTGAATGCGCAAACAGCTGAAAATTCAGTGCACATATGCTTTTTATTTATCTTCAAAAGGCTTACAGTACTATTGCGAAAATTAGAAAACGAAGCGCATACACACCTGTTATTTAAAGTGGTATACTGATATCTCTCCATAAGAAGAAACTTGATAGTGAAACTTTTTTTTTGATTGTATTCCTTTTCGCAGAAACCATCCTCTGCGAAGAGAATGCATATCATTGAGAATGAGAATATGAGTGACGGGAGGGTGTGGATGTTGTTTTCAATCATATTCTCATCCATACCCGCACCCTAAACTAACAAAAGTTTATCATTTAAATGTCTGATCACAAACTTCTATTTCTTTTATTGTTTATCATCCTCCTCTATGTAATATATGTTACTGTGAACTAGAATACGAACCGAAAACATCTCTTTTTTCAATCATTATCCATTAGTAAACTAACTACAAGCTTCATTGGTCAGTTTAGAAAATTTTCGTTGGCATCGGAGATCCTACTCAAGCTTCGGAATAAGTACTGACAGCAGCAACGACATATAGACCAATAAGTTAATAATCTTATCTATGGTGTTTGATTTCATTCACATTTTATGAAAAGTAGTGATTTTCAGTTTTCCAGAACAAGAAGAAAATATTTCGTTTTTTACACGTTGATCTTGTTAATTGCATATTTTTCATATGTGTACCAATTCTTTTTGAATACCATTTTAATCAATTCGCCACTATAGATAGTAAACAAAATAGTATAACTTCCAGATTGTATTATTTCTAAAGAATACTGGCTTACTCGTAATGTTTCCCCTGTTCTGCCACTATTATCACGTGCTATTTGACTCATTCTACTTTGCTGACGTCGTATTCTTTCTTCATGAGCATCTCCTAGAAACAACATATTACAAGAATAAGATACATGAAAAATGTTAATTAAAAGGATAATCAATAACTTACGAATCGCTGCTTGTTCAAGTTTCAATTCCTCTGCAGTTTTCGGTTTAATACCAGCATCTGGATTAGCATCATTTACTTGTGACTGAGAAAATTCGAAAAATTAATATTTAAAAAAAACAATAGAGTGTTGAGCCTGTATTAAATCACTGACATAAAAACTCACTAATATCGTCTAATATTTAATAGGATACATTGGATTATGAGAGGAATGCTTTTAAAGTCATGCTTACTTTAAGACTTTGACTGCTTTGATTCACTTGGCGATTAGTTTTCGGTTGTGTCATTGGTGCTCTGAAAATATAGTTCTATATAACAATTTAACAAGGTAACGATCATATTCACCCAATAGCATTTGCTTGCGACTCCTCATTTGACAGAGACCCTGTTGAATGACTGGTATTGCGACCATTTAACAAACGATTGTCGCGATGTTTGCCACGATTTTCATATCTTTGATAATCTAAGATGATCGTAGAAAAGCTAGTTGTTTCATATTCTTCCTATATACCGTCAAAATCGAATGATGTAATAATAAACCCATCTTCATTACGCATTGTATTGATTGGCACATGATATTCATCACTAGGCACAGCTATCATACTGTGACACTTGTACGATGTAGTTTCATAATTGTTTTTATTGACTTCAACAGGCTCTTATCAAACGAAATGAGATTCATTTTTAAAAAAAGAAAGTGACAATTAGGGATACGCTACTTTGATCGTTTGAGCCAAATGGGTCGTATTGTCCTTCACGTAACACAGGTCGTTTAGTTTGTCTACAAGAAGCAGAAGNGTAAATAGTTCTTTTGAATATCCAACACTTTATTCAGATTTTCAAGACTCCTTGAATGGAAACCGAGTTTGTAATACACGAATGCCATGTTGTTATACATCGTCGCTAGACGGGGATGCATCGCAGGAAAAATCTTTTGTTGAATCTCAAGCGCTTTCTCATAGTTCTCCAAAGCTCTTGAATAATCGCCCAATTGGGAATACACCAATCCAAGATTGTTATACGTCTTGGCTACATGCGGATGCATCACAGGGAGAACTCTCTGTTGAATTTCAAGCGCTTTGTTATAATATTCACGGGCTCTTGAATAGTCACCCATCTTAGAAAATAATAAACCGACGTCGTTGTATGTCGTCGCTAGACTGGGATGCGTTGTAGGAAGTACTTTATGTTGAATTGCGAGAGCTTTATCGTAGTTTTCCAGGGCTTTTGTGTACTCAGCCATGTCAGAATACACCTTACCTATGCCACGATACGTACTCGCTATATTCGGATGTGTCTCAGGAAGAGATTTCAATAGAATGTCAAGAGTTTTATTATAGTACTCCAGAGCTCTCGTATATTTGTTCATAGCCGAATACACTGTAGCGATGTTATTGTACGTCGACGCTAAATTTGGATGCGATACAGACAGACTTCTCTGTTGCATTTTAAGTACTTTGTAGTAATTTTTCAGAGCTCTGGTACGCTGGCCCATAGAAGAATACACTGCAGCGATGTTATTGTATATCGATGCTAAGTCTGGATGGTTCTCAGGAAGAACTTTCTGTAGGATTTCGACGGCTTTCTTGTATTTTTCTAGTGCTCTTGAATATTCGCCCATATTTTCATATATGGTAGCAATGTTATTGTAAGTTAATGCTAGGTCTGGGTTCGTCCAAAGTAGAGCTTTCTGTTGAATAGCAAGAGCTTTTTTATGGTTGTTTAAAGCTCTGACGTATTCGCCCATATGAGAATACGCTATACCAATATTATTGTATGTCCTCGCTAGATATGGATGCTTCGTAGAGTAAGCTTTCTGTTGAATTACGAGAGCTTTCTTGTAGTTGTCGATGGCTCTTGAATACTTGCCCATACTATCATACAGTCCAGCGATGTTATTGTACGTTGACGCTAAATGTAGATGCGATCTAGAGAGAGATTTTTGTTGAATCGCAAGAGCCTTGTTGTAGTTTTCGAGCGATGCTGAGTGCATACCCATACGAAAATACAGTCCAGCGATGTTATTGTACGTCGACGCTAAGCGTGGATGCATTTCAGGAAGAACTTTCTGTAAGATTTCAAGAGCTTTGTTGTAGTTTTCGAGAGCTCTTGACTGGTCACTCATGTGAGAATATACTGAACCGATATTGTTGTATGTCGATGCCAAGTCGGGATGCAATGTAGAGAGATTTCTCTGTTGAATGTCAAGCGCTTTGTTGTAGTTTTCGAGAGCTCTTGAATATTCACCCATGTCAGAATACAGTGTAGCGATGTTGTTATACGTTGTCGCTAGTTTTGGATGTGTCTCAGAGAGACCTTTCTGTTCGATTTCAAGCGCTTTATTATAGTTTTCGAGAGCTTTTATATGCTCACCCATCCCGTGATATACGGTAGCAATGCTCATGTACGGTGTCGCTAATTTCAGATGCGAAGGAGGGAAAGCTTTCTGTCGAATTGCGAGAGCTTTGTTATAGTTTTCGAGAGCTTTTAAATACTCGCCCATATGAAAGTACACTGAACCAATATCATTGTATGTCGTCGCGAGACTCGGATGTAGCATGGGGAGAGTTTTCTCTTGAATTTCAAGAGCTCTATTGTAGTTTTCCAGAGCTCTCGAATGATCACCCATCTTGCTATACACGGCGCCCTTTTTTTTGTAATTGGCTGCTAATTCTGAATGAGTTGGAGAGAGAATTTTGCTTTGAATATCAATCGCTCGTTGATAGTTGTCAAGAGCTTCGGGATATCGAACATCTTTGTAATACTTTGATGCAGCTTCGGCGAATGCAGCAGCTAAATGATAACGATGATTAGAAGATCAAGAAATTATTTAAAATAACGCTGAGCATCATAATAACTTTTCAAATATGACTGGTCAGAATTTATTCTTTGAGAAATTTGAACATACCTTCTCTAAGTTTCAAAATACGTTCGATGAATTTTTTGGATAGGAGGACAACGAGTGGAAGACTTAATATGCTCAGAATAAACATGCTGATGAGAATCCAGTGACACGAGTTTAGTGGTCTTTGAAACGTTCACTTTCTCCATCGACGTTGATCAGTATTCATGTGGTTTTCATCGCGCCCTAACAGAAATACATTAGTTGTTGTTTGAATCTCGGCAGTGATGGTAGGAATGGATTTTGATACATCAGATATCGATGCTAAACAGAATAAAATTCAGATGAAAAGTATTGTTTAACATTGTTACAAACTATTATGAGTAATCTTATCTCCTTTGTTGTCTTTCAGAAGAATTTCTCGAATTGAAATATTTCCCTGATTTTTACTCATTTGATTTGCTTGAAACTCTACAAGAAATGAAATTTTAATGTAGTGTGATCAAAAATCATCGCCAAGAAGAAAATTCAATCGTACTCGGTTGCTGTTCGAAAGAAAATCTTGGATTTTGATTAAAACAGCTCGATAATCAGATAATGTTGCCATAGGGTAATGACATAGAAGAGTGAGAAAATGGATTGTAGACATTTAAATAGATGTTNATCGCCGTGAACACCACAGATTGTAACACACTTACAATTCTTTCATCATGGGGTGGTGAACGTTATGATCCCGTGATTTTACCGTTAACAACAGTAATTACAATTGGTTACACAGGAAATGCATGGTTAGGTGCTCTTTACAATGATACCAATGGTTGGTGGGCTGTTGTCAATCGATTAAATTTAGCTTTGAGACCTGATGGTTATATTAATAGTAGTCCAGTAACAACAACATTACCTGTTGTTTTATATCCAATCAATGTACGAATTATTCATGTTATTCAAATGGCAGATAATGATGGAACGGATATTTTACAATGTCGTCGAGCCAATTCGAATTCATCGGGAAATTTTAATCAAGTTGATGAATGCGAAGGTATTTGTTATGGATTACCATCTGGAACAATTTTAACTGGATCGAATTGTACATTATCATTTACTTTACCAATGGCGAATATTTATTATGCATGTGCTGTTCAAATTGAAGATTATTATAATACTGCAGCTACAAATCCAATGAGTTCAGTTCCAATTCAATTTTTATTTTATGGATATACACCTTCTGGTACTGCATGTTCACAACGTCCTCAAATTATTGGTGATCGGCCAAATAGAGGTACAAGATATATTCCTTTGAAAACATCTTCTAATTCATGATTTTTATATTTCAGCTTGTATCGGAGTTCCGATTGGTAATTGAGATTCACAAAATATTTTTTGTTTTCTAATTTACCTTCACTTTTCAGGTGTTCAATTGAATGAAACTGTTATTGTTCAAACATATTGTCCTGGTCAAACTATTATCGATTTCATCACAAGTTCTCCACTTGGAATGATGCATAGTTCAATCATACAAACAGGTTCTTGTAAGTTTCTTTCTTCATTCAGAACTACAATTTGGAAATGTGATAGTTTTATACACGATGACATTAACATGGACACCAATAGCAAATCAAGCTGGTCCTCAGGGATTTTGTGCTGGTGCTGTTGATAATAGTAGTTTACAATCAGATCCATGGTGTATTACATATTTAGTTGATTATACATCACCAGATCTCATTCGTCCGACGGTTGTACAAGGATCAGCAAGTCCTGTTGGAACAGTTTTTGCCAATCAATCAATGTTTTCAATTCAAGGTTTAATCCGTTTAGATGGAGCTTTTGTTGAAATATTCGATTTTGTTTTTTAGCCACAAGTTTAGTTGGTCGTCCAACTCGTAATGGAACAAATGTTTGTTTTAACGATGCTGCAACGAATAACACAGTTTTCTGTTATGATGCCGGTTATTCAGCAAATGTTATTTATACAGGATATACCATTGTTATCATCACTAATTATACATGGACACCCTANAAAGGTCAAAAATAGATGTCCAGAGTTCATCGGAAGATGAAACGATTGCACCGTCCCCATCAAAATATGTCGCAGCGAACACATCCGTGGTGGAATCATCCATCTCTTTAAAGGAAGACTTATATTTAAATTTAGGCGGAAGCTTCAGAAATTTCACAAATTTGATCACTGCTGATTTCGGATCAATATTAGCATTCATTAAATCAAATAGCCAGAACGAAACACTGACAGTAATTGATTCTGAACAAGTGATTTTGGGTTACTAACAAAGTACAGGTTTGCTCTCCACCACAAGATGCTGAATTTTCCCAACTACTGCGATGTATCCTGGGAATTGAGGAGGACGGTTTGCAGAATCTCCTTGTATTCGGTACTCCCACACGGATTTGTGGGAATGATCAATGAAACCAAAATATTTTTAAGATGTACTTGAAATGAAAAAAAGACCACTTGTGCCCATCATCGTAGGTGTATGCCAGCCTCCGCTGTAAACACGATAGATATAGTCTACATTGAATCGACTTGTGTCCATACATGTAAAAGTCGAAGAGACTATTCGAGTATTAAACTTTCAATTCAAGTTTTCAACTTCTAAATTTTAGAATTCGAAACTTCGAGTTTTAAACTCTTAACTAATTGGCTATTAAATACACACTAACTAAATGCCAATTATTAAATGATTAACTATCTATCTTTTATTAAATAACTGATTATCTTGAGGGCGTGGGTGAGGGTGTCGGGGAGGGTGAAGGTGGCAACGGCATAGTCAGCGTCAATATCAACGGGATTCTTTACCGTTAGTTGGCTGATAATTGATAGTAATATAGTGAATAAATGATTAAGTAGTATTTAGTAATCAGGTGCCGATTACGCGGTACTCCGTTGATTGATAATAAGTAGTCGGTTCGTTAATATTCAATTAACAGTTACATAATAGTTAATGATCAGTCACTCAAGGATTTACGATCAATCACTTACGAGTTGGTAAGCGGAAAACTCGACGAAGTGATTTAATACTCGAATCGAGTTAACGATTTCTACACTACTCTGTTGCTGTGAATATGATGAGGCTGACAAAACTGGTGATAGTGTTCTGAAAGTATGTAGGCCAATTCAACTTGAACATGATTAACATGAACAAGATTTTTAGGCTATTCGTTGCCAATTGGATTCGTATGGATTATTACCGTTCATGGATAAGAAGAAAATAGGGTTCGCGTGTGATCGAGGTCCGAATATACTGAAGGCTCTGAAAGGTAAGTCTGTCAAATACGTCCTCGTCTCTGAAAAGGACACTCTATGTGGTAGGACAACCGGTGATACTATGCTTTGCACATTGAATCAACAACGTTCTGAAAAAGGGATTTTATCAGCAAGAAAGAGAGAGAGCAATTCGAGCCAAAACGCCCTCATGGAAAGACAAAAGGTCAAAAATAGATGTCCAGAGTTCATCGGAAGATGAAACGATTGCACCGTCCCCATCAAAATATGTCGCAGCGAACACATCCGTGGTGGAATTATCATCCAAGGACATAGAATTATTGGATATCATTACGACCTGTAAACAAATATTGAGATACGTGAAATTGGTAAGGCAACAACATCGAGAGACAAATTGTTTCGTCTTGATTGAATATTTTCTTTAGACAAGTTTGAATAAACCAATTCAAGATGCCGGTGGCGTTGCGTTGAAACAAGCTACGGTAGTTCGATGGTTATCCATGTCAAACTTACTGGAATCGATTGAGTCGTCCATTGATTATCTCAGATCAATCCTCGCTAAATCAACAAACAGTAGACAATCGATCAAGCTTAATAAAATAAATGTTGATGGACAGAAGGATTTGATTTGCCTTTTATCGGTTTTCCGAGATGTTTCCTTGTTAATCCAAACCGGCAACCGCTCGTCATTGCACATGGCGTACATTGCTATGAATAAATTGGAACATCACCTGAATGGGACAGACGTGGACAAAGAAGGTGAATCAATCACACTGAATGATCGACACGAAGGTGAGTACTTGCTATTCTTTGAACCATAAGATTTTCATCATTTTTCCGGTTATAGGCACATAGTTTTTTCGGAAACGTCTGTTCCAACTTCTGAAATCAATGTTTTCTTTTGATGAAAAACATCTAGCTGCGGCAGTTCTTCATCCATTATATCGGAAATTAACATTTGCTTCGGCTCAGTGGAAAACTATGGCACATTTATTTATTCGGCAACAAATTGATGATATACTTGGTGTCGATTATTATGATCAAACATTGCTGTCCGGGCCAGCAAAGAATAAGCACAAGTCGATGGAAGGTCAGTTTGCTGATCCGGATGACGTTAATGTTGACAGTGAAAATGACTTAATCTCAGCGTCAGCATCGAAGAATGATGAATTAGACAAATATTTACGGATGAGTATCGATGATATTTACAAACACCCTCAATCCATTGCCATTTTGGAAGGACAAAGAGAGCAAGTTTCCATGTTTATCACTGATTGCTCGTCGCCTCTTCTCTATTCCTGTTACATCGGTAGCTGTCGAAAGATCTTTCTCTGCTGCAGGCTTAGTAGTCACAGAACGTCGTTCTTCTCTTGATCCTCGTACTTTGAACGATATTCTATTCGTCAGATCTATCCAGAATATTCTGGAACAACGACTGAATTTTTTTTCTCAATCCTGATGCGATGTGAAGATTTTTCCATGGAGAAGCTGCTTCGAATAAAGATCTGATCTAGTCGCTTAACTTTACTCAACTATTTCATTGCATTTCTTAGCAACAGCGGCGTTGATTACTTTTTTTTGTCGATATCTTAATGTTGATATAAAATCTAGACAGGCTTCCACAGGCAGGCCAGGCCAGCGAAAAGAGGGCCTGCTGAGGGATCTGATTTGTTTCTCATTATATTTCTAGATTTCTTCTTTTATCTCCCATTATAATTTTATGAACACGGAAACGAAAGTCGCAATGAAAGGTATAAAAACTAAAGAATTCGTGTTTTTGTCAGCCGTTTGTTTTATTCCCTTTTCTGAAAGAAAGGGTAATAGGCTCCTAAAATAGGGTACTTCAAATGCTTGAAGTTTGTATGTTTGTTTTCATGATTCAATCAGATTGCAGCATTTCATAAATCAACAAAATTTATCGATATTCATCAGACATTATCTACTAATAAGGTAATCGAGATCGAGGATCTCGAATTTTAGGTAAGTTTTTCAATAGAAAAATCCTGTGCTGTGTTTTACACAAAGGACGATTTTTTGCCAGGAAGGTTTTTAGGCGATAGCGCTTGAAGCGGCAATATGTAGAACAAAACGAAATAGCTGATTAACATCGGATTGTTGGATATTCATACACATCAGCACATTCATAACATTACAATTATGCAAACAGTTATATTACACAAACATAATCTGATGCCAACCACTCAAAATAATACTTTCTTTGACAGATGTTGTTTTAGACAATCACAGTGGCACAAAGTTGGTGATTGCTTAACAGGGAATTCCATACTAGATGAAAGGATGAAAGTTGGACATGTAACGGCTAGCCGCGAGTGACCGACCGAAGGGAGGCCGATGAATGACTAGCCGTTTATTTGAATTGCTTCGAGGAGATAAAGTAAGTGAAAATAGATTGATTTTTTATTTTAAATAGTAGGAACAGAGTCGATTAATAAATGTTTAGAAACATTGTTCCTTTTGCTTACATCTTTGGACAAATGAGTTGAAAGTTGTTTGACATGAATAAAGAAGAAAAGGATTAAACGAAAACAATGTGCTTAAAACTGGCTCTAATTCGAAGCGGATGAGAGTGAGATATACATGGGAGTTTTTATCTAAAAGTCTTCTAATTCTTTCAGAAAAGGACTAGTTAATCCAACAGATGAGCGCTGCTTATTAGTCTATATGAATTAAAAAGTTGGATAATATTTTCAGTTAAGAATCTATTATATACTATTAGGAGTATCCTACATAGAATTTCAGTATTTCAGAAAAAATAATATATTTTTCAAACGTTTATTCTCATTTGAAGGCATTGAATCTTATGCACTTATCTATTTTAACAAATATTAGAGAGGAAGAGAGAAAAAAATTTGCTCTCATTATTTTTTTAACTTAAGAAACATATGGCATTAGTAGTTTTTTTTTCTACATGGATTCTTCATTTTTTCTCATTTAATCATCTCGTAAAAATAAGATTTAACTATCAGTTAAAATTCTTTTATGAATATGGATTCTCAAAATCTCTATTCAATACTTTCCTGAAAGGAAATCTTTGTGTTAAAGATTATCTTCTTTTATCTAGGAACAGGATTTGTTTGAATAAAAATATTTTTCTCCTGTATTTTAGAAAATCTTTTAATTATTAATCTTATACAAGTCCTCAAAACAACAGATATTATATTATAGTCATTGAAGTTTTGAAGTGAGTATTTTCATTACATATTTGTCACGACGACATCGCAATTATTTGAATGATACAGTTTTTATTGTGCTTATAGAATCATACCTTAGTTAAAGATACAAGTTTACAACAATAAAGATCTATTTACGATGTATATTTTGATCTTAAACAGATGTTACGGAACTAAAGTATATTAGAACTTGATGCAAGATGAAAGACAGTTATTAGAAAGTCTATTCAAAACGTATGATCATCGACAGGGTTTATGATATAATTGCTCATATTGATATGAGGTGCAGTATTTTCAAGCAGATTTTAGTAATCTCTTTTATTTGCTTGCCAGATATTCAAAAAGATTTCTCACAATTCTGCCCTCATGGTTTTGTCAGGCATATAGTCCTCTATATATATTTACGTTTTTTTACGACGTCACTATGTTCTACAATCCTTCTAAAATAAATACTATTACAGATGTCTTTTTTTTTCACTAACGCGTTCTCCAAAAGAGTTCTATGTATAACTAATAACACACTATTCGCAATTAGATACTAATTTGACCATGCGTGGACTTACTAGTTATGGTAATTCTCAGCGCTCCTCTCAGTTTCTATTGTGTCCAATTAAACCCTACTGATCCATGGTGGATTATACTAGTCTTAACTAGACTCTAGTAACACCTCATATGTCATAAAAATGCTTTGTAAAAATCTAAAATAGTTACATAAATATATAGAAAATGTATGAAAGTTCTGAATTACTTTGTAATCTATTTCAGACACGGTCTCACAGTTAAATTAGTAGCATTAATTCTACATAAAATTTCCTGTTCATGATGACTATCTCAATAATCTTGTGTTCTGTTTGACAGTGAAATTCCTTAAAAGTTCTATATAATTTTTTGTGTGCGCTCGAAAAGTGAATATACTCTACAATCAGTCAGTATGTCCATCCGTCCTCATCAATATCTCGACCGATTTCGAAGGTGAGAAAAATCGGTCACAAATACGGATGTCACTTTAGCTTTATTTCACTTTGAGAAGGTAAAGTCAAGTCAATAAAAAAATTTAGTTCAAATGTATCAATACACTTAGTAACATTGGCTTCCAGTATAGTTTAATGCATCTGCACGTTCAGAACGAAAAGTGAACAAGTTGAGTACATTTATTTAGTTTGTTGGTAGGCTTGAGCTACTTTTTTTTTATTGACTTTGCTTCACTTTACTTTATTCGGTAAAATAAAGTTAAAGTGCCACCCCTAGTTGCAAAGACCTTTGTTTGTCCATAATAGAGCCAACCGGTGGTACTCATACCCCAGGCTGCCGAGGGTACGCTTGGATTCTCATATCCTATAGTATGCGGGTATCCTCCAATCCTTACGTACTATATTATGAACTAGCCTAATTTTCTCCAAATATCGAAAAAATTCATCCTTGATCGCACTAAGGAGCTGTTAGTTAGGTCTCGAAAGAAAATAAAGATCGAGTTGAAATTTTGGGCACAGTTTCGTCTCATCAAGATTACATTCGAGCTAGAAGATGAGTTCAAACAAATATACTATTGGTGAATTACAGTGGAAATGTTCATACTTTCTATACTCATAATGAAGGAAAGTACGTTTGTCTGCGAGTCTGTTCGGTATACTTTGACTTTATAAGAAAATTACCGTTACGAAACTTTCTACAGTGACTACATGGGTCTGAGGAAACGTCAGTATGGAGTTCAAAGCGCCAGCAAGAGTCAAAAAGGGGTGTCTGGGTGAATCCCATCTAGATAACCCTTCAGTTAATCATTACTTTGTGTAACAGCTACTGTCGCTAAACTTTCCATGGTAATTAGACAAATTCAAAGAAAGATCAATATATTTTTAGAATAATTCACAGTGCTCAGTAGAATATGTGGCTGAATTAGGTTAGACGAATCTCACGCACTCTCACACTCTGGTTATTCCTTTATGGGGACGACTACTATTATCGAGCTTTTCATGGTAACTGCTCATATCTGAAAAAATTCCAATATAACGCTAGAATTATTTTAGCAAAGATTAATGAAAAGCTGAGACGAGCGCTGTTCGGTTCGGATCAATTTTAGATATTTCGATTTTCATTCATTTGATTATTAATTTGAATTGATTTCACTTAAACGGTTATCTATACGAATCAGAGCATCGCACGGCCTGAGCCGGTTGAAAAAATATTTTTGACACCAAACAGAATAAAAGAAAGTAAAATAATATTGTCTTTAATGCGACTCCCTATCTTTTTTCAGCTTTTGTGAACGTAAATGAAGTATAGTAATATATTCCTGTGTAGTAGTTCGTCTCATCGAAAACTTTATTCCTGAAATATCAAATTTGCTTTTTTTCTATTATAAAGACTGTCATCTAGCATAGCCGCTTTGTATCCATTTTGTTGATAATTCATACATATACTATGAAGACCTGCACTCATTGCAATACTATCTGTCTCAATCAAAACCTTTCCGTAAAAAGTACAAAGAAAAAAATTCTATCAGATAGTTACGATTAATACTATACGGTTCAAAATTGAATCACACTGGTAGAGCTAGGATTAAATTTTATTTTTCAAATTTGTTTTCACGAAAAGTGTCATCGTGTGGCCATTGACTAAGGACGAACATGAAAAAATGACCTTTTTAACTTCTACTCACTCCTATCCAGACTTGTGCTCTGTTTGCCGATCCGTAACCTTGATTCTAAAAATATATTTTTTTCAAAAATTATCGAAAAAAAATTAAAAAGTTGAAAAACGTAAAAAAGTGTGCGCGTGTCCGGATGCGTTCAACTTCTATCCCTTTCTGTCTAATCCTGTTCGTTTTCCAAGCGCCCTAGACATTCCCTTTTCTCAGACGTTCTTGTTGAGTGGTCTCCATTTAAAGAAGTTTCATTTTCATGTAGAAAATGGAAGTCTGATGAATACAGTGGTTACTATGAAACTCGCAATGCGTTTATGGATGTTGAAAAAGTTATATGGTAGGATGAACCACCCATAGATAGCCATGGGTCAACTTTAAGGGGCAGGGAACCTTCTAAACATGCTCTCGAGTTATGTCAGTTTGTAGAGACAATGCCCAAGGATAAGAATATTATGATAGCTTTTGAGTTAGATCAGATTTTTAAGAGTAATAATGTATGCAAAAACTCGAAAACTCGGTTTTTACATGTGCTTTGTAAGACCCTTTTTTAGTCGAGGAAATAATTCCTTGTTTCCAATTTTCTTCGTTTTCGAATTAAATCATACACCAATCGGTAGAGCTTGACTTGCTCTACAAAATGACACACATGGGATCTTTCCATAGTTCTATAGTGCCACCCGAAAAGTCCAAATACACAATTTTCAGATATAAAGCTAAAAATTTGTCGATGGTTTTTTAAGAAAATATCCATTCTATTTGTCAACCTGAAAAAACCAATAGACTCATTTTGTAGCCTGTTTAACTCTGAATCGAATCATAAACTTGATTTTATCGAACGACATACTATAGTCAAGAAAAATAATGTCAAGACCATTCATCACCAATTCTGTCTTTAGTTCAGTTACTACACAGAAAATAAAAGACCTCTATTATTTACCTGACTGAGAGGAGCATGTACACAAAAACCTCGAGTTCTTGTATTAACAGTGGTTTTTTCGAAAGATAGGCAAAAAATGATGTTAATCATCAGTTTTCAAATTTATATTTTGCACCGCTAGAACATTTTGTAGAGACATCCAATATGATTCGACGCAGAATCAAATGGGCTACAAAGTGCTGTGTGGATATTTTTGGCAATCCATTTCTCACTAGACTATTTGGACCAAATACTGTATATCAATGGAATTGTGAAAATGCAAAAAATAGTATATTTAGGTTTTTTCCCCCGATATCAAGAAAGGATAAATGTGCTATACATACAGGTTGGCACAGTGAGTCAAGCTCTTTCGATTGGTATATGATTGGATTTGTGCAGAGAAATAGTTACATGAAAAAAATTGAAAAAACTAAGAAAGCCAGTTGTGCTTATTTTTCTAGGATAATTTTTTTCGGGCATTAAGTGTCATATTTCTTAACTCTCTGTAAGCAAATCTTTATATCGTAATATTTTGGATTTATATATAGGCCAATAAAGCCTAAGTTCATATTAAGTCAGATTCCAATCCTACCTAACCACACGTTTTGACTTATATGAAATCAAGATGATTCGAAATGTGTGTTTTTCTAATTCTTATCTTTTCAACGGATAGCACTTTTTATGATGTTATATTAAAGGACGTTAATTGTTTTGGAGGTGTCAATAATAATATCGTATTGTTGTTTAGACAGTTTCCTTTAATATTATGATTCTCGAAACTCTTTCCAAATGGATATATGAAAAGGTATCCAATTACAATCTGTTCATGCTCGAAGAAAATGATTATGATGAAGATGATGGTCTCAATGATCCAGCTATTGTTCTTAAGCATCAAAAGTACAAAACTCGGTTGTACATTGTACTTTTCATAGGTAAATATGACATACAATATATTATCCTAGTCTTAGAATTTCCTATCACAAAGATTCAATTTTTGTTTCACCTACAAACTAATTAAGCTCGTTTTCTTTATTATTTCTGAATCAAATCATAATATTCAAATGAAAACTTAAACTTCCATATGCATGTTTATTTGGATGGTCAAAGCCATTTTTCGAGACTTGCAATATAGTTTAAAAAATCAGCAATATTATCATATAAAGTTCTTTAACTTGAACCAAAATTTATTCAATTGTCATAGTAAACTCGATCCTTCTTAAAGAAAATTACGAATAAGAAAAGATTTCATTAAATACTACAAATAATTAGTAAAATAAAGTAATATTCTCTGCTTTAGTATGTCTGTATATCCTGTTCTATTCGAATGTAGTGAAAATTGAATCGAAAACCGTTGTTGTTTATAATATAACACTGGATATTTTTGACGGTCTATCTTTTAAATACGGTCAAAATCTATTATGTCCATGCACAACAACCACAATACCATTAGAAAATTTTGTTTCTAACGATATTTCAATACATCCTGTGTGTCAAAGTTATTTCATTGATAGCGAATGGATTGATGGATTGTATTTTAAAAACGCAAGTTCTTTTGTCAATTGGGATTTTCGAAAGACAGCCTATTCACAGGTTTGTCACAATTCTATTCTGTTAAAATTTTTCTAGTATATTAGGTATAGAAGAATATTTGGAACAGCGAAATGAGTAAATTCGACCACGACGGTCGTTTTCAGTAATTGACGTCACGAAACTCTTTTTGTCACCTGTGGCAGTTCAAAGAAGGTTTGATAAAGAGTTTGTATCATTCAGAGAGTGAAAAGGGATTTTTGAATGAAATTTCATCAGACGATTTTTTACTAGTCAAACACTATCAAATTTTTCAGAACTTCTTTCTAGATTCAGATAGAGATCTATATCACGATACGTAAAGAACTCTTCTTGAAATCAAGAGCATCGTCATTTCTTTTCTGTCGTCATCTATTCCTATTTACACTATGAGATATTGTATTCTATCATTTCTTAAAAACATGAATTTCCCTTTCATTTAGTTCAAAATTTTATCACAGTTCTGTTCGCTTGCGAAAGAAACTATTATTCAAATTCAACAAAATGTGAACAAAACTCAATTTATTACCATTGAACTTCTTTCTAAATTACAAGTTGAACTAGAAGTAGATGCTCACGTTCAATTTCACAAGAACATTGCACTTGGTCAAATGATTTCATTCTTGAATTATTTGAAAACAACAATCACTGGAAATAATTTTGTTTCAGCTCTTGGTACCAATCATATCTTCAGCGTAGAAAGTGGCATGACAAATACTCATCGTGCATTTTCACAAGCACTAACTCTTGCGATTTCCGAGCTAAGTGTAGTAGATCCGTGTGGTGTATATGGTTTCACAATGGCAACTGCTTTCACTTCATTATCAATTGATGAAATATATATAAGCGTTGGCCCGATGATAGCTATACGAGACATTCCCAACAGTACTTCAATCGTTGACGGCTTCTTTACATCATGTACTCCTTTCGAATCAATCTTGGAAAGTACATTAGATTGCTTATACCAAACTGAATGTCTTATATGGTTGTCTAGTTACTTTCCAAAATTGAAACAAGTTCGTATATTATAGTTTTGTATTTGCTAAATATTCTCTTTCTTTAGAATAGAAACTGGAGTGATTCGATTTTAATTTCGGAACATGAAAATATTTCTGTCTATAATTATTTGAACATTCTTTTTATCTCAAATGAGTCATGCAATATAGATTATCCTACGTATTTTGATCAGTGTTCTCCATCACAATGTACATACAAAAGACAAAATTGGTCGAATTTATCTTATACAATTACTCTCTTCGTCAGTCTTTATAGTGGACTCACTATTATACTTCGTTTAGTGGCGTCATTTTTCATAGAGATTTTCTTTAAATTGAAACTTAATTCAAGTAATGCAAATTATAACTCTTGATAATAACTCTGACACTTTTTAATTTTAGATCATGAAAATACAAATGCCTTCAAACTGATTCGATCAGTAAAAATATTAAATTTATTTAAAAATATTAATGATCGAACAGAAAGTAGTATCAGACAACAAAAACTTATCACCCGAGTTTATTTAATTTTATTATTTGGTAAAGCAATTATTATTATTGATTTTTTGCTTTTTCTCAAGATTAATGTATGCATTCACGTAGAAATACTTTGACTCTTAGTTTGGAATATAACATATCTTCTAAATATGATGATTTCTTAGATCATTTTGAGAAATAGAAAAGAATAAGATGACGGTTTAAGATGAATAGTAGAATATTGAACTCCTAATTGACAAATACTCTACTCATTATTCTATACAAGAAATCTGTTTCAAACTAGAAAACTGCAGGATTTTTGCAACATATATATATATATATATATATATTTGTTTCTGTTCCATATTAGGTTCAATATGTATTCTGTGTCTGTTTACAACATTGAACAATGAAATAGTGATAATATCAATGCCAAATCCTTCGTTCACAACTTACAATTCATTCGAAAGGATACATTCAGTAGCATTGCAATGTCCATGTTCAAATAAAACAATATCTCAACAAACATTTATGTCATTCTCTCCAACTTTTCATCAAATTTGTTCAAGTGTTTTCGTTAGTGACAGTTGGATAATAATATTACAAGCTCAAATAACTACTGAACTGAATGATTGGCGTAGGAAAGCATTTGAGGAATTTCGATTATTATCTCAGCTTTGCCAACTAGCTAATAAAACGATTAATTATAGTATAAATAGATTTCTTTCACAAGTCTTTATTGCTTCTTCTGTAATGAATGAGAATGACTTTAATGAACAAATGTATGCAAGTATCGATCAATTTTATCAATCAACATTGTACAACTTTGATATTCAAAAAGATATCATGCGTCTTATTCTACAAGTTGATCACTTTTATCTGGATTCAGTGCAATGGGAACAGAGCAATGGAAATCCTGATCTAGTCGTAAATACAATAACAAATAAGACAAATAATTATTCAACACGATATGTATGTTATATTTTTTCTATAACAGTCTCGGGCCTAGGATTTTCGAGCGAGGGTAGCAGATTTTTATATAAGATCAATATTCACTGTAAGCGGTAACTCTAACTGTAAGAAACAGAAAAACATTGATGAACTTTGCGAAAATTTATGCAAAAACTTCGCTGTTTTTGGTAAATTTTTCATCAATTTAAAGATCATTTCTCAACATTACCAGAAATAGCCAAGAACTAGCGAAGAAAAAAAATCAAAACTTTCCAAGATTGAAGACAGCGACGTTTAGCTTTTTGAAATTCTCAGAAAAATTTTTAAATATTCAAATGGTTTTTAATGAGTTTCGAAGGGATTTTTCACAATTTCCTCAAGTTTTGAAGATTTTCGGAAAACTTTTAGGAAATTTTCTAGAAACTTTTTCATAATTTTGAACGTTTTTTTTTAAATCTTTTTAAAATGCTGATAAACTAGGGAGCAAAACAACAAATTTTCTAAGTATTAGAGAGAGGAGGAGGGCAACTACCCTTCTCGACCTTTAAATCCACTACTATTCTATAAATATTTGAGCATCGGAAATATTCACATTACTCAAAATAAAAATTTCAAAGAAAAATAAAAAGACTTCACTAATTTCACAAGTAGCGCTCGTCGTGCCGACTCACTTAATCTTCGACTGTGGAGAACAGATATTTTTGCCGTGTCGCAATTGTGAGACAAATTGATCTAACAGTTTTAAATACGAAGAAACAATACAAATGTTTTTGCGTAGATATATTTAGTAACTTTCGAAAACAAAACACCGAAGTTTTTTATAAAAAAACATTTGAATTGTTTCTTCGTATTTAAAACTGTTAGATCAATTTGTCTCACAATTGCGACACGGCAAAAATACCTGTTTTCCACAGTCGAGGGTTAAGTGAGTCGGCACGACGAGCGCTACTTGTGTTTAGTGAAATACTTATGAAAAATGATTTTAAACTCTCGATATTGAAAGCATCTTTAGCATGACTTAACAGAAATCATATGATTGTATGAGACAGAGTCTTCAAATCGGAGCGTCAGGATATTGTAGGATAAGTCAAAGATCGTTCATTTCTGTGTTATAAGTTTGGTATACCACCACTTTTAAGCAGATTACTTATGGTCTTGACTCTAAAATGATCACGAGATATACAACGAATATACTTCTCTTTGGGATTTGCAGTAATAAAACACGTAACTAAATTATGACTTCTGCAGATAAGATTCATCATTTTCTATGCTTATGCGTACTTCATACATGAGTATGAATAGCTGTATTATCAGGAATTTCGCGCTTGTATTCCTAGACGACATTTTCATACGAATATTTGAAAAACTATTTACTTGAGTGAAGGGGAAAACACAGACAAAATGATTAACAAAATTGGATCCAGATTTATAATCCATCATCACCAATTTTTTTCGACGGACTGTTAGAGGGAAATCAGTTGTATACCTTTGCATAATTCTTATAGCACTCAGTGAAGCGCAAACATATAACAAATCATACAAGCGACCAAGTTATTTTATTTGGTCTTTTTTGGGTCAGATAGAGAACCATCTTCAACAACCTACGCCATATCTTCATCGGATGTTTCGTGCGCCTTTGAACTCATCTTCTACGGCGCTCTTTTGGCCTCGTCTGGCATCTCCTACCAACCTACAGCCTCTACACCCCATCCAAATCATCTTTCATGAAGTTTTGAACATTTCGAAAAAAATGTTTTTTTGTGACCCTTGACCCTGACACAAACAGACAAACATACAAACTATTTTTTTTCATATGACCCTCCTTTCAGTCAAAGAAATTATTTGTGATTACCTTATTGAGACGAGTACAAAATAGAAATGTACGGTTTCAGTGAACATCAAAACTGATATTATTTGACACACCGATCCGAGTCACTGTTCGGTGAGTTACTGATAAACTAACTTCATTCAATTATCTTTTTCACATCGCAATTGATATCAGGAATACTATCATTTCTAGAAACGCATTCATAGAAAAATATCGAGTCCGAGAAAAGTATATTCAACGTTTTTTTTTTTTGGTAACAAAGCTTTATTCGTGTAACCATACTGCATAGACAAGAGAATCAACGGTTAGTTGTTACACGAAAGCTGGACACGAGAAAAACGAAAGAAGAAAGGACCCATGACGTATGTCTTTTGTCCTAGTAAAAGAAGCGTGAGAAAAAAAAACATGGAGAAAAAGAGGTTTCTGTATGATAGTGGTGTGCGTCTGTGATGTATCATGAAAGGAAAAAGAAGTTGAAGGAAAGGAAAGAGAATTGAAACGGTTTCAGTTTAATCGCCAAATAGATTGAATCGTTTTCGTATTGTATATGAGAACGAGTGAAAGATTCGGCAAACACTTCGATTCTATCCGATATTACATATGGAAAGGAGAAAACGGTTTAGCTGGAAACGAAAGAATAAGCATATACATTGCATACTTTACATACTACATATAGAAAAGAGTAACAGAATTGGCTAGACGAAAGAATCGTTAGTTTCGTTGACTCGATTCGATATTACATATGAAAGGAAGACAGAACGAGAAAGAAGATCGAACGAATAGTTAACTGGATGTATATATTCAACGTTGTTTTTTATCTTCGCATTCTATGCAACACGTATAATCGGTGCACGAAAATAACATGCAGAGATATTCACTTTGATTCTCTAGTCTTCTAAGTGAAAAATGAAGAGAAAACATGACGAGTGAGTTACTTGTGTAAGTGCAATCGAGGAAAATGCTTGGGTGAAAAAAAAGAATACAATAACAAAAGACAGACAACACCGAATGGATAATGCGTCTCAAGCAGTAAAATGACAAAATCTGTAGAATAAAGAGATCACCTTGGAATACAGTTCAGCGACCGACGAATAATATTTCTTGTTAACCGCATAATTTACTTATCAGCTGGTATTATATTATCGAATGAAGATGTTTTGTCCCGTAATATTTATCGTTCAGATGTCAGATTATACTAAACGTCTGTCACGAACGATACTATATATATAAAGAAAATATCGATGTATCAGTGATTCACCGAACGCCGAATTGGATCAGCATGTCAATTAATATCAGTTTCGATTAGACATGCACCAAATCTAAATGCAGTTCTAAAGTTGGATCTGACTGAATTTGATCTGAGCTCAATTTAAATAATAATAAGTGTTTTTCGATAATTAGATGAAGTTATATTGTCAGACTGAGTTTTCTTCCTAATATGTCTCTTAAATTGATGAAACTGCCCAATAAGTAATTAACATAGTTAATACCACCTGAGATACCAATAATAGTTGCGTAGAAGGGGTAACTTATTCTGGAACAAAAGCAATTTTGTAATTATTCCCTCGGGTGAAAGGAGGTTTTCACGAAAAAGGTGAGGTGGAAAACTACAATTCGTTTGTCTGTCGCGGGTCAAAGGTCAATCCAAAGAAAAAACTCTACTGAACCGTATATCTGAAATCGAGGCCTCACGATCCAATCTTAGGTCCTCAAGTCCTATCCTATGGAGGTATCCATGAGTCGTCAAGGTGTATATAGTTGGGTTACTGATCATTTCTCTGCTCATGTGAAAATGATTTCTAATGAGATCTAAGGAACACTGACTCGCATAAACAGTGAAATTAGTTTTCGTTAAACTTTTTCCATCGACTGTAAGGAGAATCATGTGACTCCTTCACTAATGAAATTTGATAGCAAGTTCGGATAGCAGAAGACTGCTCCGGGTGATTTCCCCTGATATAGCAGTAATAAAAATCAACCAGATTTGTATTCAAAACATATATATAATAGTGTCTTATTTAATGGCATTTATGGTACCATGAAAAATAGATAGATATAGTTGAAGATGATAAGATCATGACGACCGCTCTTAGAAAGTTATCGTTTCTTTTGGGCAGTGATTATCAGTTGGAAACGTCTGGTAAAGTAGAATAACGGTAATAGTGCTCAAGTTCGTTTCCAAACGTATCCGAAGAATAAGAACCATCCTCGAAAAATTATTTCTGAGGGTACGTTACTGTATTTTTGTATGAAGATGTTCGTAAAGACTATTGCGTATTGACCTGGCTATTCAGTCCAGGGTGGAGCGAGTAAGCCTCGATGAGTGTTATTTATTAGTTAACAGCAGAGCAAATAATCCATTTTCTACCTGTTTGAATGCTATTGTATTATAATTTGTACATATGTCAGTTATATATACTATACAGTTTGTGACTATTTGTCGTATGTAAATTGATTAGATTTTGCTCAATATTACTAGAATATAATCAAGTATAGATTTAAATTAATAATAATATATAATGTTCGAAATTTTTGAGATGTCACTACTTTTCGTATGAAAAATGCCACGTTTCTCGCTGGAGATACTGCGCATGTTCAAACTTCTTGAACGTATGACGCCAGTCTATTTCTTTCATCAGTTAGTATGGAGATATAAGTCTGAATTGTTTGATTCTTAGATGAAATTTATTCAAAATGAAATCTCACAAATCGATTCTACATCGATCAAATGCGTCTGTGCTATAAATCCGAATTGTATACGTCCAGCCATTATCGTATCCCCTGGTATATACTACAAAGTGTTTGACAATCTCACTTATAACGTGCCCGGTTGGATTCGCGCCTGCCAAGTTATTGATTCTCTTTTACTGTCGACACTTGAATGGTTATATATTGATTCAGTGTCGTTTCCGTTTTTTATGTATGCTCTGGGCGTTATGAATAAACAGTACGTTAGTGTTATAAAAAGTCCATTAGATAATAAGCCTATCGTTTACAATTCATCAATGAGCCGTTTTCCTCCCAACACATCGAATTCAATAATCGTGAAAGAAATTATGGTTGAACAATGGAATCACTCTTTATCGTATCAACGCTTTTATGAAACTTGTGCACCAATGTATTGTTCTTATCCTAAAACTATTCGCAAGAACTCTTTTATTGAAGTGATCATAACAATAATGTCGATGATGGGTGGTATCGTGGCCTCATTGCGAATTTTAACACCTCCTATTGTCAAACTCATTCTGAGATTGGTGACGCGAGCCAACCAAAATCCAAGAGAAATAGAACAAGGTAATAGTATATTTGCTCAAATTCAATATAATTGTAGTCTAACCTAACATATAAAGAATGAGCTACAAAGGATAGATTAAAAAAGTATTTTAACTCTTCGGGCTACGGTTTTTTAAGGTGGTTCTGTTACTTTTCGTTGTAAAAAGTTCATAATGACCTTTATTAGTTTATAGAAGTATTAAAAGTGTTTTAAAGTGATAATTTTCAAAACAGTCTATCACGCGAACTCAAGCGTTACACATTTTACTGGTAACGTGTTCCGCTAAACTTTTTCTCGCGTTTTCTTATGTAATTACAAACTAATCAAGCTCTTTATACAACTGTTTCTGATGCTATTCCTGGAGCTATAGATGGAAAATAACCTCTAATAACGTGTAAAGATCTATCCGCGATAATAGGACGATTATTTATGTTTTGATCAGAGATGTTTAATTATATGATATTCTAAAATACTAATAAAAAACGAATTTTCAATCGGCTGTAACTATACATATTCTAGTTCGTCATGGTTGTGTGAATCGGTTAAAGATGATGATGATAAAGTTAATTAAACTATTATGCACTAAATTAATTGAATTAAATATATTCAAGTCACGTGATATTGGAGGTAATATTGATCGGATAACAGCGAAACGTTATGGTCAATGTGCTACTCGTCTTTATTTGGCCTTATTTCTAAGTGGCCTTATTATTCTCGTATTCTACACAGTTATTCATCCACATACTGTAATAAAAAATTTTAATAAGCCATTATTTAGTGATTACAATCATATAAGAGAAATCTATGGTGATGAATTAAAGTGTTCATGTTCAAAGATAGCATCGAAATACAATCAATTCGTCGAAATCAAATCTGTACTTCATCCAGTAAGATAGAATTTGATATTTTCAACAATTAAGATTAGAAATGTAATGATATTCTCTTTAATTGATATGTCTAGATTTGTGGAAAGGAATTTGTATCGGAAAAGTGGCGAATGGATTTAGTAAGTGGTCTTCACCCTAATTTAGCTGCATATGGAGACAGAGATTATCGTCGATTTCTTTCCGCTCATTTACAATATCTTCAAGGATTGTGTCAACTTTCGCAAAAATCAGTAGATAATACTATTAATGAATATGTCACATCGCTATTAGTCACGGTACAACTATTATCAGAAACTGATTTTCAGAACCAACTTAACGCCTCAATTGAACACAGTCGACTTAATGCTCCTCTCTTGTTTTCTCGTTGTCTCTTTTTCATTCAAAATAACTTTCGTGCAAATGCTTTTTTATCAATTTATGGAACAGATTTCAAGTTTCCTATTGAAAGTCAAAGTTATACAGGATATTTATACGCAGAACCTGTAATCTATGATAATGGATGTTCTTGTGAAATGTCTTCAAACTGTACAACTCAAGCAACTTTTATTGAAACAGATTCATCTAAGATTATTTCTGTCCTTGGTATGAAAATGGGATGCACTCCAACTGAATCATTTCTTGCCTCGACTCTTGAATGTTTCTATAATCAATCATGCCTTGATTTTATTCAACAATATACAAACTATTCAAATTCTTTAACTCCACTTTCAACAACAATTCTTAGTCGTTTCTCACAGAATACAACAATAACTGAACTTATCAGACACTTATTCATTGAGAAATGGTCGACAAAAATAAATTATTCATCATATTATGAACAATGTTCGCCTTCACTGTGTTCTTATATCAGTGTCGAAAACTTTGATATAATCTATTCAATTACTGTTATATTAAGTATTCAAGGTGGTTTAACTATCGTTCTGAAATGGCTTTGTCCGAAACTCGTTCAAACTGGATCAAAGATATATCATTTTCGAAAGAAACGAATAACTTCTATTCATCCAAAGGATTCTCTTGCAATATCGTCCCAAGTGTCTACTAACAGAATTATTCAAAATACTACTTCGGTTGTTACAGAGAGACCGATAAATCTAGCATCACAGTAAATTATCTTTGCTTTCTTTTGAATTAGAGGTTTCTTTTTTCTTTAGAAATAATCTTATACCACATAATCGATTGTTTTTCAAGATAGTATTTGTAATAATTGTTTTATGCATGTTAGGAGGTATTGTTATGTTTTCAATTTATTATACTCGACAAGGTAAAAATAAAAGCCTTTTAAGATTATGTTTCTACAACCTAGATCCACCAATCCGACACCGCATCTTATAGGATCCAATGTCGGATTGGTGAATCTGGGAATGATAAATATCATTTAGAAAAAGAATATGAAATTTTGATTTATTTGTTTAATAGATTTAACTACGGAAGTAACAATGACCGATAATTTAAACACAACAATAGGCACAATAATATCAACATCTATCGGAACATCAACAGGTTAGTTGACAAAACAAAACATAGAGTTAGACATTTTCTAAAGATACGACAAGTGAAATAATGATAAGCATAAAGTGAAATATGTATTTCTATCATACTCTTTAGAGTCCATATGCCAACCTAAATTTGACTATATATTTATTAATGCATCATGTTACTATTTTGACGATGTAGACGCGGCAATCGCTGTCGATGTAAATGCTGATGATAAATTCGATGTAATATTTTACTGTCCTCCTGAACAGACATTGAATATATTACTTGGGAAAGGCAATAATGGTACATTTGAAAAACCGAACATCTATCCATTTGACAATAATGCATTGGTTTCTCAAATTCTTTCTGGTGATGTCAACAATGATAGTCAAATCGATTTAATTTTAGTATATCGTATTAGTAGTGATGATCAATCTTATTTTGGCATTTTACTTGGAAATGGCAACGGGACATTTCAGATCGAAAGTATGCAATCGATAGCTACAACTGGCACTCCAAAAAAAACTTTGTTCGTTGATTTGAATAATGATAAATTGTTGGATATTATTAGTGCGAATACAGGTGATAATCTTCAGATAATTTATGGCAATGATAGTGAAACGTTTTTGTCACCGTTAACATTGCATATAGGATATGATGGTGGAAGCGAAGGTTTAGTTATTGGCGATTTTAATAATGACAGTTACATGGATATTGCTGTACTCCATGAGAGGGATCTCCATATTCATGTGTTTTTTGCTAGCGTTAATAGAAGCGTATGGTTACATAAATGGTTTTTCACTACAATTAGAACCTACGATGGCACTATAGTAAGTGGTGACTTCGATAGTGATAATGGAACAGATATCGTTTTTCTTACTATGTACTATGAATATTTTTCTAAGTTATATCGATATAAGAATGGCACTTTTCATACTGATGAGCATACTTTCAGTACTATGGAAGACCAAAAATCAATTAACTTAGCAGTTGTCGGTGATTTGAATAGCGATTCTTATTTAGACATAACTATTATTGGTAAATATTCACATCTTATCTACAGTCTTCTTGGAACTAGATCGGAAAAATTCGAAATCCATCAAATTCTTGATGTTGACGAATATCAACATAGGACATGGATCGATATTATTGATATTAATCATGACGGTTGTCCGGATATAATTACTCTAACTCGTTTCGCTGATTTATATCATCAAATGTTGGAAATTTTTTTCAATACATGTGTATGTTACACACGTTAGATAATTACTATCAAAAAGAATTCAACAGTTGATTAACAATAGAGAATTTTCTTTTTCAATCTTTTATCCTTTGTGCTTTATCATAATGTTACATGAACGTTACAAAATGCTTTCATTATTTTTTTGCTAAAAACTGTGATCATACGATCCTAACAGTGCGAGCTAATACAAAAAAAGAACAGTGAAGAAGAGATGTAAAGAAAAACATGATAATTGTAGTTAACATCAAAGAGAAAAGAAAAAAGAAAAAAAAATTCAGGACAATATTGCAATAGTTGAATATCGTCTAAATCATAGTGAAGAACAGAAGAATTTAATGGTGTAGAAGAAAGCCATGTCACAATTTTTTCAAGAATAGATAAATAAGGAACAAATCTTTTTGATGTTCTTAAACTTTTAATGGAAAATTCTCTATCTAACCAGCTTTTACGAAATTCACAGCAATTAGCTTTCTCAAAAAGAAGAAAACCATCGTTTGAATCAGAGAGTGCTATAAGATATCTATTCCAATATGCAGCACATCTGTCCTCTAAGGACAATTCATCGAGTACATGTGCAAAAAAGTTTTCATTCCGTTGAAGACAGAAGAGTGAACGAAGCAACGATGAGTAATACTTACGAGGGAACCTCATCAACTGATACCCTCCGTTTGAACTCATCTTTTGCTCATAGATAGGGTTCATAGTGTAGATGAAAACCCTGAAAGGAATCATCCCCATGCTGCCTTTTTGCAGGGAAAACAGACAAAGCAAATTGCTGTGAAAATGACATAACTGTTTTTTCTGTTTAAATTTGTTTTGACATCCTGATGAAAGAATGTTTTTCCGAACTTTTTTTAATCGGTGTTATATATTGTCACTTTCACATCTCGTTTTTTCTATCGTCATTGTGATGTCATTGTATACGTACTGCATCTATATTCGCTTTCGTTCTGCTGACATACACGTACACACACGTATGCTTCTATACGGTACTATGTTTCAAGATATTTATTTTCGTATTCTCTGGTATGTTCTCTTCACTCTATTATATTCTACTAAAATTCGTTCGTCTCCTGTATTCTTATATATATATATATATATATCTGCTGCTTGAAATAGCAAACATTTCATATAAGTGATAGAATAATATTTCTTTCTGACTAACAACGAATTAGTATTTAACTATCATCATCAAGTAAACAGATAAGAAGTATATTTTTATTTTATCAGGATTTATATTCATCAAAAATACGCATGATTAATCCTCACAACGTGTTAAAGGTACTATCTAACCTAACATCGAATAAAATATCCCTTAATTCACTATCTCCGATCAATAATGATGAAGAACATGTCACATCAAATTTATATACATGTTTGGAGTCCATTCTGGAAAGTATATCTCACATATTTGAAACAGAAAATACATTGGATCATGACGATGAACTATTTGATGAAGATGTAGAGAATTCCTCACCATTGGCATTTACAGATGAAGATCTTGATTCAATCAAAGATGCTGATTATGAATTAATTGATGAATTTAATTTACAAAATCATTTCTCACTCGATTACATGAAACAAGTGGTTGATTATTATGATGAAAAAGATCCAGTTACAGGCAAACTGTAAAACATCGTTTTCAACGTGTACCAAATCCAAAATGCATTGCTTGCTTCCGTAAATATATAGAAGTAGGTGGTACAAAAAAAACAAAAGTTTGACGATGTTGGTATCTATGTTTATGATCAATTCGAACATGCCCGATATAATTTTTTATCGGTCCATGATGTTGACTTACGAAGATGGGGTCTCAAAAAGGCTCGCGAATTACATTTAACAGATTTTCAAGCTAGTGAAAGTTGGTTATGGAATTTTCAATTTCGATATGGTATATGTGGCCGAAGAATAACGAAATAGTCAAAAAGAAAATTGTTGAAAATCAAGAAGACATTAATGAATCGGCAAAACATTTCGTTTTAGAAACAAATAAAATCATAGAAGGATATAGTTCAAATCAAGTGCTGAATACAGATCAAATAGGTATTGGATTGGAGCCTCATAGTAACAGAACATTAATCTATGGTGGAGAAAAATCTACTTGGGGCTGCAATTCATAGTTATACCATAGAGCTAACAATAACAATGGATGGAACTGTTCTTAATACATTATATAGGCGTTGAAAAGAACCATCAGGACGTATTGATGATAATGTCAAAAAGAATTTGTTCCATGCAAAAAATATTCTACTTACTGGTTCTAAAAGTGATAAATTAACATCGTCACTGATCACTTATTGGGTTAGTCAATGTTTATTTCCAAATTTACGATCCAGAATGTTGTTACTTCTTGACAGTTTACCACGTCAAACCCATCCAAAATTTTATGAAGAATTGAAAGATTTTGAATATAGGGGCATTCCGCCAAAAACTATCTCAATGATTCAACTTCTTGATCTTTACTACAACCGTCAACATAAGAAAATTGTAGGTCGTATATACGATTAGATGAGATAAATATTAATTTATCTGAACGTAATAATTTGATCAAGTTGCAATGATTAGTATACTCACAAATGTGTTCAAAAGCGGCAATCTGAAACATAATCCAGGTCCGTTTCAGAATGTGAAAGACATCTGCTTTACATTTCTAACAGATAAATGTCATGGAAATAATTGTCTCAACGGACCGATGATTCGGTGTTCTTGGTGTCAACAAGAACTATGCTTCATTCATTATTTTTTGAACTATCATTACCATCAAAATGATTAATCATTTTCTACATTATTTTTTTTCATTCACTACGTGCATAAGTTTTTTTCTCGATAAACAAGGAAAATAACAAATAATCTTCTGCTTGCCTATAATAAGAAACTATGCTCAATATTAGTTTAAAAAAGCTCGCAAAAACATTCCTTCATCATGATGTCAAAGAAATTTAAACAGAAAAAAACAGTTATGTCATTTTCACAGCAACTTGCTTTGTCTGTTTTCCCTGCAAAAACGCAGCATGGGGATGATTCCTTTCAGGGGTTTCATCTACACTATGAACCCTATCTATGAGTAAAAGATGAGTCCAAACGGAGGGTATCAGTTGATGAGGTTCCCTCATTAGTTGATGTATATGAGCTAAATAAGTCGCTTTTTCAGTTTACTTATTTACATGTTATTTCTTAAACGACGTGGCAAACAAAACGAAGAAATAGCGGCCAATACAAGCCAATGAAATGCAGGCATTCCAAATTAGTAATTTCTTTCTTTTCGTACTTAAACACACACATCTCCTTAACTATAGAAAATCAAAGAAATACTTATGAGAAAACAGATAAAAACACGCAAGTGAATGTCTGTATCATCACATATTTATTTCTAAGAAATGTTCAGCGATGTATACGCTGGAATCTTCGATACTTCGCTATAGGTTGGAGTACATAAAAAAACACCATAGCATACGTCTAAGTAGTAAAACACACTGACCTGCAATACGTGATAAAACTGAATCATCACTGATAAAGGTTCCACACCATTCAACCACCTGGTCGCAAGTCCGATCCATTTATCAATCAGAAACAGCCGGTGAACGAGACGACGTAATATTGAGAAGAATTTTGATATCGGCCAATTATCTACAAATTCACACAAAAGATTTTTGCAATTATTCGCAAGAAAACAGCAATACTAGAGAACAAAGAGATACTTTTATAAAGAAAAACATCATCGAAGATTTATTTTCTCTTCTACCTTATTCCATTCATTAAACCGTGACTACTTTACTGCTACTGTGCGTTTCATCTAATCACAAAATAAATCAGTAGATGATGATAGCACTCCATTCTATCTCGGATCGTTACAAGACATTATTCTTGAGCGACTTTCAATTACACCTTTACACAAAATCTAACCGTTCCAAAGGATTTGAATAATTTCTCATGAAAAGAGCGTAAATAAATAATCAGTGTAAATATCCTTTTTGGATGCTGAATGAAAATCAAGAAGTCGTCTAAAGGATAAATAATCTTATTTATTTCTTACTATTGTTCATAAACCTTCTGCTATGCAACCGTACATGAATAAACCTCATTACGCAGGATGATAAACCCATCCATCAAGTAGGGTTTAAACGGAATTCGTTGTAGACAATACGAAACCTTTTTGATTAAAGCGTAGATTGATCAATCTTTGCATGGAGATTAATGAACGTCTTAATAGAGAGCGGACACAAATCTACTGTTGTCCGTAGAAAAGCAGGCAACGTAATCGAAGAGTAGAGTACTAAATCATGAAAAGTACAAAGATGTACGTGTTCAAATAGAAGGTAGCACGATAAATCTAGAATCGAATAATGAGAAGCCCCTATTCGAAATCCGTATGATAATCTATCCGTTTTGGTTGAGCAATATACTCTCATCCTGGTATGATGGAACAATAAACTAGTATCTCATTATGATATATCAATTTAGCTTTGATGAACCCTCAGTTTCATGAACGCTTTGAATGCCAAACCATTGAAGGGTTCGTCACATCGATATATACCCTTGAAAGGTTTATTGACAAATTTCTTAAGGGCAAGGGTTGATTATTATGCGGATTTTTTTTTCAGGGAAGATTGGGGTGGATTGGACGAAGATAAAAATATCATATTCACAACCAAAACTAACAAAAGTTTATCATTTAAATGTCTGATCACAAACTTGTATTTCCTTTATTGTTTATCATCTTCCTCCTCTATGTGATATATGTTACTGTGAACTAGAATACGAATCGAAAACATCTCGTTTTTCAATCATTATCCATTAGTAAACTAACTAAAAGCTTCATTGCTCAGTTTAGAAAATTTTCGTTGGCATCGGAGATCCTACTCAAGCTTCGGAATAATTACTGAGAGCAGCAACGACATATAGACCAATAAGTTAATAATCTTATCTATGGTGTTTGATTTCGTTCACATTTTATGAAAAGTAGTGATTTTCACTTTTCGAGAACAAGAAAAAGATATTTCNATAAAGAAAATCCATAATGAAAGAGAGAATGTATGCGTAGATAAATAAGAAATAAGCCGTGTACGATATCAGTGGAAGATGACGTAAGAAAAGAACAGAAGTTATGGGTATAAGTGCAAAAGGAATAAGGTGAATAAGGTCATTGTATGGATAGTGATATAGCAGATTAACGATTTATGTGGTGGCAACTCATAAAAAACATACAAACAGGTATATTTTAATTATTTACGAGTTTATTTGAAGCTGGACGTATATATACGTCGCCCGTCCCCAAGGGGTTAATAAACGTTGATCCGCATAATCGATATAACACCTCCGACAAAAATGTCCATTAATGAAGCAAGTTTGAAAACCACCTAACCAATTGGCTGCTAGGTTATCCCCAACGACAGTTGAAAACGTAAATTTATACAGAATTTTATTGATTATAAGACCATTAAGTTGCAGTTCATTTAAGTTGTCGATTATTGGTCGGAAAAAACTCTCTGCTTTGATGGGATCCTCAAATAAACCAAATATGCTAAGACATTCTACACATGTTATAAAAAATTTTTCCTGTTTCAAAGTAGACTTATATCTGACTGCCATAATCTCTGTTGTACTGCGCATAAAAAACACAAATATATCAGTTTCAACTAACGCAAAAAGGAGAAGATCCATTCGAGAAGACAATTCATTTTACTACCATTCAAATCAATTCAATATTTGCTAACTGATTAAAGCTCTTTGCTGATCTAGATTCTGCCTAAGATGTTTACCTTGAAGATTTTACTATCGCAGATTGCAAGAAGTTGAATGAAATCATGCTCATCTTATGTCAATCACGTTTCGATCTTAATGGGTTTGTCAATCCGATATCGTCGATGTACAGTTGAATTAACAGATGATTATCGTCCAATCCCAAGCCATGATAGCCATCTCGAATTGAAAACATTAAATCTTTATCCAATTCGGTTATTGTTTGTTATCGATAAATATTTTCGAGAATTTCATTAGAAAATAGCTGAGAATGAAGCATCAAAGACAAACTGTTGTCAATCGGGACAAAGTAACCACAATCAGTGTCACCAGCAACAGATGATACAGGAATTTCCAATGAAGAAGTAAACTGGACATATTCTTCGCAATATTTAGTAAATTGGTACTCGTTCTTAAGTATTGATTCAATTCCATTGCAAACATCATCGAATACGAGTTTTAATTGATTAAAATCAATAAATTTTCCGACATCACCTCGAGAAATCAATGATACACGCGAAGGACTATTTTCGGAAAAATCGAACGTTTTTTCCTCTAATAAGATTTCAATGTGATTAATTAACGAATTAATATATGTTGAAATAACGTTTGTTACATTTTTTGGTAATAAGAATTCTTCCCTTAGTTGCAAAATGAACATTACAAATGACTTTTTAATATCTTGTATTGAACTAACAGCTGCTTCATTACGATTGCTTGAGAAATGTGACGACGCATCATCATTTGATAAAATTGAATCCGTTTCGTCGCCTGAATCAGTGGATTCGTTGCGCTCATCTCCATTCACAAATTTAGTTGCAGTTGTCGTATCGACATTAGTTAGTTGTGGATTATCAATTGGGATCGTATCAATGTTGTTGTTGTGGTTTGCAGATGAATGGAGTTCCGTTGAATGTTTTCGATATACATGGGATTTGTACGCGGAGTGTTTTTTTTTGTAAAACACATCACATGTATTATGTAAATCACATTCGATTTCATATTTTGGATCACTTTGATGGTAGAGCGTTATGTGGCGAAATAGTTTGAAGAAACTTAGGAAATTTCTACTCGTTATGCAAAGTGGACAAATAAATGACGCCATGATATTCCGACGCGAAAAATTCAAAGCCACGACAGATATTTTACTTAGTTGATGTATATTAGCTAAATAAGCAGCTTTTTCAGTTTACTTATATATATGTTATTTCTTAAACGACGCGGCAAAAAGAACAAAGAAAAAGCGGCCAATACAAACCAATGAAATGCAGGCATTCCAAACTAGTAATTTCTTTCCTTTCGTACTTAAACGCACACATCTCCTTAACTGCAGAAAATCAGAGAAATACTTATGAGAAAACAGATAAAAACACGCAAGTGAATGTCTGTATCATCAGATATTTATTTTTAAGAAATGTTCAACGACGTATACGCTGGAATCTTCGATACTTCGCTATAGGTTGGAGTACATAAAAAACACCATAGCATGCGCCTAAGTAATAAAACACACTGACCTGCAATACGTGATAAAACTGAATCATCACTGATAAAAGTTCCACACCATTCAGCCACCTGCTCGCAAGTCCAATCCATTTATCAATGATAAACACCCGGTGAACGAGACGACGTAATATTGAGAAGAATTCGATATCGGTCAATTATCTACAAATTCACAAAAAAAGATTTTTGCAATTATTCGCAAGAAAACAGCAATACTAGAGAACAAAGAGATACTTTTATAAAGAAAAATACCATCGAAGATTTCTTTTCTCTTCTACCTTATTCCGTTCATTAAACCTTGGCTACTCTACTGCTACTATGCGTTTCATCTAATCACAAAATAAATCAATAGATGGTGATAGCACTTCGTTCTATGTCGGATTTTTACAAGACATTATTCTTGAGCGACTTTGAGTTGCACCTTTACACAAAATCTCACCGTTTCAAAAGATTTGAATAATTTCTCATGAAAAGAACGTAAATAAATGATCATTGTAAATATCCTATTTGGATGCTGAATGAAAACCAAGAAGTCCTCTAAAGGATAAATAATCTTATTTATTTCTTACTATTGTTGATAAATCCTCTGCTATGCAACCGTACATGAATACACGAATAAACCCTATCAGAGAGAATGATAAACCCATCCACCGAGTAAGATTTAAACGGAATTCGTTGTAGACAATACAAAACCTTTTTGATTAAAGCGTAGATTGATCAATCTTTGCATGGAGTTTAATGAACGTCTTAATAGCGAGCGGACACAAATCTACCCTTGTCCGTAGAATAGCAGACAACGTAATCGAAGAGTAGAGTACTAAATCATGAAAAGTACAAAGGTGTACGTGTTCAAATAGAAGGCAGCACGATAAATCTAGAACCAAATAATGAGAAACCCTTATTCGAGATCCGTATAATAATCTATCCGTTTTGGTTCAGCAATATACTCTCATCTTGGTATGATGGAACAATAAACTAGTATCTCATTATGATATATCAATTTAGCTTTGATGAACCCTCAGTTTCATGAACGCTTTGAATGCCAAACCATTGAAGGGTTCGTCATATAGATATATATCCTTGAAAGGTTTATTGACAAATTTCTTAAGGGCAAGAGTTGATTATTATACGGATTTTTTTTCAGTGTAGTATGCATATATGAGTGGATTGTAACTTTTTGGTGCAATTAGATTTTAAGTGCATTTGGCTAATAACACCAGTTTGCCTCGGCCGATTTCAACGATTTTTTCAAAATGTTATAGTGCTTTGAACACCTCACTACCGTGCAAAATTTCAGGTCATTAACTCATGTTGTTACTGAACTGTAAAAAGTTTATGATGAAAAAACGGCATTTTTTCATGAAGTATGCTACGAAGAGGAAATTTTTCGACTCTAAAGAGGCAAGAGGAAACGGAGATAATCAGTCTATTTTGTAAAGTTTTTGACACTATCGAAATATGCAACTGATTTGGGTTTGAATTTTCAGTGGTTCGTTCATCTACCGTTCACATTGTTTAACAGACACTTGTTCTTTTCCATGTAGAGTGACGATTCGAAAGTTGTCTCATTTATAACTCTCGAACGGGTCGTCAGATTGAGTTCAAAGTTTTAGAGAATATGTAAAACAAAAAGTTCTATTAGTGGTAAAAATATCCGCCTTTGGTTTCGTATCGCTCAAGAGAAATTGACATTATACTGAAAAATGTAGAGAGACATTCTTTCGAAAAATATGTAGTGACAATTACTCTATGTATAACTCGTGATTGGCTTAATTGTTTTCGCCTAAACTTATCCCATCGATACATCTCCTAGACGTGTATAACAGGTAAAAATTAAACTCTCTATCTTTTATCATTTACACGATATTTACATCATATGATGCCCGCTAAATTCGTGAAATAACAGTTTTAGTAGTACATTTACCCTGAAAAAACTCGTATCTCAACTAATATGCGACAAACTGTTGGGGAAGTTCTGCAAAGTAGCGTAGGTAAAGAGTGTATTAAAATTAGCTAGTCAGAAACTGTTTACACTCTAAATAAAAAACGTTAGGTGACCGAACTCATCAAAAGGATTTTGTAGATGTCAAAAGCTTCAGAATGCGTTGACAAATCGAAAGAAATGATTTTCAAAATCTACGAAACCTAGAAAGGACCTGACCGCGGGTACGCATTCCGAACCATCGTCTACGAAACCTTTTTGAGTTTTGTACAGCAAAAAAAAGGTTCCGACAGAAAGTACGAAACTTCGGGGTTCAGCACTATGGTTTTATACGAAAACGCTAAGGTTCCGTGGGCAAATAAGAAACCATTTTTCGCTGTATGAAACTTAAAATGGTTTCGTAGAGGATGGTTCGGAGCGTGTGCCCACGGTCAGATCCTTTTTAGGATTCGTAAATTTTGGAAACCATTTCTTTCGATTTGTCAACGCATGCTGAAGCTTTTGACATTTACGAAACTTCTTTCATGGGTTTGAACATATTACATTTTTTATTTAGAGTACTCAAAGTTATAGCATATAAGCAACTAAGGTTACCCCTATAGTACAGTATATAAAGACCTACGGCTACCATTCATCTAAATAAAACAGTTAACACGGCGCAGTACCTGCTAACTCTGTACGGAAACAATATCATCAGACCTCTCTTATTCCTCAAAAGAAATAAATAAACGTTATTTCATTTGAATGATGGAATCATTTGATAATTTATTCTAGTCTTTTACTCATACTTGATTTGCTTCCTCAGATCTCATCAAACGAACGCGTAGTCGTTCGCCGGTGTCCCTCCGAGCTCTCATTCACGGCTAGCCGCTGATCCATCATAAATTTCTATGATATTTTCATACTGAGACCGTCTGCAGTCGTAGTTATCAAAATTCTTCGTGACTGTATGATTCAGAGTCCATATTTTATTGTTCGCTTCGATTTAGGGAGCTAATAATGTGCAGAAGTTTTCCTCGAACTTCGAAGGGACATAAATATAGTCCTTCGAAAAGTCATTGGCACCAACTAGGACTCTTAAAAGCCTCATCTTCCAAGCAAATTTCAAAAGAGACGCCTCATTATGCCTTTCATTTTTTATTAGTCGTCAAATTGAATAACTACCTTTCTTTTCATCATCGCTTCCACAGTGGTGACTTTCCATTATTTCACTACCAAGAGAAATAAGATAAGAAACGTTGATGCTTTACCGCGAAAAGAGTAGCCATCATAGCACTTTATGTTATTAGAATACTATTTGTATAGTAGAACTGCACCATGGAGATCACTAATTCTGGACTCTAGGTCGGTCACAAGTCCAGATAAAGGAGGAACGTTGGACGGAAGGGGTGCAGAAACCGCCGTCTGTAAAAAGAACAAGACGAGAGAAACCAACCATGAACGATTTAAGAGGAAATTCATACAGGGTTGGACGGCGCCCAGAAGAACGAGGTCCGCGTCCTCTGTTTACGTTAGTGACCAGGGCAGAGTCGATAAAGTGGCGACTGGAAAGAGCTCATATACGACAAAAAACTCAAAACAATCAGCTCGTGCCAAGAAGTCTTTGACAGTAGGAGCATGGAATGTGCAGGCCCTATGAACTGTTGGCAAATTAGAACTGTTACGAAACGAAGTGAAACGATTCAGGCATGATATAATTAGTATTTGTGAAGTACGATGGACAGAAAAAAGTGAAACACCGAATGCGGGTTTCATCTAGTCAGAAGAAGAAACTGTACATATGAAGGGTGTCGGTTTCTTAGTAAGTGCACACGTAAAAAAGGCATTAATAGGATATAATCCAATCAGTCCACGAATAATTTCAGCGCGATTTGATGCAAAATCATTCAAAGATAACAGTCAAACATGTATATGCACCAACTTCTGCATCATCAGAAGAAGACATTTAAGCATCCTATAGCGATATTGAAAAAGTAATAACGAAGACAGATAAAAAGGCTATAATCATTAGGCTAGGAGGCTAGTACGGAAAATGTAGAGTGGAAATCAGTTAAGGATAAATACAGATATGGCGACAGAAATGAACGCGGAGAACGCCTCTTGGAATGTGCCACAGTACACGACCTCTNCGTGTCGGATTATTCGACCGAATTATGTTTCTATAGATAGTTTTTATGCTGAACAAGAAAAACATAAATCGGGATTGATCAATAGTCAACATTAGGTAAACGAATCCAGTTTCTGAAAACTAAGCTGGTTTTTCTCACATAAAACATACCATTAGTATTGCCAGTTTTTCTCTTATGAAAGAGGTTTAAAAATCCTTTTAAAAATATACTGTTTTACACTGTTTTGATAAGCTCTATCCAACCACACATAAGCCATCGAGAAAAAAAAGTTGCTCAAATTTTGCGTTGCGCGCATCTTGGAAGATATTAAATCTTACTTACAAGATGTTCTACTAGGAGTGGAATAGTGCGCACAATACGTGAACTGGAAGTGTCGAGAATAACATATTGACAAAATGCCGAGGAACTTCCAAGATTCATTGGTGCTCGACATGTTATTGTATCATTTATTGAGCATTTAAAACGATTGTGAGCATCGAGAAATAAACAACTCTCATTGAATGTTTCATCATCATCGAATGGACAGTCTCGTATGCCATCAACTAGACGATGTTTTGAGATACATTTTGTTGAATTCAAACATTGGTATAGGGTTGGATGATTGCAAAAATAAGTCGCGTTCGGTATCACTAGACACCTGCGAAATTTTTCTTCGACAATATTCAGACGTGCTGCAAAAACAATCGCGCTCTCTGCTTCGAAACCAAACTCATGAAAACGACGACAAGCTGAATCGTTTAAATAAATTGTAGCTGGAAGAAAATCACGGCAAAGTGTTTCATCGTAGCATATATAGGTTGGTAAAAGAGAGTCTCCGGAGTTCTTGTGTAGATCGCTTGTATTGAACAGAAAGCGTACATGTCCAAAGAGAATAGGGCCAGGAGGAAATTCATATATAGATGGACATTCTTTTCGCATGCAACTGCTTTCTAAACAAACATTTTTACACGAACTGATTCCAATTAAACAACCCAAAATTTTTGCACAATTATCAGTAATCAATGATTCGTTACGGACAGCTGGGAACCAAGATTCTGTCTCCCATCGACACCGGTAACTGAGACTAAAAAGAATACTTTCGCTCGGATCGCATGTAGACTCTTTACATCGAAAAGTAGGATCGTTATAGCAAAAACTGTACTGAAACGCATGATAAATTTCGTCTGTTCCATCTTGACAATCTGGATTCATTTCATCATCAAAGGCGAAATCTTCTGGAATGCATTGACCATTGTAACATCGATATTCATTCGAAGCACATTCATTTATTTCAAGTTGCCAACAATTCGATTCATCAGATCCATCGAGACAATCCATTTTCTTATTACAAATGTCGCGCCAGTCTAAATACGACGAAACTGACATACAATTATGATCTTTATAATATGTTATCTTTGTATCAGTTGTAACAAAGGGTCTATTTCTAAAGTAGAAATATATAATCTGGTCCAGTGATTGACCAGGTGTCAAATCGAATCTAAAGCGACAGAAGGGCCCAAACCAATTTGATGTACAGTTGTAGAATAACATTTCTTTTTCGCACAACGATGACTGCGAAACATTTTCCAGAAACATTTGATAGTATTCAACCAGTTCGATAGGAGCTGACCAAGATAATAACATCAGACTACTTATATTTTGATTTCGTAATTCACCGAAAGTATAGTTAAAATGATTAGAATTAGAAAATTTATCATCGACGAGGAGAATATCATCTTCTAATGGTCGAAGACAATATGGAATTATTTTATGTGCATGTTTATACGGAAGAACATAAAAAAGACCTTTGAAAATAAAGTCCGGTACATAATATAAAAGACAATATCCGTTTTGATGTCGATCAGTATTGTACATATTCATTTCATATTCTGGTATTGCTTGAACATACCATATAATTAAAACATATGTTAGCAGCATCTTCAGCATAGAAAATACCCTAGCAGACAAGAATTTGAAAAAAATCGTGCAAACGTACAGTCGGGAACCCCGACTGTGAACTAAGCACGTCAACTGATAAAATGTAAAAAAAGCCGTTTTTAACGTGTAATTGGCACTTTTACAACGTCAAAACGCTACAAATTTGTTTTTCTCAGTGTTTTAACGGTGTGAAAGTGCCAACTACGCGTTAAAAGCGGTCTTTTTGGAGTTTTATTAGTTGACACGTTTAGCTCATAGTCGAGCTTCCCGACTGTACGTTTGCCCGCGTTCTTCCAAAATCTTGTCGGTTATGATATATCATTTGGAGCATTCATCCCATTCCGCGATTTGAAACATTGCGGAACTGGATCCGCTCCTATAATCAGTTCCATCGATCGTGGAAATGCGTTAAATTGCCACAGCATCTAGTTCTAGATAGGAGTGAACTATTTAATTTAATTCTACCGAATTAACGGGTTACACTTCAGCTAGGCAGTGTTTTACTCCGGTCGTGCGATATTAACCATGTACCTTTAAGTTTTCGTTCATGAATCTATAGTTGCGGAGTCAGAATGGATGAGGGTGAGGGTGTTTTGAAGATCTCAAGATAGTAATAGACCAACCGATTCCGGAATCGGTCGACGTCGCTGGAATTAGTATCGTCAATTCCAGGATTGGCTAGAATTAGCGCAGTCGAATGCGAAATTAAGTGATATGTCAATTTAATGCATTTCTAGAGTCGATCGGAACTGAATCCCGATCTGGATTTACTTCCACAATGTTCACCATCGCAAAATAGAATATATTCTCATCATTTCATAAAAGTATACCGAGCTATCAACAAAATTTATATCATGATATATGATTTTCCTACAAATAAAGATTATATTTCATCAATGAAATAACATGTCTGACAATTTTATTTCCTACTTTTTTATGTGTTACGCAAATAAATCGATGAAAATAAATATACCATACACATAGCTAATAATAAGGAATCTCGTATTCCACCCAAGTCAAAAAGCTTTTAGCGCAATCCTTGCATCACTCAGAATGTGGAACACGATAGAACTAAACACATTCGCCATGATGCGACCTGCCGGTGGACCACGCCACGTTTTAACAAGAAAGTCTATAGAAAATCACTTTCTTTTGCTTTTTTTAAATTAGGAACTGAAACATAGGGGGTCATTTCTGCCGTCTTTAGTACTTTATTTGAATCTTTCCACTCAAAGCATAACATATGATCGATGATTAACGGGTAGTAATTTTGTAATAAAGAGCTCTTATAAAGAATAATTAACTGTTAATGGTCTGATCTCCAATTATGTTCAAAGATTTAAATACTTTCTTCTACATTTTCTTTTCTGTCTTAAGAATGACTCTACTTGAGTCGAAACGTCGACTTTCAATACATAAATAAATAATGTTTTTCACTGGTGTAAAATCACTTCTCTTTATTACAGGATTTGAAGAAGATAAAAAATAGCATATTCACAACCAAAACTAACAAAAGTTTATCATTTAAATGTCTAATCAGAAACTTGTCTTTCTTTTATTGTTTATCATCTTCCTCCTCTATGTGATGAACGTTATGTGAACTAGAATACGAATCGAAAACATCTCTTTTTTCAATCATTATCCATTAGTAAACTAACTACAAGCTTCATTGCTCAGTTTAGAAAATTTTCGTTGGCATCGGAGATCCTACTCAAGCTTCGGAATAATTACTGAGAGCAGCAACGACATATAGACCAATAAGTTAATAATCTTATCTATGGTGTTTGATTTCGTTCACATTTTATGAAAAGTAGTGATTTTCACTTTTCGAGAACAAGAAAAAGATATTTCGTTTTTTACACGTTGATCTTGTTAATTGCATATTTTTCATATGTGTACCAATTCTTTTTTAATAGCATTTTAGTCAATTTGCCACTATACATAGTAAACAAAATAGTATAACTTCCAGATTGTATTATTCCTAAAGAATACTGGCTTACTCGTAATGTTCCCCCTGTTCTGCCACAATTATCACGTGCTATTTGACTCGTTCTACTTTGCTGACGTCGTATTCTTTCTTCATGAGCACCTCCTAGAAACAACATATTACAAGAATAAGACACATGAAAAATGTTAATTAAAAGAATAATCAATAACTTACGAATCGCTGCTTGTTCAACTTTCAATTCCTCTGCAGTTTTCGGTTTAATACCAGCATTTGGATTAGTATTATTTACTTGTGCCTAAGAAAATTCGAAAAATTAATATTTAAAAATAAACAATAGAGTGTTGAGCCTGTATTAAATCACTGACATAAAAACTCACTAATATAGTCTAATATTTAATACGATACATTGGATTATGAGAGGAATGCTTTTAAAGTCATGCTTACTTTAAGACTTTGACTGCTTTGATTCACTTGACGATTAGTTTTCGGTTGTGTCATTGGTGTTCTGAAAATATAGTTCTATATAAAAATTTAACAAGGTAACGATCATATTCACCCAATAGCATTTGCTTGCGACTCCTCATTTGGCAGAGGCCCTGTTGAATGACTGATATTGCGACCATTTAACAAACGATTGTTGCGATGTTTGCCACGATTTTCATATCTTTGATAATCTAAGATGATCGTAGAAAAGCTAGTTGTTTCATATTCTTCCTAGATACCGTCAAAATCGAATGCTGTAATAATAAGACCCTCTTCATTACGCATTGTATTGATTGGCACATGATATTCATCACTAGGCACAGATATCATACTGTGACACTTGTACGATGTAGTTTCATAATTGTTTTTATTGACTTCAACAGGCTCTTATCAAACGAAATGAGATTCATTTTTAAAAAAAGAAAGTGACAATTAGGGATACGCTACTTTGATCGTTTGAGCCAAATGGGTCGTATTGTCCTTCACGTAACACAGGTCGTTTAGTTTGTCTACAAGAAGCAGAAGTTAAACACTATGCCTGACATGAATTTTAAAGAACGTTCACATCCGTTTCGTGCATCTTGTATGTCCAACATATAATTTAATCGTTTGACTTTCTGTGCAGGCTAATTGTATACATTTTTGAGCATATTCAAATGTTACAAATCGTAAATCGTACGTGTTCGACTGAAATGCATTGTTTATTCAAAAAAAGGACTAACTCTAATCGTTTTACTGTAGAAGAGATTTGTAATAATCGATCACCGATGTCTAATTGTTTATTAGTCTGATATTTACTTATGTCGGTGATAAATATGCCATGATCGCTGTAGAAGTAACAATCAAGCCAATTAAATAAAGGTGAAAAGAATCATATTGATAATTACTTTATAAAGTATTCACTTCCAATTCCACCTTCAATATAAATATTTAATCTTCCATTATGCGTCAATTCAATCTCTTCACTATATTCTGGTGCGAGACGTCGAATCAACTGAGCATATAATAAATAAAGATTCTGATATATACATTTGATGCTGCTTACCAGTTGCACTTTCTGACCCGATGATTTCAAAATATCAACGGCAGTTTGATGTTTTATATTATTGAAACAGAAATTATTCACACGTAATATTCTATCATATGGTCTAAAGTAACAAATAAAAAAATCATTGTTGTGATGGAAAGCACTTCCTTACTTTAATTGTTTATTTCTATATGCAAGACCATATTCAGTAATACTCGTTACAATAACAGATGTGAAACGATGATTCATGAACGATACATCAATCCCTCCTGCAATAGTGAATCCTAATGGTTCATGGTCACCGTTTATCTATGGAAAAGAGTACAATGAAAATAAGCTGGAAATAAACATTTAAAAATTATGATACAAACTCTTTCAAGAATAATTTCTTTTTCTTTCCAGTGATCTTTATAATCGAAACGTATCATGTCAGACATAATATTTGATCAATGATATTTGCGAGCACTTCACTTACGCAAATCTATAATATATTAAAAGTATACGTGAAGCCAAAATTATTGTTTTTTTTTGGAAAAAGAAAAATATTTAACAAGAATCGAGGTAAGAAGAAACGAATAAAAAATACTTATATTTGCTGAGAATGAAAAAGTATGTTTTTATAAAATATGTAAAGTGTTTTTTCGAAGATTAATCGTCTTTTCAATTGATCGCTACGATGAAACAGAGCATGTTACCACATGACCATTATAGTACCTAAGCAGACAAGAATCGCCAAAAACGCGTTTTCACGCCAAGAAACATCGCTTTCGGAGTGATTAATCGCGTGTGCACTGATAAAAATTTTCGTAGAATGATAAACCCTCAAAAAAGGGTTTATAACTGAAAACTTCGTTTATCAACGTGATCTACCCCTTGATCAACCCTTTTTTCTTGATAAACCTCAAAAAGGTATATGTCACAGTTGACATGAGAATCTAGTTGAATTTGGAATGCGCGAAAAACAATAGAATAGAAAAAAAATGATCTATTTTTTCTGCTCTACAGTTTCTGTATCCCCATGTCCCGCATCAAAACTCTTTCGATTGAAAAATAAAATCGTCATTTTTTTCTAATTTTTCAATGTCCCGCTGCTCGAAAACAAAACTATTTGTTTAACAAAAGTAAAACTACTTGTTTTTTTCTCTCTCTCTCTCTCTACAGTTTCTATATTCCCATGTCCCGCATCAAAACTCTTTCGATTGAAAAATAAAATCGTCATATTTTTTTCAAGTTCTTCAATGTCCCGCACATCCCGCTGCTCGAATAAATTTATTGACATAAAGAAAATTCACCAATTTTTTTCATCTCTGTAAAAGTTTCAATGTCCCACATATCGCCGCCCTGGAAAGAAAACAGAGTCAGCATAAGCTACCTAAATAAATCAAAATTTTCTTTATCATTTTCAATCTTTCATCGAAACAGCATGTGATTAATCGTTAATTTATCTCTATGTTGGGTATATGGATTAAGAAGCTAATGTCGAAGTTCATATAGGAAGGAAGAAAGCAGATAATTGTTGTATATGAAGAGGAAGAGACAGAGAGAAGAGGAAAAGTATACAATCATAGATTGTCATAATACCAAATATCTATAGTTTGAAACTTAAATTCAACAGTCTACCCTTCCGTTCAATTATTCGAGCATTCGTATACTTGCGAGGGAGTAAAAGGGTTCTGACGGGACATCATTTCAGTGAGGATGAACAGAAGAGTTTTGAAAGCAGTCGAATATTCAAATAATTGAAAAAAGACTACAAAAATAGTTGAATAGTTGAGCNTCACCCCTTTTTTCTTGATAACCCTCAAAAAGGTATATGTCACAGTTGACATGAGAATCTAGTTGAGTTTGGAATGCGCGAAAAACAATAGAAGAGAAAATAGAATAGAAAAAAAATTATCTATTTTTTTCTGCTCTACAGTTTCTATATCCCCATGTCCCGCATCAAAATTCTTTCGGTTGAAAAATAAAATCGTCATTTTTTTTTCAAGTTCTTCAATGTCCCGCACGTCCCGCTGGTCGAATAAATTTATTGACATAGAGAAAATTCAACAATTTTTTTCATCTCTGAAAAAGTTTCAATGTCCCATATATCGCCGCCCTGGAAAGAAAACAGACTCAGCATAAGCTACCTAGATAAATCAAAATTTTCTTTATCATTTTCAATCTTTCATCGAAACAACATGTGATTAATCGTTAAAACTTTTTACCATTTTATAGAATTCTCAACGATCTTTCGAAATTTCAAAATATTTCCGTACACAATTATAGATTCCGTCTATTTCTCTTTCAAACGTAGAAAAATATAGCTTTATATATTATTTTGATATTTATGTACATTCCAATCTCAACAAAATTCTCTAACCGACTGTGCCATATATTAACCTTTGCAAACTGATAAACCCAACAGTGTATTGTCTCGTGATAAACCCTTTTCCCGTTGATCAACTGAATCAACCCTCAAACTCAGAGTTTATCATCATTTCCAAGAAACCTTTCGATTACAATTGATCCAGTTGATCAACGAGAAAATGGTTTATCAAAAGACGATAAACTGTTAGGTTTATCAAGAAAAAAGGTTGATCAAGGGGTAGATCACGTTGATAAACGAATTTTTCAGTTATAGACCCTTTTTTGAGGGTTTATTATTCTACGAAAATTTTTATCAGTGTAGAAAAAAATGGACGTGAAAGCACAGAGATTCTGATTGTTTTCGGCGAACAAGCACGCAAAATGATAATCTCCATCACTTCTTAGTGTATAGTTGCATAGAAAAGCGGTTTTATTGCCGTGTACACGCTGACTTTCTCAAATGTGCGTGTTTTCAGTGCAAATTTGCAATTTTAAGGCGTTTTCACGCCTACTTTCTCTATGAAACTTACCGATATATAATACACCATGTGAATATATCGCCTAATTATAATTCTGAAGCGTTTACACGTAAACTACATGCTGTTGTGGTATCTACGATAATCCAACAAAAAACACATTACCTGTGAGAATTTTTCCTCTGATCTTCAGTCAAAATTTCTTAACATTTTAACAAATTTAGAGTTTCATCGCGAATTCTTTTATCTCACTGCACACGTAGAATACCTTCGGACAGAATTCGATATTTTTTTGAGCCGATTCGTTTCAACGTAGGTTCCAATCATAAAAACTTTTCGCTCCATTCACACCCATACCCTCAAAATTTTGTGACGAGACTACTATCCTCCTGAATTCGGTGAAAGGGTTGGTTTGGAACTTGCCAGGAAAAAAAGATCGTTCGTACCGTCAAGCATCCTGTCAAAGTGAATGTCTGAGGTTGTTTCTCAAGTAAAGGTTTCGGTCGCATCGCCTGCTTCCCACAAAATCTTGACGCAAAGATTATGTGCAGTGTGAGAGTCATGGAGATTTCGTTTTATGTTATTAATCAAAATAAACTCTTCGCTTTTATATAATGTGAAGGTTTTCATTTGATCATCATGCTTAGTAAAATAAGAGGTGGACGAAGATTTTTGTCGGCTACTGTATTTATTATTTCCAAATTACGAATGCGTGTAAATATTCTTGCAGAAGAGATTTTGACCATTGATGACACTCCTGCTGTCAAGAGCAAGGCGGTATCTGTGCGAGCACATAGAATGCTTTTAATCAAAATGACATGAATGTCATCAATAAGATTCTGTTAGTTTTGAACTCTCCATATTCTTTTCTTCTTACAAATTTCAACCAAAGTTGTTTATTCTACTTAGAATATCAAAAATGTAGATCTTGACATATTATTGAGAACCTTTGCATTACTCATTATTTATAGAGGTCGTAAAATATGAAAAATAAATGTGTATCTGTCATATTCAAATATTTCTATATGAAATTCATTTTCTATATATTAAATTAAACAAGAAAATATATTTGAGAATTAAATATGAATTATGTTCTTTTTATGTTCAATCAATGTTTTCGAGTTATTCGATNGTTCCAATCATAAAAACTTTTCGCTCCATTCACATCCATACCCTCAAGATTTTGTGACGAGACTACTATCCTCCTGAATACGGTGAAAGGGTTGGTTTGGAACTTCCAGGAAAAAAAGATCGTTCGTACTGTCAAGCATCCTGTCAAAGTGAATGTCTGAGGTTGTTTCTCAAGTAAAGGTTTCGGTCGCATCGTCTGCTTCCCACAAAATCTTGACGCAAAGGTGATGTGCAGTGTGAGAGTCATGGAGATTTCGTTTTATGTTATTGATCAAAATAAACTCTTCGCTTCTATATAATATGAAAGTTTTCATTTGATCATCATGCTAAGTAAAGTAAGAGGTGGACGAAGATTTTTGTCGGCTACTGTATTTATTATTTCTAAATTACGAATGCGTGTAAATATTCTTGAAGAAGAGATTTTGACCATTAATGACACTCCTGCTGTCAAGACCAAGGTGGTGTCTGTGCGAGCACATAGAATGCTTTCAATCAAAATGGCACGAATGTCGCCAATAAGATTCTGTTACTTTTGAACTCTCCATATTCCTTTCTTCTTACAAATTTCGACCAAAGTTGTCTATTCTACTTAGAATATCAAAAATATAGATCTTGGCATATTATTGAGAACATTTACATTACTCATTATTCATAAAGGTCGTAGAATATGAAAAATAAATGTGTATCTGTCATGTTCAGATATTTCTATATGAAATTCATTTTCTATATATTAAATTAAACAAGGAAATATATTTGAGGATCAAATATGAATTATATTCTTATTATGTTCAATCAATGTTTTCGAGTTATTCGATTCGTTTTTTAAGACATTGAAATTCTATGAATTTCAGGTTGTTCTCGAATCATAATTCCAATATGATTATTTCGTTGATTTTTATGACAATAATAATAATAATATTGAATAAATTGCACAAATTTTTTACGATAATATGGCGCTGAAATAAGATAAACATAAAAATTGGATGCATAACTAATGTATAGAAGAATATTAAATATATTAGATATCATTGTTTCTTGTTCTAAACGATCTGATGATTTGACTATTGATGCTGTTAATACTTGATAAATTATGATTGTTGCAAAAGGTGCTAATGGAACTACGATTAAAATAATTTGTAAAAGTATCATTGAAGTTAAACTTCGTTGAAATACATCACGTAGATGATTATTACCATTAATTGAAGAAATATTACGGTATGTTAAAAAGCCAGTTATACCTAATATTAAAGCAGGTAAAATGCCGGGAAGAATTGGCCGAAGAAAATAATTTTGATAAAGTAGAAAATAAGAATTAATGACTAAACATCTTTTTGTAATTGAGCCAGTAATATTTATAGATTCAATAATTGTAGTGAAAAATAGAATTGGTATGTTAATTCCTGTAATTATTATAGAAGTAATGAAAATAAATAATTTTGCTGTTCTTAATTTACTTCGATTACGCCAGATAATATTTCGACATGTAACAAAATATCTATCTATTGAAGCAAAACAAATACATGTTAGAGAAATAAGTGTAACTGTAAATGAAATAAAAAAACGACTTTTACACCAAATTATATTTGTTGTTGATGAGTCAATACTAAAACTTAATGATAAAATTCTTGGTAAAAGAGCTTCGCATAAAGCAATTATATTAAAAAATGATGAAAGAAATAATAAATATGAACTTGGGATTGATCGAGTAGAATATAAAAGACAAATATTTATTAAATTACCAATTATGCCAAATATAACAATCGGTAAACCAACATAAATACCAAATTGAACACTTATATTACTATACGATATCGATGACATTTGAAAATAATGTGTCTTGTTTACGTGGAGAAATAATCGAAACTAAGAAAATATCTGCACAGACATTTGAGAAGAAACCTTATTTGTTGACGTCAATATAATTGAGTTTATCTGTTAAGGACAGATTTAAAATGAGTAAAACTATGGTATGATTATATTCTTGCCGTATTTTAATTAATATTCAGTATCATTTTAAAAGTAATTAACAAGTATCTTGAGGATATGAATATGGATTATATCAATTTTATATTTTCAGATTCACCTTCAAGATGCACATGATATACAGTGGAACTTCCGTAAGATGAACACCTACGGGATCGGATGAAAAGCGTTCATTATGGGAGGTGTTCTTCATATAGAAGTTTTCAATCGATTGACAGGATACAAATGTATAATTCACAGTGAATAGAACTGAATGATATCTATGAGTCTTTTTTTGTCGTACATTTCATCTAGTAAACGCGAAGTCAACCAAATAGTGCTTCTTAATCACAAAATCCAGTGAAAATAATTATTTTGCATCGTCTCGTCAACCTTGTCCAGTTCGATGGGAACATAAACGAGTTTTGAACGTGGACGAGAGATAAAATCATAGTGTTGTGATTGACCATTACTAAAAGAAAGATTAGGTTATCTAGCTGCTGCGAATACCTTTTTGACGTTGTCAGGAGTGTGAATCTGCTTTCCCATCATCTACCTTGTTTCTACAGTCATTTTAGTGCCTGCGAAATATTCTCATCACCTATTTTGTTTTCTGTGCAAGGCCACTTTCTATCAATAAAAAGATCGTCAAAAGACTGGACGAAACATAGTTTCAAAATATTTTCAACTTCTTTCTTCCCCTAAGAAATTTATTTTACCGCAAATCTGTTAATTTCTTACAGGTTTTCTTTGTGAAAGGGATCGAGGGACGTATTCAAACAAGAGGTGTTCATTAAGAGAGGTTCCATTGTATATGCATTGGTCGAAATGAGCAAATCAAATATTGAATGCAATTTTGAAAAACTTCAACCCAAACTTCTTCCAATACCCATAATGGAACAAGCATTTCAGGTAGACGTTTCTGACACTCTTCCGATAGTCAACAACAAATCGAAAACAAATGGAAAGGCAATGTTNTAATTTACTTCGATTACGCCAGATAATATTTCGACATGTAACAAAATATCTATCTATTGAAGCAAAACAAACACATGTGAGAGAAATAAGTGTTACTGTAAATGAAATAAAAAAACGACTTTTACACCAAATTATATTTGTTGTTGATGAATCAATACTAAAACTTAGCGATAAAATTCTTGGTAAAAGAGCTTCGCATAAAGTAATTATATTAAAAAATGATGAAAGAAATAATAAATATGAACTTGGAATTGATCGAGTAGAATATAAAAGACAAATAGTTATTCAACGACCAATTAAGCCAAATATAACAATCGGTAAACCAACATAAATACCAAATTGAACACTTACATTACTGTACGATATTGATGACATTTTAAAATAACGTCTTGTTTACGTGGAGAAATAATCGAAACTAATAGAATATCTGCACGGACATTTGAGAAGAAACCTTATTTGTTGACGTCATTATAATTGAGTTTATCTGTTAAGAACAGATTTAAAATGAGTAAAACTATGGTATGATTATATTCTTGCCGTATTTTAATTAATATTCAATATCATTTCAAAACTAATTAACAAGTATCTTGAGGATGTGAATATGGATTATATCAGTTTTATATTTTCAGATTCACCTTCAAGATGAACATGATATACAGTGGAACCTCCGTAAGATGAACACCTACGGGATCGGACGAAAAGTGTTCAATCCAGTCAAATTAACTATTTTACATCGTCTCGTTAGCCTTGTTGGTCATTACTAATGGAAAGATTAGGTTATCTAGCTGCTGCTAATACCTTTTTGACGTCGTCAGGAGTGTCAATCTGCTTTCTCATCCTCTACTTTGTTTCTACAGTGTTTTTAGTGTCTACTCTAATTAGGATCGCCGAGAAATCAATTAAATGTGCGAAATATTCTCATCGCCTATTTTGTTTTCTGTGCAAGGCCACTTTCTATGGATAAAAAAAATCGTCAAAAGACCGAACAAAACATAGTTTCAAAATATTGTCAACTTCTCTTTTCCCCTAAGGAATTTATTTTACCGCAAATCAGTTCATTTTCCAGAGGTTTCACTGTATATGCATTGGTCGAAATGAGCAAATCAAAAATTGAATGCAATTTAGAAGAACTTCAACCAAAACTCATTGCAATTCCAATAATGGAACAAACATTTCAGATGGACGTTTCTGATACTGTTTCGATAGCCAACAACAAATCAAAAAACAAATAGAAAGGCAATGTTATCAATTAAGCGATGCGCATTACCTCTGGTACTCACTTATTCTATCACAACCCATAAAAGTCAGGGACAAACTTTAAACAAAGTGCTAACTGATTTGAAGTCACCAAAGGATACAGATGGCATCACTGTAGTCTATGTACTATTGTCAAGAGTGAAACGTTTGACTAATTTAGTAATTATTTTGCGATATTTTGATTACAAAATCTTACTGATCAAACCGAGCAAATCTCTATTGCTTATCATCCATTTTGTGTATCTGATTCATTCGCATTTTTGTAACTGTACAATTCACTTGTATAATTAAAACTTTTTTCTAATCATTGATTGTTTTTAATTTTGCTGTAGATACTATTTTTCGTTTTACTTTTCTTTTTCTATCTACTCGTTTACGCTCAATATTCATCTGTTTAAACGTTAGTTAAAGCTATACAGATTCACTTTTTTCTTTCGTGCGTACTTGTACACTATATCATCATAGTATATCCTTATCGCATTGAGAGAGAAATAAATAAGCTTCATATTGGAAAGCATACTCTCTTACTTGGAGTAAAGAAAAACTAATAACAAATGGATTATGTATTGATCTCTTCAGTAGAGAGCAATGCGAGTCACTCTCGACAAACGTTATTTATTATTGTTTGTCTATGATAAGAAACTAAATTCGTCGTCTTGTGTCTTCTAGGAATGAAGGTGACGATAATTATTTTTAATCCAGATACAGATACACATTCCATTCACACTCTCAATTGATAGAATATCGTTGCATATACTAGAAATTTTTATATTACTTCTCTATTTAGTGGTAGGTCATCGTATTCCCTATATTATGTCTTCCATCTGCTTTTGAGCGCGAGAGAGAGAGCAATTAAGGAACCTTTTAAATTTCCTTTCTATCTAGTAGGAATCTTGAAAAATTGAAATTCATTAAGATTTTTGCTCATCATCATATTTTGAAGAGGGCTAGAAATCGCACGCTCTTTCTGCTCTAAGCTCTAACGATAAAAACAGAAATTTTTATTAAATCTAGTGCTGCATATGTATTCGATTATTTTGATAAATATTATGTCAACTGTATGCAGAAAAACTTGAGTCGAATTTTATAATTCATCATTTGTTTTATTATTGAAGAATTAGATTTAATATATTATATTCAAGGAAATAAATACTTCAGTACATCGATTGTTCTGTTTTATAATTTTTATAAAAGTTCAAGTGCTCATCAAAATAAGTACAGTTATCTAGATATTCATTCTACTTTTATATACTATTTTACAAAGGCGTCATAGTCATTTCACTAGGAAAAGAAAACATTTTACACGTATCTTCATTTCGAATAAAATTATTTTATGATGATGCGTCTTGTAATACTTTTATTACCAATTTGCCAACTATTTGTATCAGCAATACCTGTCGTCAAATACCAGAATGCTAAATTGATTGTTGGTGCAAATTATCAACTTATTAACCAACTATTTGTCGAATCACAAACTCAATGTATTTGTCAATGTTTTGCTAATGAAACTTGTCTCACAGCTACTTACATTGGAACTAATCAAAACTGTTCACTATTTTCAACCAAACTGAACGAAACAGATTTGCAACTGGCAACATTTGAAATCAATGCTAGTATTTTAAGTTTTATCAACAGAACTATATCAAGTAACTAAAATTAAACTAATTTCGAACGAATAAGAATATTTTTCTTTCTAGGTACTATTCGTCAAGCACCAAATATTCAATGGTTGTTCGATGGTAATCTCAACGATAGTTTTGGTAATTATCCTGGAATATCGGCGAATGGCAATATTCAATGGATATCGCCCGATTACAGCGGAAATCGAAAAGCTGCCTACTTTGCTAACAAAAGTTATGTTATTGTTCCATATACACTGGAACTCATTGATACAAGTTTTACTGTTTCAACATGGATTCGATTATTATCAAATAGGCCATTAAATACATCCGAATTTGGAATTTTTACTCATTGTGAGAATATAAATGATAATAATTGTTTGTATATGAGTATACGATATGGTAAACTTTTCTTTTCTTTGAATAACAATAATGTTATAGGAAATTCGTTTTTAACAAGTAATATTTGGTACCATGTTGCATATGTTTATGATCGAATTACTTTAACACAAAGTGTTTATATTAATGGACAACTTGATGGAGTACTATCATCAACAGGTATTTATCAAGGTAATGCAAGTCAAATATGGATTGGTGCATCACCTTTTACGTATATGTATCCGAATCCATTCGCCTATATGGATGAATTAAACTTTGTGCCACGTGCAGAAAGTGCAGATGCACTTCTTGAAGAAGCAACACTTGTTGTCTACTATAAATTTGATAATTCATTCTTTGACTCAGGCCCAAATAAGATTTATAATAGTAGTGGTACAAATGTTCGATTCGATGTCAATGGTCGAGTTAATCAAGCTCTTCTTATTAATTCAAATAATTCATTTTTCCAATCAACAAGCTTTTATCGCCTTGGACAATCGAATTATCCATATTCATTTTCTCTTTGGATTTATCCTTTGTCAATGAATGGAACTATTGTTCAGGTATTGTTTTTTTTTCGTAAATATTATTTTTACTAATCAAATTCATATATGTTTAGCTTTTATCTATTAACAATGATTGGTGGTCACCTATGCTTGGCTTTGATAGTAGTAATCATCTTGTGACGCAAACATGGAGTGGTTCAGTATTTTACAATGTTGCTTCGAATTCGTTTGCTATGCCTTTAAATGTATGGACTCATGTAGTAGCAACTTTTTCAACTACGAATGGACTTCGTCTCTTTATCAATGGAACGATGGTTAACTCGACTAGTTCCAGTCATAGTCATGGAGCAAGTGGAACATGGAATATAATGTCTATTGGAGCATGCACTCCAATGATATGGTGCAGCAATGCTGAAACACGAATAGTTGCGAATCAATTCCGTGGAAAAATTGATGAAATGAGAGTTTATTCACGAGAGTTAACAAATATGGAAATTCAAGCATTCGCAACTATTTGATGAATTTAATCAATTTGTTTTCTTGTCGATGAAATGTCGTTTAACTTTTACGTGAGGAAAAAAACAATGATGTAAATTTTTTTCAATCAATAAAAAAGAATTTTTTCAAAAGACTTCAGGAGTATGTTTGAATTATCCCATACTATACTATACTATATCTAAGGAAAGAAACAAACATTTTAATATAACTTGAATAATAGAAAATAGCATTGATTCTAATTCACATACATAATTAGTTGCATTTGTCACTCGTTTACAGAAATTTTCAAGTTTGATATCGAGCTTTTGAGCACCAGTAGTAATACTATCCTAATTTACATAAGACATTAATGATGATGGTGATGATAAATCATAATTAATTCGCACTGCACTTTTTGTGTTGAACTAGGAACTTTGAAAGCTATTTGTCTCGATATGTTTGTTCTTCTTAGTTCTATAAAAGATTAGTATTCAAAGAGTATTATTTTTTCTTTTCTTCTTCATCCAGCAAGGGCTTAGTCTTCCGCCACTGCCTGGAAGGCGCAATGACTCGTCCGTTTTTTACACGTTCGATCTTATCTGATGTGATCCAGTTACATTTGCAATTACAATTTTGCATAATTTTTTGCGTATTTAACAACGACCCCGTAGAAGCCGACTGAGACGTTCCACAAAAAGTTTGCCAAAAGGCAGCTGGTTTACGTCGCAGTTGTCTTCGAACAAAGTTCTGTATGCGAACATGATAATGCGTTTTGCTCACTAATCTGCCGAAAAAGAATTCCAAAAGTAAAGTTGAATGTGAAAAAACGAGCGTATGTTAGTGACAGGTAGCGTTGATTCATAATCTGTTATAAGTCGTCTTCTTAATTCTTATTAGCCATTTAAGCACATAGTGTATAGGGAGACAAATTCTTTCTTTATCACGTGGTTTTTAGTGACAAAATAAAAATGATAAAATATAATAACAATCAATCAAACAATAAAATCTCCAGGTCTGTCAGATATCAAGAAAGACCTATTAAGAGATCTTCATAATTCTTTTGACTGAAGATTATTATAAATCGATTTTTCAATATTTAGAATTCATTTTCGTTTGATTTTCAGACTGAAATACATAAAGATATATTAAAGATGCCTGGAAAGAAGAATAAATCAGAAAAATCTGGCTTTGGACGAAATTTTCACAAATCAATGCAGATTGAGAGAGAATTGAAGCAACGTGATCTGAAATTCTCTGAAAATGTCAAAGAACAAAAAGACTTACAAGAATTCCTAGATGAACATCAACGATTCTTCGAAGTTTATTTGGAAAATTGTATTTCATTTCATTCAAAACTACCAGTGAGAAATCTGTTTGAAGACATGATGACATTTTTGGAAGATTTTGTTAATATGAAACATCGAGTAAATTTACAAAAGAAGTTAAACTGTATTGATATAGAATATGAATGTTCTGATCAACTTTTATATTTATTTAATTTTGATCATTTGAAAGATAATTATGGATCTCGAAACTTCGTTGAAGATATCAACAATTATTCATTATCAAAAGATTTATCAAATTTACATGAAGAATATTCTTGTGTATGTTTCGTACATCTTTTAGAAAAACATCAATGGATTGTTATTCTTAGTGATCCAGGTAATTCAAAAACAACTATACTTCGTTGGATTATACATAAATTTGATCGAGCAGTTAAAAATAATTGTCGAATAGTAAGATTTGAAGCTGACAATTGTTCAGCTATTAACATTCCAGTTCATATTTCAATTTTAATTCGAATTGTAGAATTCGTTACATGGTTCGAGGAAGATCCAATAAAAACTTTAATAGATTATATTGGTGAACATACTTGATTTTCAAAACATTATCATTCGGATGAAAACAATGGACAAGTAATATTGAAAGAATTGATTTGTCAAGGTCGCACTTTGATTCTTCTTGATGGACTTGATAAAATATCTGATATTCATCAAATCTTATTCATTGTATTGAAACTTTTATCAAAGAATATTTATTGCCATCAAATTTAATCTCAACATTTCATGAGAAAATCTTTGATAAAATTCCTCGTTTCACTGAAATGACTGAAACACAACTATCAACAAAATCTGTTTGTAATCGAATTATTATTACAAGTCGATCTACCAACTATCGATTTACTTCAATCATGGTTCCATTGATAGATCATGATGATGCCAAACGTTTAGTATGCAAATAGTCAAAGCAAATTTTGAAGAGTATTATAAATATTTTATATGAGGAAAATATAGAATATGGTTCAAAAGAAACGGAAAAACAATCGAAGAAACGAGAAATCACAATCAAACGAATGTTTAAAGAAAAATTCATTAGTATTATTTTTAATTACAAAATTAGTTTTTCAATCAACTGATATCATTTCTTTTACACATCGAATAGATATTATCGCTATCATATAGAAAAAGAATTAAATTCTTGGATTTGCAACTGAAAATACTTTAAATATCTACAGTTTTTTGTATTTATCATTTTCAAGAATATTTTGTTGGAATGAGTTTTGCAGATATTGAACATTTTCCTCTTGAAACAATAGCACAACATATGCATTCATTTAATATTTATCCACGTTTTCATAAATCACTTCGTTTAGCTAAGGATTTGATTAGTTCGAAATGATCACAAGAAAATTATGATCAATTTTGTCAAACATTATTCACTAAAACTATGAATAAACTATTCAATATCATTTCGAATACTTTTATTCTACAATTCACTTCGTGATTTACACAAATTACCATAAGAAAATATTCTTTTCAAAGCACTTGACGAATTATTTCATCATCCATGTTATTCTTTTACTAAAAAAGACTTCTTATCAAGTTTATTAAAAGTATATCGATACCCTATGGAGCGTTGGATTGATTTCTATATTACAAATTGAAATTTCATTGGAGAAATTTTCGAAATTGTTTCTTATCGAATGTGATTCATATTCAAACAAATATCATCTCAAATTAATCTATGAAAAATTAAGATTATTTTACGATTTCAACTTGTCAAAAGAGTTTTTTCTCGATCAAATCTTACGACGAACATTTCGAATATCGTTTGAATTAACTTTCAATGAGAATTTCGATTCACACGAAACATCTTTATCACATATTCATCTGTTAATAATTTCAATCAGAAATTCTCTTCAGAAACCCTTTCATCAATTTTAAACGTTTTATTACAAATATTCGAATGAAATCTTTGGTTTTCAATTTAATCTATTTACATTATTTTTCGAACACAAATCAATTGAATTCAGTTCAAATTCAAAATCTTATTCAAGAATTTCAAAATAATTTGGATAATTCGTTGCCAACTGATACATCATTCGACATTGTTGAAATTTTCATTGTATTTATTTATTTACAAGGTGTTTCTCGACCATCGATCTATAAAAAATCTGCTCATTATAAATGATTATCTCTGACACTCGATAAATTCCAACAAACACATTTTTATTTTAAAGAATCTTTAATTCGTAATGAAACTCATAATCCTTTTCAATCGACTTTCATATCAATATGTTCTCAAACAAAGTCAATTTTGAACAATTTCTCGTCTCATTCCGCAAATATTCATATTGATTGTCAATCATTTGCTATTGCATGTGCATCAACATGGAAAATATTCGTATTATTCAATTCAATGGAAAGACACGACAAACCATTGATTGTAATTGAACGTAAATGTATTAAAGAATTTCGAAAAGATGTTGAAATTTTCACTGCATCGATTTGTCTTGCACGAATTTTTCAAACTTAACATCGTACTCGTAAAGATAAACTCTATGATCCAATCAGTTTCAATACTGACAAAAATCAACAAATAATTTCTTAAATAAAAAAAAAACATTTGAAATCTAACTTTACAAATTATCGTATTAAACATTATATTAAATATGAAATATCCATTGATTATCAATGAAGAACAAAGAAATGATTTAATAGAAAACAAAATCATTTCTTTATTCAACTATTTGTTCACTCATATTATTAACTTTTCTATTTATTCAATTATATCAATTCTATCCGAAATCATTTCAACAAATAAGTTACATCATTCCTGAAAAATGAATTGCAAATCCAACAAGTTGTGAACGACGTGTCAAACAAGAAGCAGCATATATTGCATTGAAACAATAAAATGATCCTGATCTTTCTTGTGATTTATTTCAATTTGAAAAATCAACAAAAAATTTATGTGATCTTCTTTATTTGAATTCAACAATATTTCATCGATATTTGACTACGATCGATTCTTTTCATCTATCAAATCAAAATTTATTATCATCAATGTATTTCGTTGAATTAACTTTTCATTGTCAAATTCTTCGAATGTATACGGATATGAATCAGAAAAATATTTTTGATTGAAATCAATTATGGATGTATTCATCAAAACATGAAATTATCATATGACATTTAGTATAGCACAATGGATTAATAACAATTTGTAAATATTGAATAAACAAGAAATGAAACAGATTATAAACGATGTTTCGAAATGTCTTCTAATTGAAAAAAAAAGTTTTGATGATCATTGCAAAATGACTTGAATATCGAAATAATAAAAATTGACAATTTTTTGCTCATTATGCAGCATTAAAATTAATTATTCATAATTCAACAGAATCGAATTTAATTCATATAATTGATGAAATGTTTTTTTAGAAAAAAGAAATTTTCAAGAAAATTCCTTTTGTTCATTATTGATTAATTCAAATAGTTTTAGTAAAGTTTTATTAAATTTAAAGAAAAACAAATCTTTTTTATCAATGATAAATATGATCGTTGATCAACAAGATCTTTTACAAATCACATTAAATTTAGAAATTGAACGAATTACATCGAACACATGAAAATGTCATCGATCATTTTTATTAATAATTGAAAGTATTTCAAAAGATTTACAAGATTATCTTATAGAACATCTTCAACAACAAATTATTGATGCAAATATTATCAAACAAAATTATTCAGAAAAATTATATAATTATTTTCTATCAGACGTATTTTATAATCAACAAATTTCTCAAAGTTTTTATTTCACATTTTTTTCCAATACTATGGAAAGAGAGAAAATCGTTCTTTTTGATAAACTAATCGTTTTTTCTAGAAGAAATTCTTTGTTTATGAATTAAATATCAAAAAGATATTGTGGATATTGCTTTATTAATTTATGGAAATTATCTTTTATGTTTCGAACAATCAGAAAGAAATGAAAATATATTCAAAGTATTACAAAATATGAACAAATATCCCTTTGATAAACGATTTATTCGAACTAATATGTCTCATTTTCCCAGGTCATTCCCACTCGGTCGTAGCCAATCGGTTTCTTTAAATTCCTTGGCGCCGGATTTTACTGGTTTTTGTCGGAAAAATCGTATAGGTTCCAGACGGAAACGTTGATAGTTCAGAACCAACTGGATTTGGCTATAAAAAAATATTACTATCCAGGTCAGAACATTAAAATTCAAACGAAACGCTATTAAAATCCACCTAAATAACAGACTCCCACCGGAAAATATTGAACCATCAGCAATTTCGTACACCACCCGGTTTCTTTCCGGCACATATCAACCGTTCGCAACCTCAAGAAGTACAAAAGACCATTAAAAACATCACATAGAAGTTCACAATCCGGCTCTTGATTTTTACAATCACGCTGCCATAAATGCTGTCAACGTTTCAAAAGCTTGTTTATCATGAACTTCATACAATACTTCAAAGAGTTATACATGTATACAAGGTGAATGTATCTCAGATTCATTTCAAAGTATTTCGACGTGCTCCGAGAAAATAATTTGGACATATCACAGATTGATGTTAACGTACTTTGAAGTGCTTGAGTGAGGTGTGAGTGCACGGAGAGGGATACTACTGTTGAATTGGAAGTGGCGATGGGAAGTCGATGAATGCTGATATATGTGGTTCCGACTAAATACATCGACAGGAGGTGGGTGAGTTGCCAGGGTTCCAGCTAAACATGTGTCCCGGAAAGTACAGGAAAAGTTTCGTGAGTTTTCCTGTTGGGATTCTCCTTTAGGAAATTCACACAAACACGGCCAAAGGGAACGGCTGGAATACGTAGCAAGTTTTCATTTATGATTGTAGGAAGATTCGGTGGTAGGAGTTCGACATGATGATGGCGACCCCGATCGTAGGTAATGATTGGAACAGATCGGAAGGTTCCGCGTGAAGTCCGGCCGAGAGTCGGCTGGTTTGTATGGGATTTCGATGTTTTCCGTTTCGGTTCCGTTCTGGCTTCGGTGGTTGGAAGGATGGATTTGGGATCTGCTTAATTATATGAGATGTCAATTAATTGAACAGCAAAACATTTCTTATTCGATGTTAAATAACGACTGAGATTGACATTACTCATCAATATATTGATGTATCCAACAGAGTAAAATTAAATAAAAGTTTTATTTTGAATAGAACTAATATTGATCACAACTTTTTTAAGTATTAATTTTCGTTATTTTGTGACATACTAAATCAATTATATATATGTGCTTTCATATCAGTTGTTCTAAGGAGAAAAAAAACGAATAAATGCAGATTTTTTATTCTTGTCTAAGAAGGAACTTAAAAAAGAAACGTTACATTCTTTTTCTTTAACAAATTCAATATGTGTGACTAGTTTATTCTCTACATATTGATATCGATCTAGTAAATTAAATTATCTGTAAGAGAACATATTTAAAGGCGAGTTGTTTTTCAAGAACGTTAACATTCGACACGATTTTTTTATCAGAATGAATCGAATCAATCTCAACATAAGGTATGTTACTCTCGAATTCCGACTGTTTATTATCAACATATCGTCTTGCGTTAGCCATATGGCTTTGATATTTATCAGTTCATGGATTTATCTATCAACTTATTCAGTGAGAGCTATTTTAATGTGCGATATATATATGCATATCATCTTTTTAGATTGTTGCTCTTTATGCTGATGAATTTGAAGAAAATTCTCTCGATTTTTCTCCTTTGTCAAATGAAGATGGTTTTATCGGTATTAAGGAAATACATACTCTGATTTTTCTTTTCTTTTTTGTCTCTTTTATTTAGATAACCTGGGTAGTTTATGGGAAAATACATGTCCTCCTGATGCTGTATCATACACAGAACTATCACATACTGTAATTGAGAATCGATTAGAAGGAAATCTATGTGAAATTCGATTTAGTCCTGAAATCATGACGTATTGTGATGATACATTACTAATTGGAGAATCGACAATTTTAAAATTAATCATCAGTATACAAATTAGTTTCTATGATCAATTCGATAATATTTTAGTTGATAATTTCGGTAATCTCATACAATATATGTCACATCCTCATGAACTTGGACATCTTATAAATATTTTCCATACTGATTTTTCATTTTATTATGCAAAATGTCTCTTAAATTTACAATCGAATTCAAATTTTGATTTAAATAATCTTTTCTTTCATTTTTCACCTTCATCAATTGGTAAAAAAATAATAAATATTTTAAAATAAAATCTATTAAATGTTTTGTTTCTTGAAGGTAATACAACAGGAATAATCAATGGTCCAACTATATTTACTGTTGGTTTGGATCCAAATATTTATACTGTATCTATTAAATGTCCGTCGGATGCTACTTGTATGTGGATGTTAGATAGAAAAGTGATCTTTACCAGTCCAAATACAAATATTACATTAGCATTCAATGAAAATGATGTTGGCAATCGAACATTATTCTATGTGAAATTTATTAAAAACAAATGTACAATTTTAGCATCACTTTTACTTCATCTTTTGCCAAGTAAGTTACGTTACATTATACTGGTATCAATGACGATTTGTTTGAATACAAGACATCATCTTTAACCTCATACTATAGAGTAATCTGTTTTAAATTGTAGTGTTTTACGAAGTTCGAGAATAATTAACATTTCAATTATTTTGTGTTTATGTTGGTTTCTTTTTTTTAAAACTAGAACTAACAACTTTATCGTCAACAGCACTGACGACGTTAATGACAACAATTGGTAAGTAAAATGAAGGATAACTGTCATATTATTTGAATATTGATATTTCTACTCTTGAAACAAAGTCATAATTAATATATCTTTCTTGTTTTGAAAATGCAATTCGTAGGATATACGTATGCGCGAGTGAGAATGTTGGCTGGAAGATATATAGTCTATGTTTCACATTATAATCTATTGATATCCAAAATACTGAGCCGATAAGAAATGTTCACTTATAGATTTATTAAAAGTATGATTATAGATAACAATATTTATTTTGGTTTTAGAGACAAAAGAAGTTCAATGTCGTCAGCCATGCAGTTATATATTTCTTCCTCCAGATGTTTATGAAACTGACGATGATTTATATTCTTTGATAGTAATTGATCTGAACGGGGACAACAGACCTGATATTGTGGCTGTGGGTCATTATTCAAATGTAGTCTACGTTTCTCTCAATGAAAAGAATGGTACCTTTCCCCTTTTCACTAATTACTCTCTTACTGACACACCGCGATCATTGGTGGTAATAGATGTTAACAACGATGATGCATCTGATATTGTTATTATAACCGATGATAAAATCAATGGAGGTGGCGGCGGCATTAACATTTTACTGAATTTAGGCAATGGTTCCTTTTTTCCTCCTTCTAATTACCAACTTGAATTCAGTCCTTGGTTATTATCAGTAAAGGATCTGAACGACGATAATGTACCTGATATTGTTCTTGGAGGCATATCTAATAATCACATTGAGATTTTATTGAACTTAGGCAATGGCACTTTTATTCCCTCAACTAATCACTCTCTTAATAATGAACCAACATCATTGGTAATAATGGATCTTAATAATGATACTGCACCTGATATTGCAGTTGCAAGCAAGAATTGTAATTGCGTCGAAATTTTCTTGAATCTGCGCAACGGTACCTTTTTCCATTCTGCTAAGTACGTTGTCACCTCTCCAAAGATTTTAGCAATAAAAGATCTTAACAGCGACGGTGCACCTGATCAGGGTTACCAACTGTACCCCATTTGGGGGTACAGCACCCCATTTGAACCTTTTGCACCTCAAAAAATTTTGTACCTTTGGGGTACGTTTTTTGTACCCCATTTGCGGTTTTGAGTGACATCTTTACTTTAGCGTATATTTTGATTGGAGACTTCGAAAATTTCGATCATTCTTCCAGATATTCAGTCTGTCTTTCTGATCGATAGAAATATCGTGAATCAATCGCATTGGTATACTAGTAACCATTGACATTGAAGCAGCTAACAACTGGTTATGTTAAGCCTTCCTCTCCGGTTCAAGTTTTAAGTCTGACGCTTGTAATCAAGCCGCATCTTGACCGAACTATACGATTTCATTCTGACAGTTCGGTTTTGATTAACGATTCAAAGCATGCGTTTGTATTATAGATTTCGACTCTCGAAACAATGAATCTTTTTGGTTCCACCCCATCAGATGTCGAAGACATCGAAGAAGTGACAAGTTCCGGTGAAGATCAATATGAAGGGTCAACAAAGTCGACACATACCGACTCCATCCCACCGGTGTCTTCCAATAGAGCAGAAAAAAAAGGAAAATCTTCTTCGAAACCAAAAAGATTTTGCAAGTTTAATAAAGAATGGATAAAAAATCCGCAATACACGTCATTTCTGCAAGAGTATCGAAGCGATTCATCGCTCGCGCATTGCTCCATCTGTAAATCGAATTTCTCTATCGCTAATGGTGGTCTATATTTAATCAACCGTCATCGTGAACAGGAAAACCACAAGCGTTTAGCAGTCATTGCAGCTGAGACAATATGTAATTGTTTTCCAATCTTATTTCGAAAGATACTGATTGCATCTATCTCTTCTGTTTCAGCTCGTTCCATCTTTGATTTCGTACATCCACCATCGCAACTAATTGCTATGACGGCTGCTGAAATTACCTTAGTCTATCATGGAGTTCGTCATGGTCATAGTTATATCAGTCAATCGTGTACAGCGAAGGTTTCAAAGAAGTTATTCCATGATTCAGTTATTGCAAAGGACATTTCATGCGGACGAACAAAAGCTCGCGAAATAGCTGTAAATGTTCTAGGTAAATACGCTTTTATTTTTCATGCTGAGATACTCACAAATTGTTCAGGAGGTCTGAAAACATTGAGGCAATGGTGTTCTCCAGAAGTTTCGATTCTCACAGTATTTTTTATTTAGCTCCTTACTTCAACTCAAAAATCACCGAGGCGGTCAATCAAACTCGTTTTTTCTCCTTATCATTTGATGCGTCGAATAAAGGCCATAAGAAAATGTTTCCATTCGTGATCAACTATTTCACAATTGATCGTGGCATTGTGCGATCTGTGATGGAAGTCATTGAACAGCCCAATGAAACAGCCGACGGAATTGTTGCTTCGCTTCGAGAGGTGCTGACAATGAACAACATCGACATCATGAACATGACATCGATCGGCGCTGATAATACCAATGTGAATTTCGGTCGATATCATTCAGTTTTCGCCTTGCTTCAATCGAATTTTCCTAATCTGAAGAAAGGTACGTACTTTTGGACAGAGGGGAAATTATATAAGATAGTTATCACTTCATCTAGGAAATTGTTTTTCACATGTACTGAATAATTCAGTCAAAATTTCGCACCAATGTCTGGCGGTTGATGTTGAATCGAGTTTGTCAAAGCTGTACGGTCATTTCTCTTCCTCAGCGAAACGTGTCGAACATCTCAAAGAATATTTTGATTTTGTTGAACAAGATCAACGAGTACGATATCTCATCCTATTTATAATCGTCAACAACCAGTCATTGTCCTTTCAGTTGTTACTGCAACACATCAAAATTCGTTGGCTCAGCCTTTATCCATCTATTGAAAGATTACTGAAAGTCTATGAACCATTGTCGGCTTACTTTTTGGATATGGGTGATCACGATGAATTCACTTGTCCACCAATTATTGCAGAGTTTCTTACTTCGACCGAAGCCAAATGTACATTGTATTTTCTTCATAATCTGTTATTTGATATACAAAAGAAAGCCTTGGAACTCCAGCGACACTATGTGTCGATTGTTGATTTGAATCGAATCGTTTCCAGTTTACGCGTGAAACTGGACGAACGATTGAAACAAAATTATTTCGGTTACCAAACGAGAGTTTTGTTAAATTCGATGATCGAGTCGGAACGAGACAAACTCACCCAGTCTTTCTTTGAGTATATTTCGACGATGCTTGCATACATCGAAAAGTATTATAGCGAGCAGAAGGAACTCGCAGAACTGGCTGCCATATTTGGTATGCTTGGAAAAATATCTTAGAGAACATAACGATTCTTTTTCTTCAAGGAGTTTGTGACCTCGATCGAATTACTTTTCATCAGATCGAACAGTGCATTGATTTTCTAAAGATGGACATCGATCGAGACAGATTATTTGATGAGGTCAGTTTGTTACGGTCAACATGGAAAGAAGTGATTTCATATCGAGAACCATTGGATCTTCAAATTCAGCAACACATCAAGAATAACGTTAATCATGTTCCTGAGAAGTTAGACAATGATCTCTGGAACGAATCGGAAGATGACGATAATCTCTTCCACAAACCGACGACCAATAACTGTGACAAAGAAATGGAGATCCGGTCTGATCAATTCTGGGCTTTTCTACTTGCAAGATCGAAGCCGATGTGCATCGAAATGCACAAAATTGTTTCTTATGTGTTCTCCATTCCCTGCTCGAACGCATTCGTCGAGGGAGTTTTCAGTCATATGAAAAATGCATGGACCGCCAGTCGAAATTTGATGGCGAATGAAACTATCGCTGCTGAACTGAAAATCAGACTGAATAGTCATATGAAATGCGAAGATTTTTTTTCATTTATACAATCCCAACCAGAATTGATCAAGGCTGCTCGAAGTAAGCAAAAATATAGTTTCTTGAAAAAACGTGTACCAATTAGTGCAAATGGGAGTGTAAATGGTTTTCTTTAAGTGAACGTTGTTTTTATTGTGATTAATTTAGATATAATAGTATCGAATCGAAATGAAATGAAATTTTATTGTGAAAAGTATTGCCTTGAAATAAACAGTTTAATTCGAAAACTACTCTTGAAATCAAAGAGATAGATTGAAAGCACTGTTTCCTTCTCGAAAATACTTGGCAAAATTTGCTTCCAGCTTCCGCCACCGATTAGGAAGAAATTAAATTGTGTACCCCATGAGGGTACCTCATTAGCAATTAAATTGTACCCCGCGCGCACCCCATTTAAGACTTGCCGCACCCCTTTTGAGACTTGAGCAGTTGGTAACCCTGCAGATAACACAAATTTGCTGTCGCAAAGCAATAATTAGATAGCATTTTCTTGTACAATTGAAGGTGATCCATGGTATATGTATAAACGCGCCGAAAATCACCAAACCTAAACTGGCATCTTAAAGAAAAAATGCAGTCGGAAATTTTTTGAGGAAGTATACCGATATTTATTTGAAGCAAATCAGCATGCACAAAAATCTTCTGNTTTTCTTGAATCTGCGCCACGGTACCTTTTTCCATTCTGCTAAGTACGTTGTCACCTCTCCAAAGATTTTAGCAATAAAAGATCTTAACAGCGACGGTGCACCTGATATTATTACTGCAACCAATTATAACCATAAGAAATTTGACGGCAGCATTGACATATTATTGAACTTAGGTAATGGTACTTTTCTTAACTCGTCAAATTACCTTCTCAAACATGGACCAACATCATTGGTGGTGGTAGATGTTAATAACGACACTTCACCTGATATTGTTTCCGCAAGCGATGATGATTATGGTTACGTTGACATTTTATTGAACTTAGGCAACGGAACATTTCTTCTTCACGCAAGCTATCCGATTGGTGCTGATCCGATTTCATTAACTGTGGTTGATGCAAATGGCGATAACGCACCTGATATTATTTTCGGTAATTACGACCATTACTTTTTCTATGTACTTTTTAATTCAGGCGATAATACATATTTACTGCATAGTATTTATTACATTGGTACATACCCAGAAGAAGTAGTAGCTGTTGATATAAATGGTGACAATAAAGTTGATATCATTTGTTTGGCCTGGCGGTCATCCAAATTATTTGTACTTTTACACTGTTAAAACTTACGTACAGAGAAAATGATCTATTCATTAACATTTTGGCTTTTATGTCAAGAACGTTTCTTCTGTCATATTCTATACAACAGGAACGAGTATGAATGATAATGCCAAATGAATATAATATTCATAGTATTATTCTCACACCCTCTCGTCTTGTTGATTATATGATTTTTTTGTTCTCTTCTTATGTCATAACAGTTACTATTGGGAAAATATTTTATTTAATATTATCTCTTATCAATTTTATAAGAGAAAAAATATTTATCATGAGAGTGAGCTTTAAATAGAACTACAACAAGTAACGCTCATCTTATGGATTCGCCGACTCTTTTCTGAAAAAATTGTGCTACTGCTGAACATATTCAGATACATTGAAAACAAATAGAGCACTGCGGTTACCACGGGATCTCAGCTAGACCATGGGCATTATCGGTGTGAAGCTAGCTTCACACCGATGGTAAGTAAAAGGTTCCCTCGTTAGTTCAAAGCGTTCTATTGTAACTTCATTTTGAAAACGAGAAAATAGTGGAATGAATGTAATTTGAAATTATACGCGTACATATATCAGAGCATGCGAATAAATGCGTAAATTAATGTAGGGATTAATCCAACTTCAAAACGTATTCATGCATCTTGTATGGACATTCCCCCTACAAACTAGATCATTTCACATTGGATTTTTCCTTTTTCTTCTATACATTACTCTTTCGTAAAAGTATGTGCATGTTCGTATACCTTCTCTTCCTTAATCTATGATTTTCTACGATTCTTTACTAATCACTATTCTCTCGAGAAAGTTGAGTTCATTTTCAAATAAACTTATAGTTAAAGTACAAGGTGTGACTTCGTTTCTCTTTTTAACTCGTCGCAATAAGGATTCATTGATCTGGGGCAGATGATGCGGGTGATTCAGTAATATGACCTTAAAATGCGAAAAATATGACAATATTTTGTAGTATCAGAGTATTTTATTCGATGAGTTTAAAATGCGCTCAATCTCAACATTGACATGGATTGAAAAGGACTGATAAGATATTGTTGACTAAATTCATATTGATTATTATATTATCACAAGAACTAGAATTGATAATATCATTTGATGAAGTATTCAATGTATTAAAATAAATCGTTTGTGTTTCGAAATATCCAGTTCCGTCTCCTAGAAGACCATAGATTTTATCTGATGAAAGTGAACCAATAATAATATCCAAATAATTATCATTATTTAAATCACGTATAATTACTGACTTTGAATCCAATAATACTGAAGTTTCCATAAGAATTTGCTGATGAATATGAAAAGTACCATTATTATATTGATATAACATGGAAACTGTATAATTTTCCCAACTATGAAGATAAACAATATCAGATTGATAATCATTATCAAAATCATCAACTATCATTCGTAATTGAGCAACATCATATGCCGTATAGAACCATTTTGGTAATTGAAAACTTCCATTTGTATTTGCAAAAAATACATGAATGTGAAGAGAACGACCATTTAACACAGCTATATCTAAATAATCATTATTATCAAAATCACCAATAGCTAATTGTTGTGGATCACTAGTCAATCCTATAAATAATATTGATTCTAATGAAAATGTTCCATTACCATATCCATATGAAATACGAACAACATTATCATATTGAACTATACAAATGATATCCAAATTATTATCTTTATTAAGATCAACTATACTAATATCAATCGGAGAATAGATTAAGTTTAATGATACAATATTTTGTATTTGGAATGTTCCATTACCGTTACCAAAGAAAATATTTATATTATTGTAGAACAAAATTTGAGTTAACAGAATTAAATCGAGTCGATCATCATTATTTATATCAGCAACATAAATTTTATATACACTTCCATTAACATAAGTTGATATTATTTCTCCAAAAGAACCATTCGAATTTGCAATTAAAACATTTATTGTAGATTTATCATGACAATAAAAGATAAAATCAACTCGTTTATCATTATTTAAATCAACAATTTCATATAGACTTGTATTTGAGAATAAACATTGTATATTAATTAATTGTCGTTTAACTTTTAATTGACATGATAATCTCACTATATTTGAAGATGTTATTGATATTGAATTTATTTTTGTAGTTAAATTATTATTGATTAATATATTCTTTGTCAAATCTATCAAATAAAAATATTAAAAGGATATTTAATAAATAATTTATTTTAAACATAAAATTTCATTCTTACCTTCTCGAATATAATATATCGAAAAAATCACAATACCAATAAGTAGACATATTAATAGTATAACAATAAATATTATTTTGAAAAGTAATTGACTATGTGATATATTGATATTATTCATTGGTTTGTTTTTACAATTTTGAGTTGAATGAATAGTTGTATTTGGTAATATTTCAAAAGAATTAATAGGATGAACAGAAGCACTTCGTTTTTTTTCGATAATAATAAATCTTTAATCCAATTTGAATAAATTTTGGACAAATCCATTTGAGAACAATTGTTAAACCACCTTGAAGACCAAGAATAATAGTAATTGTATAGAAAATATTAAATTGTTCAATACTTATATAAAAACATAGTAAAGGTGAACATTTTTGATAATATAATGAATAATTCATTATTGTTAACCATTGTTCAATAAATAAATTTTGTCGAAGTTTTTCAATAGTTGTATTTTGAGAAAAATGAGTTAAATTTGTTATTGAAAGAGACTTTGATGAATTTTGATAATTTGTATAATTTTGAATAAAATTAAGACATAATTGATCATAAAAACATTCGAGAGTTGAAGCAAGAAGTGATTCACTTGGTATACATCCCATTTTCATTCCTTTTATAGAAATGTTTTGAGAAGAATTTTTATCAATAAAAATTGCTTGTGTTGTACATTTCGAAGATAAACCACAAGAACAATTATTATTATCATAGATTATAGATTTTCCAAGTACAAAAGTATCACCATTTTCATCAATATTTATATATTCAAAATTTGTTCCATAAATTGTTTCAAAAGCATTTCCATGAATAATACTTTGAGTAAAGAAGAGAAGTTGAGAAAATACAACAGGAGCATTTAATTTATTTTGTTCGATTAAATTATTGAGACGATCATTAAAATTCTTCTCAGATAAAAGTTCAGTTGTAACTAAAAGTGATGAAAGAAATTCATTGATCGAATTATTTGCTGTTTCCATTGAAATTTGACACAATCTTTGAAGATATTCTAAATGAGCAGAAAGAAATCGACGATAATCAGTTCGTTCATAAATAGATAAATTAGAAACGAGACCATTAGTAAGTCCAATTCGCCATTCATTCGAAATAAATTCACTTAAACAAATCTATAAAAAAAAATTTTTGTTTATCAATAACAAAATTTCTCTTACCGAATGAAATATTGGTTGAATATTCACAAATTGATTATATTTCGATGCTATGTTTGAACATGGACATGTTAAATCATTATTATAGAGTTTTTTCAAATCTTTATAATAAGTAAAAGAGGGTTTAGTAAAAATTATTTTCATCGTATGTGGTCGAATAACTGTATAGAACATTAAAATTGTGAGACCAATCATAAATAATATGAAATAAAGACGAGTTGCCCATCTACCATAACGTTTTGCTAATATTCGATCAATATCACTTCCGAAATCACGTAATGAAAATATATTTAATTCTCTTAATGTTGTACGTAATAATTTAATTAAATGATATATTTTCATTTTTAGTCGATTAGTAAAAGTAACTTGAATTAAAACTAAAAAATAAATTTAATATAGTTTCTTATTAATTATCAAACAAGTAATGATTAATTACTTTGTTCTGTTTGATTGGAATCTTTTTTGTACATTGTTGAAAATCCTGAGACGAATTTAACAAGATGTGGTGTTAAGATACTCAATGATAGAACAATTCCACCAATCATTGATACTAATGTGATGATTATTCCAAAAAAATTTTGTTTTCTTACATTTTCCGTATAAGAACAATATACAGGTGCACATGATTCATAGAATTTTTCATATGATGAAACAGGATTCCATTTTTCAAGCATCAATTCATTGACAATCATTGAAATTGATGTATTAGGAGGATAACGGTTCACTTTTGGATCGTAAGTAAGAGGTCGTAGACGAAATGAAGATGTTGGAAGTGATAATGTTTCAGTATTTGCTTTTTTTATATAACTCAATAAAAATGGAAAACAATGAGAATTTTCATATAAACATTCAAGTGTTGAAAGTAAAAGAGAATCACTTGAAAGACAACCTTCAATCCAACCAGATATATTATGCATAAAACTTCCATATAAATAATTTGTATTCTGAATTGGATCGAAATCAGTAACAATTGCTGACCTTTGACAATTGGGATTAATAGCACAAACACATGTAACTAAGCCTGTATTGATGTCTTCAACACCATATGGAATAAAATATACCTATAAAACAATCATTTTCGAAATTTTCTTACACTTTTTAGTAGAATTTATTTTTGATATACGTATCAAAGTTTGATTTTTTACCTTTCTTTCGATTGCATTAATCGTTAAAATGTTTTCAAAATAACTACCCGATCCACGTTGATTTGCGAATTCTTCATGAAGTTGATCAATTCGTTGAGTAAGTTGTATAATATCATTCATTAGAACAAAATTAAGCGTTGTCGATTGATAAAATTGATTGATATATGAATATAATTGTTGATTAAAATCGATTTCATTCATTATTGAAGAAGCAACAAAGAATTGTGAAAGAAATTTGTTCATTGCTGCATTGATCACTGTATTGGCTAATTGACAAAGATCAGATAAAATTTGAAATTGTTGATATGCTTTTGCACGCCAATCAATTGAGAAAGACGCTAAGATATTGTTCATCATGTGATAAATCCAATCATCTGTAACGAATCCACTTGAACATATTTGATGAAAAACTGGAGAAAATGAAAGAAACGTTCCAAAAGTCATTGTTTTATTTGCACACGGGCATTGCAATGTTGTTGAATAAATAGATTCGAATGATTTATAAGTTGTCAATGATGGATTCGATATAGTTGTTGTTACTATTTCAGTACTTAATGAATTGAAAAGACAAAGAACAGATATTGATCCTAAAAATTTCATTTAATTACAATAATTTGTTTATAATAAATACAAATGTTACCTATTAATAATACTAAATAAATACGAGTAGTAATTCTTTGTTGTTGAATATCATTTTCAGATCGATGATTAATATTTTTAAATAAATTTAATTGTTTTAATGTTTCAATTGGTTTAAATGTATTTTCATTTGTATTCATTTGAGAATATTTATATTTAAATAAACTATCAATTAAAAATGATACAATTAAACGAAATATGATGATAAGACCACCATAAAGACTAATGAGAAGTGTAAAAGCAGAAGAGAAATTTGATCGAATTTTTGTTGAATATGAACATGTTGATGGAGAACATTGATTAAAATATGTCGAATAATTCATATTTAATAACCAATTTTCAATGAAAAGATTTTCAAAATGAACAAGTACAGTCTTATTATCATGTTTTGAAGATAAAATTAAATTATTCCAATGAAATTTGTTTGTCTAAAAAAATCAAATTCATTTATTGAAAATATAATAAAGAAAAATGATACAAACATGATTAAGATTTGGAAAATAGTTTAATAACCAAAGAATACATTCCAAATCATATAAACAATCCATTGTACTTTGAAGAAGTGCTTCAAAAGGAGTACATCCAGTAAAAAATCCATTGACACTTGTATGATCAGATAATCGTATCCATTGTTGGCCAAGATATTTCGAATAATTTAATGGTGAAGGAAGAAATGTTTGAATTATTGGATTATCAATACCACATACTACAGCAGAAGAATTAAGTAAATAATATACTTTGGAAAATCCTGTTAGAACAGGTTTTGACTCAGAATATCGCGCTAAAATTTGCCAATTTGTACCGAGAGCTGAAATTAAGAAATTTCTTTGAATTGTTGTTCGCCAATATTTTAAAAATGATCTTATTCGACCGAATGCATTCGTTTTTTGAAATTCGATTGTATTATTTATTTCCAATTGAATTTGCATTTGAGAAAGAAGATTAATAGTAACAAGTTCAGTATTATTAACATCAGATTGAATTTGAGAAATAATTTCGTTCGAAAGTGAACATAATTTCGATAAAATTTCAAACTAAATCAAAATAGTTCAAATGAATAAAATAGAATAAATATGATTTGAATCGTTTTACTTGTGAATAGGCTACTATTCGAAAATCATATTGCATATACCAACTTGCATTACTATAATATAATCCTTCAATCCATTCTCGTTTGACAAAAATACTCGAACAAACAGAATGCATTGTTACATTGTTTGAAAGAAAAGTTTTATATGGTATTATCACTTGTGAACATGGACATGAAAATGTTTGACCATATTTCGAATAGAATTGATGATAATTATCAAATGTTATATCGGATATCATCATCGTTTCATATTCAGATTTGTTCAAAGTAGAATAAAACAAAACATAAAAACCGACTTAAATAAAGAATAAAAATTTTATATTATTCTCTCAAGTGTAGAAAGAGTCAAAGATTTAGCAATTACCTGTGAGAAATACAACATACAACCAAGTTTGATATTTTTGTTTTTTAAGAATAATAGTTGGATCTCTAATTGTATCATCATTATAATCATTTTCTTCCAACATGAAAAGATTATAATCAGATACAATTTTAGAAATCCAATTGAAGAACGTTTTCAGATTCATTATATTGAAGTTAATTTTAACAATGTTGTGTTCTCAATGTCATCAGTTGTCAAGACAAAATGAGAAAGAAAAAAGGAAAATTGTCGTTTTGTTTTGTGTATAAATATTTCTACATTGTTTCTAAGTTGATTATTACTGTTATGAAAGTTCTTGAAAATACGTGAAATGCATTTTGACATTGAACGGAAAGTAGAACAGGTTTTTAAGAAAATTGTTTTTTTTTTAAAGAGAATATATTTTTGAATGAATCACTTTTTGTTAATATTGATTATTGAATTCAACGTGAAAAAAAGTAAATAATTGACGTCATAATGACTTATTAATTTTCAAGAAACATTTTTGCAGTTAGAAATATAATAATGATGATGAAGGTTCATTTAGAGAAAGACTGTAAATGAATATCGAAAAGAAATTGTAAAAATATATTATTTCAATATCATATTGAACATATCTTTTCTTAAAATTCAGTTCATATAGAAAACGAATCGCTCTTTCCTCGCTTTAATTTTAGGTGTATTCACTGCAAAAGTAAAAAAACTTGAAAAATTCGTCATTGTATATTTTTGTGAAATCGTTGTAGTCACGTCGGACACACTATTTACCCGAAGTTTCTTTTTTTGTATAGAGACAAAAATAACGTACCAGATCAAGAGAACACAATCTTATTATTAGTAGTAAAGATGTATCATTTTTGGGCAAAATGAACTTTATATTTGAAATCAAGATAAAAAATTTAGTTTGTAATTACTATTCAACAAAAAGTTGTGCAATAAAATCTCATTAGCATGGCTAAAAATACTTTTGTCATCGATAGTTATGATCATTTAGTTGATATTTTATAAATTTTGATAGTTAAATCATGTAAAACAGTGAATCGATATTGTGGTTTTATTGCCGATCTCAGCGAGGGAATGATTGTACCTTATCCACTTGCATAATCTCGATATCTAAATATTGAACATGAAATCTTAGTTTTCTCGGTAACATTTCCTTCATTGAAATATTTTATTGATATAAGAATGATTTACATGTCTTTTTTATGGTAATGAATCGAAACGAACGATTCTCAAAGATATCACAATCAGGAGAATATCATTCTTCCATAAATTCATCAATTGGATTTAATGAACTTAGAATTTTCACTAGCGTTAGTCGACAAGATATAAAGCTAAACTCTGAGTCTGTGAAACTGAGCAAACGACTAACTCAAAAGGGTGGCGAAGGTTAGATAATCCTTTCTAACATTAATAAAACATATTTTTCCTTTTTTCACAGGTTGGATTCACGGAATTCGTAGTTATCATCAGTTCGATCCATTGGCAGTGAGTCGCATCAGTTGTCGTAAAACATCCAGTAGCTCAGACTCAAAAGCATTCGCACTCTAACATGTTCTTTCACGGTTTCTTCTTCTTCTCATGCTTGCAAAACCAGGCTTTTCTTATAATTAAAATATTAACATTGCAGTACTGATCTATGAACACATGTATCAATGGAAAATAGCATAGATTTAAGGGGTCTTCGACGCACATACGGTTCGATATATCTTTTGATGTTCTATCAAATGAGATGTTTCGCGAAGTCCAGAGTTCTCTAGTTATGAAGTTTTTGAGCCTCGAATACTAGGGCGTTAAAAAGAGTTTACAGAGGCCCGTCGTTCTGACAGGAACCCAAAAACATTTTTAAAGTAGTGATTCTGATAGCCCTAATGACGAGGAATTCAAATATTTGATCAAAATTTCTGTAGCACAAAATAATGCAAAACTACGTGTGTTTCAAAGAATAAGGTACTTTGAAAAAACGTTCCAGAGAGTACTTGGTGTTTGGGCTAGAGCTCTTCAACAAAACATCCTAGAACTTTCGCCCAAGAGCAAAAAGTCTTAGAATTGTTTCTTATATAAGTCCTGGAAGTTTCAAACGATTTGTTGAATCTTGTGCATATCGTGTCACAAGTCCCATGGAATCGCCCACGTATAAAAATAAAAATGACTTAAATTTTCATTCCTTGAATTCTAGAGAAAATTTCTTGATCATCATCGAATGTCGTTTATGATTGAAATATAATTAATTAATTAGTTATAGTACAGTCAAAGCAAACTACGAAGTTGATCATTGTAGGAATGAATGAAATCATTAGGATTTGGGCATTTCGAGACTCTACAGGTTGGAATGAGTAAGTTGAGAATAGAATTTAAATTTGATGTATTTTCGATACATAGTCAATTGCTTAGACACAACATTTGATATTAGCAAACTTATTTATCTTTCATATAGAACGAGATAGAATCGTTTTATTCTTCGATTAATTTTTCTCATTTCTTTTCACGTGTTTTGATTAAAATACGGAAAGTAGAACAGAATCTCTTTTGGATTAAATATGAAATCAAGTTCATAATAAATATGATAAAAAGAAGTGCTATTAATCAATGTCGTTGTAAAAGACATGGTTGCTAATTTTAGCTGCTGGTTTTTTATGTGTTGGCCAATAATGGGGAACGCTTTCAACATGAGAGTGTTTTGATTTATAGGTTTTATCAGGACGTCTTTTATTAACCGCATCTTCGACAATGCCATAGATATGTCGATAATCTTTATCAGTATTCTTCAACTTCTTTATTTTTTGATAATTCACATCATCCGAATTCCAATAAGAAAATTGTTTATCTTTCAAACAAATACGTGCAATACTATTACCATATCCGACAGCATAGAAACGGTTCATAATTACATGAGCCACAGCAGCCTTGCCTTCATCCGATTCTCTCCGTGCTGCACCCCAAACCGTTCTTGTCAATATATCTAAATCATCATTACTTGCGGCGGAAGTCATTTTTAAAAAAACAAGAGCACATATATACGCTCATGTTGAAAAGTACGGATTGGATCCGGAAGGACGAAACCGGAAATGAACGGAAAGTGGAAGAAGGAATCCTTAGGTTCTCTCCGCAATTGAAAGAAACTGGACAAAACCGGTCGTAGGATTCGGTTAAACGATCCTTGCTTCCGTTTTCCGTCGATTTTCGGTATCTTCTTGAAGCAACCATTGCTTTTCCCCTAGGGTTCCAGCAGAAATTACATTGATCCGGGACCCAGAATCATTGTCCTGGGCAGCAAAAGTATCTACCAATCAGACCATATACGTCGTCTATCACTCATTGACTAAAGTATTCTCATGGTGATTTTTAACACATAGGATCGTCTCCGTCCTCATACATCAGTGGCGGATCTAGGATTTTGGGAGCAAAGGGCGATCGCTGAGTAGAGGGTGCGTGATGTAGACCAAAAATCATTTTCGAAGGTTAAGCAAAGTAGTGTAAACTCTTATTTTCGACCATTTTTGCTGGAAAAATCAAAAAAAGTTCCGGAGGGGAGGGACGACTGCCCCATCGCTCCTCTCTAAATTCGCCACTGTCATACATTCTTTGTAACATGAAGCGTATACGAATGCAAACAACATAGTGTGATATATGGCAATGATCATAGTGAGGAATAGATAATCTCGACTAATCCAAGAGTGAAATTCAGTTGATTGTATTGTCACATTGGTAAACATGCATGCGAGCGCACGAATATTCTCTGTCCGCTCAAGAACAAAATCTTTTCTCGTCGAGATCGACATATGTAAACAAAAGAAGCCAAAATATCATCTTATCCATCACAGAGGGGAACAGTGTTTTTTCTTTCTTTCTCTTCTCTGTCTATAATAGCATTTCTCTTTTGGTCAATAAAACGATCTCCTTAAAAGCAAACCGGGCGAACTGCGGTAACAATGGATATAAAGGGTAATACTGAAAATAGATCAAAGAAACAACAAACTACATCTTATTTGTTGTAAATCAATCTGCATAGATTGAGGAAACAGAAGGGAGTTTCTTGCTGTTTAAATGTACATCATTGTCGCTTTCTCAAACTGTCTGAAATTACATAGAATTTTGTATTTGTTAACTTGCTTTGTATGACAAGAAAATAAATAATGATTGGTAAATACATCGTAGAATATTATGCTGTGTTCAGTGCCGATTGTTAACTATTAGCATTACAATAACACTCTTCTTTATATAATCACGATATTGTCTTATTTAACAAGTAACGCTCGTCTGGTGACTCGCTCAGCTCTTTCTCGTAGAAATCATGCTTTCAGATATTACACTTTAAAGCTATTATTGTGTATATTAATTTATTTTTAGTGTAGATTCGATATTTTCACAAAAGTAGTAATAGATATTTATACCAAATATCAAATCGAGAACCAGATATTCTAAATAAGTATCAATGCAATTAAGTAGATTATGAATTATTACGTGAAAAAGCTTTCAGCGCAATCCCTAACGGGATTAAATATGTCAAACACGACCCAACTGGAGAAAATTTCAACACATAGAATGGTCAATTTACTTCCCAGTGTGCATTCTTATTTATTTAAACTTAAGCTATAAAAGATGCACCTAAAAATGAAGAGAGAGAGAGAGAGGTCGTTATGTGAAAAGGCAAATAAACTCTATATCATTGTCTCACAGACAGCGTGACTCTCAACTTCGTTACGTCGACCCACGCAGATCTCAGCACAGATCGTGAGCGGTTAATGGAAGCGCAATAAGAAGCATCACATATTGTGACCAATGAAACGAAGATAAAAGAAAATAAGAAAACACGATAGGAAATATCTGCTACAATGAAAGAAAAGAAACGATTACCACAATGATTAAGATAAATGTAAAGAGGGAGGTAAAAAAATGAATATATACGAATAATTATTTTAAGATAATTTGAAAAATGATAATACATTTTATATGCTTGTAATAACACTAAACTCTTAACAGTGTATCGATTTATACACGTTCAAAAAGCGGAAGAGGTACATTCTCGTTGTGTCTTTTTTGTCAAGCTCATCTAGTCGTTTCTGTTCAGCGTCTTGAGCACGAGAGGGTCGAACTCGTAAACAAGGTATAAATGTTTTTGTGAAAATCGGTATCTTTGGTTTGAAAAAATTTTTTTCAATCTCAAAAAAATAACATCAGATTTGTCCTCTTCGACCCCAAAATCTCTTCGGTAAATTTTTATAAAAAGAAACTTTTTTTCACAAAAAAGTCGCCCGTTGTGTAAAAAAATTGATCCATGTAAACATTTGAAAAAAATAACGCCAGATTCGAGTTCATCGACCCAAAAAACTCCTTAGTCAAATTTTATAAAAAAAACCTTTTTTGTAGAAAACGGCCCTTTGTTTAAAAAAATATTTTTTTAATGAAAAATTTATAAAAACTAACATCAGATTCGAAGTCTCCGCATCGAAATACCTCTGGAAATGTCTTTTTGGAAAAAGCGATTTTCGATGTTTTTCTTTACCCTGCGGACATACAAGCAAGCAAGCAAGCAATTTATGTTTCTAAGACTCTTCTCTACGAGAAAGAGAATAAAAGTCTATAAGAACAGATGGTATGTTTGCATACGGAAAAACGTATTAATTACAGATCAATTTTTTGCGATGCAAATAAGTGAACCTCTTTTTAACAACTAGTAACGCTCGTCGAGGCAGACTCGCTATACCCTCGACTGAACCACTGGCTGAAAATACAATAGTCTTATATGCATTTTATGCAAAAAAAGATAGAAGTATAACCTTTGAACGGGTCCCCCAGAAACTGATCTTCATTCGCCTCACAGTCTTCAAAAGAACCAAAAGACTACTTATGTTCCTTTTAATTATTCGATATTCCTAACTGACAATCACTCTTCACAGGAAGCAGAAGTTTGCCACAAATGATTATTATGGATTTGCACCTTACACACATCCTCCTTTTTCCAAAAGAAAGATAATTTCAGTAAGACCAAATGAGACTCGGTATAGATTTCGCATTCGAACGTGTCGGATTGTTTATACTTTTGTAACTGGCTAGATAACCAGGCGCAGCTCATTGTTCGTCGGCGCTCCACAGGGGCGCCACTCACAACTCGCCGCTCCAAAGCTGTCCCTGTCTATCATATAATTACGCGTGTGCTACTAAAAAGTAACGAAAATTAATTAGCATTCCATCAACATCTCATGGATAAGATTATCCTCGTCCGAACATTTGAGGTTATCTCCTTAACCCTCATACGCGCACTTATGGGACTACCACTTATTACCCACCTGGGGTCNCGATATATCTTTTGATGTTCTATCAAATGAGATGTTTCGCGAAGTCCAGAGTTCTCTAGTTATGAAGTTTTTGAGCCTCGAATACTAGAGCGTTAAAAAGGGTTTACAGAGACCCGTCGTTCTGACACGAACCCAAAAACATTTTTAAAGTAATGATTCTGATAGCACTAATGACGAGGAATTCAAATATTTGATCAGAATATCTGTAGCACAAAGTAATGCAAAACTACGTGTGTTTCAAAGAATAAGGCACTTTGAAAAAACGTTCCAGAGGGTACTTGGTGTTTGGGCTACAGCTCTTCAACAAAACATCCTAGAACTTTCGTCCAATAGCAAAAAGTCTTAGAATTGTTTCTTATATAAGTCCTGGAAGTTTCAAACGATTTGGTGAATCTTGTGTATATCGTGTCACAAGTCCCATGGAATCACCCACGTATAAAAATAAAAATGACTTTAATTTTCATTCCTTGAATTCTAGATAAAATTTCTTGGCCATCATCGAATCTCGTTTATGATTGAAATATAATTAATTAATTAGTTATAGTACAGTCAAAGCAAACTACGAAGTTGATCATTGTAGGAATGAATGAAATCATTAGGATGTTGGCATTTCGAGACTCTACAGGTTGGAATGAGTAACTTGAGAATAGAATCTCTTTTCGATTAAATATGATAAAAAGAAGTGCTGTTAATCAATGTCGTTGTAAAAGACATGGTTGCCAATTTTAGCTGCTGGTTTTTTGTGTGTTGACCAATAATGGGGAACGCTTTCAACAGGATAGTGTTTTGATTTATAGGTGTTATCAGGACGTCTTTTATTAACCACACCTTCGACGATGCCATAGATATGTCGATAATCTTTATCAGTATTCTTCAACTTCTTTATTTTATGATAATTCACATCATCCGAATTCCAACAAGAAAATTGTTTATCTTTCAAACAAACACCTGCGATACTATTACCATATCCACCAGCATAGAAACGATTCATAATTACATGAGCCACAGCAGCCTTGCCTTCATCCGATTCTCCCCGTGCTTCACCTCAAACCGTTCTTGTCAATATATCCAAATCATCATTACTTGCGGCGGAAGTCATTTCTAAAAAAACAAGAGCACATATATACGCTCATGTTGAAAAGTACGGATTGGATCCGGAAGGACGAAACCGGAAATGAGCGGAAAGTGGAAGGAGGAATTCTTAGGTTCTCTCCGCAATTGAAAGAAACTGGGCAAAACCGATCGTAGGACTCGGTTAAACGATCCTTGCTTCCATTTTTCGTCGATTTCCGGTATCTTCTTGAAACAACCATTGCTTTTCCCCTAGGGTTCCAGCAGAAATTACATTGATCCGGGAGCGAGAATCATTGCCCTAGGCAGCAAAAGTATCTACCAATCAGACCATATACGTCGTCTATTATTCATTGACTAAAGTATTCTCATGGTGATTTTTAACACATAGGATCGTCTCCGTCCTCATACATCAGTGGCGGATCTAGGATTTTGGAAGCAGAGGGCGATCGCTGAGTAGAGGGTGCGTGATGTAGACCAAAAATCATTTTCGAAGGTTAAGCAAAGTAGTGTAAACTCTTATTTTCGACCATTTTTGCTGGAAAAATCAAAGAAAGTTCCGGAGGGGAAGGACGACTGCCCTCATTGCTCCTCTCTAAATTCGCCACTGTCAAACAATCTTTGTAACATGAAACGTATACGAATACAAACAACACAGTGTGATATATGGCAGAGATCATAGTGAGGAATAGATAATCTCGAATAATCCAAGAGTGAAATTCAGTTGATTGTATTGTCACATCGGTCAACATGCATGCGAGCGCACGAATATTCTCTGTCCGCTCAAGAACAAAATCTTTTCGCGTCGAGATCGACATATGTAAACAAAAGAAGCCAAAATATCATCTTATCCATCACAAAGGGGAACAGTGTTTTCTCTTTCTTTCTCTTTTGGTCAATAAAACGATCTCCTTAAAAGCAAACCGGACGAACTGCGATAACAATGGATATAAAGGGTAATACTGAAAATAGATCAAAGAAACAACAAACTACATCTTATTTGTTGTAAATCAACCTGCATAGAATGAGGAGACAGAAGGGAGTTTCTTACTGCTTAAACGTACATCATTGTCGCTTTCTCAAACTGTCTGAAATTACATAGAATTTAGTGTTTGTTAACTTGATTTGTATGACAAGAAAATAAATAATGATTGATAAATACATCGTAGAATATTATGTTGTGTTCAGTGCCGATTGTTAACTATTACCATTACAATAATACTCTTCTTTATATAATCACGATAGTGTCTTATTTAATGGGATTTTCCCATTGTTTCTTTACACAGATATCGTTACAAAACCCTCGTTGTCAATTGTTCTTATCTAATGGATTATCTTGCTTACGTACGTGTTTCTGGACCTCTTGATGTACTTTGACATGATACTTTCTTTCGTCCTCTCCAATGAATGAGTACCTAAACGAGTACTTTCCATCAAAACGATCCGATTGATGAGGAAGAAATAAATAAAAACGTAGTTCCATCAGCTCGTATATCTTTTTCATCAAAAATAATCACAGTCATTCAATACTTTGAATCATTCCTCTATCTTGCGAAATAGTAAACACATCGTTTCTTATGTTCTCTCATCTCTATTAAGTGATGGACTTTATCCCTCGATATGTCTAGCACACATAACGAGAACCATAAGTCACACACGATAACAGCTTCGAATATTCAGCAAACGCCGGTTCAAAATCGGGGCTAAACCAGCAATGATGTTACAAACAAACGTCCCAGAACATACACATCACTATTTGGACAACAGCAGCTTGTAAGGCGGCACCAACATGGATTAAGTCAATAGTCAATAACTCATTCAGCAACAATAAACATGAAATCGTTGTTATCAGTGTGAAGCTAGCACGAAGAAACGATGTGTTATGGTTTATCAGATTATGACATCTATTCCCGTGTGATTTCTTTCTCATCTAATCTTTGTTATTTTTCTATACATATACATGTTGTTGTCAAAATAAAGCCAGTTATGTCCTAATCGACTTCACGAATACACGCGCCTATTCTCATAACGTCTTCGGACATAACAGTGGTGACAGCGGTCTATAGAAGAAGAAAAAAGAATTTTCTTCTTCTAATCCATCGATAAACGTATAACAAAGAAGGAATCCTTCTTCATCAGTAGTAGCTGATTCTATATTAGGTGTTCGACAACGCAATTCAAGATGCTATTATGATTAACGCTGGTACATCCTCGAATGCAACCGATGACTCGAAAACGATGAAAAAAAAACCGTACAACCAGTTATCACTCGACAAGTCCAGCGACCACCTACGGCTGAAGAGTCAATACGCAGCCATGTGCGAATGTTAATGGAAGGTGACCGAATTGGAACGGAGGAATTATTTATTGCATTAAAGAAATTCTTTGATGAACAAAATTATTCATCATCACAACGAATTACTTGTACACAGATGTTTTTGAACGACGAAGGAAAAGCGTGGTATGAAGAAAACAAGCCCTCAATAAAGGATAATTAGTTGTTCTTTTGTGAACGATGCAAACAACATTTACAAAGCTGTCGGCAAGTTCGTGCACGTCCAACGCCACTAGGTGAAAATTTATTAGTCAACAATGAACAAACATCTTCGTTGGAAGATATCATTCAGGCACATTTCAACAAATATTCAGGTATTGGTGATGCAAGAAGTTGGTTGTTAGAAACCATGAATCGATTCAGATCACAGCGATTACGACGTGATGATCAGTTCGAAGCAATATCTTTATTATTAAAAGGAGAAGCTTATTTATGGTATACGGCAAACATCGAAATCATTCTCAATTTCGAAATATTCAACAAGTTATTTCTGGAACAGTGCGTAGCATCAACGGCGTCAACGACAATTTCGATCAGGGGGTACTGGTGCATCAGCGACCGACGTATGTTCGTGGTTCACCGGATGATGTACACGATTGGTTAGATAAATTGGAACAACGATTTACCATGCCACATTGGTCCGATGAAAACAAGTTACAATACATATCGATACATTTGCAAAAAGATGCTTATCGATGTTGGATGCAGACATCTTCGACAATAAAGACCTGGCCTTTGTTCACAGATGCAGTTGTACCCTACAGTTTCATTTTTATTTATTCAATTTAACGGAAACCAGTAAAAACATAACCTATTCAATTCATTTGGAAGTTCATCCATCAGAGTCGAATATTTCTTATTTATTAATCTATGAATCTGACCGTAAACCACAATTGAAACCTATTCAAAATTGGACGTTCTTGTGCCCATCGAATTCCACAGTTGAGCCTTTAGAAGAAATGAACGAATATTGTTCGAATAAAACGTTGTATCCAAAACTCAATCAATCGAGAAAATTCACTTCTGATTATCAAATTCGATTGTATCAATCAGCTTGTTTTTATCTGGATTCAGATAATAACTGGCAATCGGACGGATTGGTCGTTGGATCATTGACAAATTATAATCAAACACAATGCTTTATAACATATCCACCATAAACTAACCAATAGTACAAATTTTGAACATTTGATCTACGTTTTCTATTTCTTCATATCTCTGAATCTTGGATAGAGGATCGGATCTTTTCTCTTACTCATAGTTTCGTTTTCACATTGCAACTGACTTTTGTGATAATCGTATGAAAACAGATACAATTTTTATTATATCACATATTGTAAAAGTGCATATATTATTTTAATTACTAAAGAATAAATTTACTGACGTAAACGATGAAAAAACACGAAAAAAGTCAGAAGATGAAAAGAGAAATTGTTGATTAGATTTGTCGCATGATTTCGATCGATCATTTGTGCAATATCTTTTATCATTGTTTTATATCGATGATCAATATCAATCACTTGAGTTTCCAATCGATTGACAACATATGCAAATGAAAGATTTTTCTCAGGCGCAGCAAATCCAATACTTCCTCCAATTCCTGCAAATATAAAACAACATTAAATACAATCTAAGGAAAAAAATCAAACCTTGATGACCAAAAATTTCCGATCCCAATGATGGAAATAGGTCATTCATTACAGAAAATCCCATAGCAAATGTTGTTGTAATATTCAAAACGAAATCAATTTCATGTGGAGGTGTATTCGATTTGATTGCTCGTTTTAAAATATCTTCGGTTAAGATTTGTTGATAACGATTATTTTCGACATTACCAATTAAACTCGCATAAAGTCTCGCTAAAGATCGAGCATTTGTTATTCCGTTTCCACCTGGAATTTCTGCTCTATGTGTAGTATTTTTATTGAAATCATCAAGTGAAGATTGATATGGTTGGAGATCTAACGGTGAAACACGATATTCTTGTTCGGATGGTAAACCAACATAAAATTCAATTTGTAAAGGTTTTGCAATTTCATCTCGAATAAATTCACCTAAAGTTCGATTTTTTGGATCAACTCGTCGAACAAGTTCACCTGCTAACCAACCATATGTTAATGCATGATAACCATGAGTTGTTCCTGGTTTCCATACAGGTTGACCTTGTTCTAATCTATTTGTCATCAACGTCCAATTCAAATAGTCATCAAATGGTGAAAAATCAAATGGTAAACCAGCACGATGTGAAAGAATATCGGCGACTGTCGTATTTTCTTTTCCATTTTGTCCATATTCAGGCCAATAGTTTGTAACTAATTTAGAATAATCGAGAAGACCTTGTTGAACACATAATGCAACAGCTATTGCCACTAAACCTTTTGTCGTTGAGAATACTAATTGTAACGAATTATTATCGTAAGATTTTGATTTCAATTTATCAAACCATCCGCCTTGGAGGTCAACAACTAAATTTCCTTGATAATAGATCGCTAACGATGCACCTAAATCTCGTTCTTCGACAAAGTTTTCTCGAAATAAATCTCGAACAAATTCCCAACCATCAGCTGTTGTTCCATCTATATTGAATTCATCGTTATTACCAGAAATACATGTGATAATAAGAAAAAAGCAAATCCAAATGTAGCTGTACATTCCTGTGCGTATTGATAATGAAAGCCAACGTAATAGAGTAAGACACGTATTTAAATGCGTCGTCATTCTATGCGATACGAAGAAAACTCGTCATTGTGCAAATATAACATAAATGAGTAAGATAAAGGATTGTCACGTCTTGATAAGAAATAAAAGATCTTGAGAGAAGTATGTTTATTTCAAGCATACATGTAAAACTCGAAACTTGAATTCGAGTATTCTTGAGGGCGTGGGTGTTGGGTGGGAGGGTGTTGGTGGGTATAATCTGTGTGAGGGTGCGGGGCAAGGTGTTGAGCAGGTATCGTTCACGTAGGGGTAAGTTACATGGTATTTGAGAGAAAGCATAGGTAAAAATATTTAGCAGTGCTCTCTGACACATTTACATGGAAAGTTGGGTTAGTGTTAAATAGAATAAAAGAAGGTTTAGTGACAGAAACCCTAATGTCCGATGGATAGGGATGCTGCATTTCGTTGTGTTCTTCGTCTATATGTATGTGTAGGGAAAAACGCTTCACTGGTCGCTGTGCCTTTACTGCTGGTAATAGCTGACGTCGGCAAGTGTTCGACGACATGTCCTGTGACCCATAGCAAAGTTCAGATCTACTTTCGTGCCGAACACTATGCCACGCGCTACCTGGCAGTATGCTGTGTAACTGAGCAACAGGGCCGAAGGCCTTCTGAGTGTTCGTACCCAAAAATCGAATGCTGGGTCACTCGAATAATTGAATACTCGAATATTTGAATTCAAGTTTCGAGTTTGACACTACTGAATAACAGTTCAGCAAATAAATCTAAACAATTTTTATGTGAATCGATGTTTCTACACAGTGAAAAATGCAGCTCCCTATCTTATTCCTATGGAAAATTATTTCAAAAGACCTACATGATCCTTTATTTCGAAATGAACAATACTATCTATATTTGTTTGGTTCTTGAGATTGATGAATATCAAATTATTTATTGACTGTCAAAGTGCTAATCATATATTTTAATAATGCCAATAAGTACTGTAATAAGCACTAATGTTGTTAATATGGTTTTCTCTTTTTTGCTCATGGTATTATCATATAACCAAGTGTTGTGGCTACCCGATATGTTTCATCAGTCATAAAAGAATAATCAACACCATTTAACACATGATCGAACATACAAGTTTTCCTTTTGTTTTTATTCAATAGTTGATCGTTTTCTTCTAGCTTTTCAATCAGTTTTTGTCAAGGGGGAAACAGGGCAGAGACCTCAGAATTGAACTACTTCACTGTACTTCAAATACTATCTGAAGTTGATGAAGTCTAGCTTTTCCTCACTTGTATGGAGAGCAGTACATGCCAGTATTTCGATGAACACACCCAAATCTATCCTTCGTTTCGTATACAATGTTTATGAGAATCTCGAGCGAAGTGTTAAATCTGTCGTTTAACCTTTTCAATCAGCACCTTTGGTGAGAGTAATTAACGTTTCCCAACACGAGTAGAAACGCCGTATTTTCTAAATGAAATAGTGAATCAACTTAGAGCAGAGAAATATGAAAGTCTATGGCGAAGCAGAATTCATAACTTAGGACCATTTTGTTTACTTCTTTGTGACGATCCCTTCAACGATAGAGCAGCTCAAAACGTATCAAGAATGCTTCTCGTATTCGATCGAACATTACTCATTTCAGGGGTTTATCTCATGCAGCCGCAATCGTGCTGTAGCCGAGATGTATTCCACAAACGCCTTGTCTATCATGGAGACACGCCGAACTTTCACTACAGATCTTACGCCGTGGGCTCAATATCCGCAATAAGAACTTGTCATGCCTGCCGTTCAAGATTGAAAAAATAGGATTTGACAATGGAAGACATCGTTTCTTTAGTAAGTACAGATAGTTCTTTTTCAAAATGCAGAGATTCTAGGAACTGTAGTTTCGGGGTTTGTGAATCGAAACAGAAATAAATAAGAGATATATGCTGATGTTTCATCATTTTTTCTGACCTGTGATGCCCGTAATACTCTTTGAACAAAAATGAATGCTGTTGGCATAATGTCCCACCTTGTCGCTTGTTATTATCGAATTGGTCGTATCATCCGTACAAGACTATGATGATAAAGTTGCCATTTGTTCTGTCAGTGTTACAGATCAGCTTGCCGATTGTTTAAATTGCATGGAACGTATTGATCTTCGTCGCGCCGTCGTAATATTCGTGATTCTTCTGATCATTTTTTTCTTCATTTTGATCGTAAAAGCGGTAGAGACTCATGTGAAGTTATTGGTTTAATATCGACAGATGGGAATACATTGTCTTCTAGATTCACACCCATACCTTTCAATATATATTGCCAGCATTTTCGCACAGGCCTCTGGTCCATCAAAAGAAAGAACAAAATTGAAGCTTTTCGGACAATATCAATCGGCAAATTTTCGACTTTTATTGCGCCTCGGTTCAAAGACTGTTCTATATCGCATCCTCAAGAAGATTAAATACTATCGGATACATTTAAAAAAACCAGAAAAAAGATATTGTTGATAATACATTTTTAACGGACAATGCGTCAGTCGCCACTATTTCAATGAATACAACGCAGAATCAACGCGAGTTTGTACTGTTTTATAGCTAATTGCGCTTGTTCGAAACGTTTATTTTTTTTCAAAAGACGAGTGTTCACTTGTATTCTCACTCTCACACCCTCACATCTAGTCGAGACTGAACATCTATACATATGATAATGTGAAATATTTATAGCAAAGAAAAGCGAAGAGGATTTACAATAAATAAAAACTTTTTTTTTCTTTGTTCAAAAGAAATCGTTTTTCTAATGAAGTTCAATATAAATGAAATTAATTAAGTAAGATTTAACTCATGTTTCATGTACACAATATTCACCCAAGTTGAGAAAAATATTGATAGTAGACAATTGATCATCGATAACCAATATATCTTTGTAATTGTCACTGTTGAAATCCTTAACAATGAAACCATTCAGAACATCATCTTCATTCAAAGATACTGTTATTGTAGAATAGGTTCCATTTTCATTTTCAAGTATTATTTTCATATTCGGCTCTAAAGGGTACATAATAGCTATATCGATATAACCATCACGATTAAAATCGCTTCCAGTAGCTACCGATGGCTGTGATGCAACTGGTATGATAATAGGTTGTCTTGTATTAAAAGTAGTATCACCATATCCAAACCAAATATGAATCGCTCCTTTATGATAATTCCAAGTAACAAGATCGAGCCGATTATCTTTATTAACATCGTTGATTGTCATGTATAGATGCATATAATTATCGAACGGATGAAATTTGTGTTTTTCAAAACTGCCATTACCGTGACCGCGAAAAACAGTAAACCCGCAGAGTTTTGTATTGAAAGTAATAAGGTCAATGTTATTATCATTGTCTAAATCAGCAGCAGTTAGGTTTTGTGGATAACTTGAACGTCCAGTAAAAATTGTCGTTTGGAGTGAAAAATTCCCATTATTCATTGCAATGTATATAAGAATTATGTTTGCAAACGTATCCATGACAGTGATATCTAAATATTTGTCACCATTAAAATCAGCCAGAGCAATAGAGTTGGAAAGTGGAATTTTTTCAAAGGAAAATGTTGAAACTAATTGAAAACCCCCATTTCCATATCCTGCTAACATTAATATTTGTTTGGTTTCAAATTCAACAAAGGCAAGATCAAGTTGTCCATCATTGTTAAAATCAATAATATCGAGTTGAAATGTATCAGAATACGTTTCTATTGGAGTTATGACTTGTCTAGAAAAATTTCCATTATCAATTCCAAGTCGCACAAGAACAGCCTTAAGACTCGAGCAAAAATATATGAGGTCAAGTCGATTATCTTTATTGAGATCAGCAACAACGGGTGATTTAAAAAGCGAAGAAGAACAATATGTAGGTATTGGTATGGTTTGAAATTTTAATGGACAATTTGATACTAATCAGACAACAAATGTAAATGATCATATATTTTTCTGTTTCTTCACTGACCTGAATTACGTGAATATGTTGTTGTCGTCACCGTCGTTGTATCGATATTAATTGTTGTGTTATTTGAAGAAGCTGACACGTAAAAAAAAAACAAATACTCTATAACTTTTCTTAGTTTTATCAATTGATTTCTTATACAATATTGAGACATATTTCAATGAACAATGTATTCGATTGTACGTACTATATCGACATCTGAAACTGAAAGGTTAACTTCTTCCTAATTACAGTTATTCAGTTTGTAACGCAATGGACAATTCATTGAAATGGATTTTAAGAACTTGACAGAAATACAGTTTAGAGGTTATAACACTTTTTGCGTTTCATACTCTCAGAATGGGTAACACCGACACTCCTTTTACAGTCTATAAAATTAAAGGTAAACTTGTCAAAACCACAAGATCACGTGAAATAAAGGGAAATCATGGAGCTATGTATATATCACAGATTGCTTCCTCCCGAATCATTAGCCAAATGTTAATCCCTACCTGATTGAACCATATAAATAGAAAAGATCGTAAGAAGAACTGCCACAATTATCACCGAAATGCACATTAAGATAATCTTGAGAGAGTTTTGCCATATAGTTGTTGTCGATGATGCATTTGAATTGTTTGTAGAATTTTGATGAGTTTCAATAGTTGTGATTCTCATCGAACTACTTGGTTGAATAGTATTCGTTCCTTTCTTTCGATATTCATTTATTTTAAATACACATAGAATTATCTGAGGACATATCCATTGAAGAACGATTGTCAAACCACCTTGAATACCAAGTAGAAATGTTATCATGTAAACTAAATTAATTCGTTCAACGTAAGTATAAGAACATGACAAGGGTAAACATTTTTCAAAATAATTTGAATAATTCACCTTTGGTATCCATTTTTCAACAAATAGATCATTGATCAATTTGAGTATAGTAGTATTTAATGGAAATCGAGTGTTGACTAGAGATAATGGAGTGATTTTTGCTGTATATTTCGTATGTTCACGAATAAGATCAAGACATGATTGATTATAAAAGCATTCAAGTGTTGATTGAAGAAATGATTCTGTTGGTAAACATCCCACTTTTAAACCTTGAAGTGGAATTTTTTCAAAATCATTCATCTTTAGAAAATTTCCTTGTGTTGTACAATTTGAATACAATTCACATGAACATTGATTATCATATATCATAGGTTTAGTCAATAGATAATTGACAGATTTGTTAAAAATATAATTGAAATTACTTCCAAATCCTGATATTAAAGCACTTCCATGTTTAATACTTTGAGTTAAAGAGAAATAACGAGTGAATATTGTATGGACATTGGATTTTGTCTGATCAATCTTCAAATTGAGACGTTCGTTAAAGTCTTCTTCAGTTAAGAGTTGAGTAGTAATCATAAAAGAAGACATAATTTGTGTAATACTACTGTTTGTTAATTCATTGAAAATATTACATAAACCACTGAGAAATTGTAAATGGGGAGAGAGAAAACGTCGATAATCATCACCTTGTTCGTATATCGCAGTACTTAAGTGTAGATTATCTGTAAGATTCATTCTCCATTCATTCGAAACGAATGGACTTGAACAAACCTATCGTTATAATAGAAGAAGGAAAAGAAGATAATTTTTAAATTAATTTAGATTATCTCAATCATAAAAATGTATTGATCTTCGACGGCTGACTAAACTTTATCAGTTCTTTCATTTGTCAGCAGCGTAAAAAGTGTAGAAGCAGAAGGGAGGAGTGAATCTATATTTTTCTATTCTGACAATCGAAAAAATGGAATTTTTAGTGTCGAGGTCGAAAACTCCTTTTTTTTTCTTTTGATTTTCGAAAGCAGAGAGCACTACACCCCATATCCCCTTGTATTTACGTTGCTGTTTTCACTAGATCTGCACATCGAAAAATCTTCCTTACCTCATGCAATTCTACTTCATTCTCCACAAAATTATCATATTTTGATGCAATATTTGTACATGGACATTCTAATTTATTTCCATGTTTCTTCTCGAGCTGTTTGTAGAAATCGAATGTTAGATGATCAAAAGTTTCTCTTTGTGTTGCAGGTCGAACAATATTATAGAAGATAATAATAACAAATGCAACAATATGTAAAATGATATATAGACGAGTAGCTATTTGACCAAGACGTTTAGCTTTTATTCGATCAGTGTTACTTCCAAAGTATCTCATAGGAAAAAGATTTAAATTTGTTATACTAATAATACAAAATCTGATAGAATTTTGTATAGTTATTTTCAATCGATTCGACCATTTCTGACGAACTATGAATGAATCAAATCAATATTATACATATATGTGAATTCGAATGATTACCTTGTGATTCTTGTTCGTTTCGTCTTTTGCTAATTAGAGTTAATAAACGATAGACAAGACTAACAATTTGAGGTGTAATAAGACGTAGAGAGACTGTTAAACCACCAATCAAAGACATTAATGTTACCATTAATTCAGCAAAAGTTTTTACTCGAACTCTCTCAAAATAAGTACAATGATTCGGTGCACATAATTCATAAAATTTCTTGTATGAATGAATTGTATTTAATTGATCTATCATCAAATTTTCTACCATAACTGAAATTGGTGTATTTGAAGAAAAACGATCTCTTGTCGGATTATAAGTAAAAGATTGAAAATCGAGCACCCATTGTGGTAGTTTGTCGACGTTTTGTGTCAAAATTGGAAATACACGAGATTTAATTATTGGATAACAATCAGAATCAACATAGAAACATTCAAGTGTTGAATCCAGAACAGAATCAATAATAGAACAACTCTCGACTATTCCTTGTAGTGAATTGTTACGATTCTTTCCATCATCATTTAGTAGACCTGGAAAATTAAAGGTGAAAAAGACTTCTGTTGTGCAACGAGAATTGATGATACAAGAACAATTGGTCGATCCCAAAAACTGATGATACTGAACCAAACGAGATAATATCTAAATAAAACAAAATAATTTTCGTTCTGTCGTAACTCATGAATTCAGACTACACATATGCGTTTAGAAATGTCGGGATTTCATCTTCATTCTTTCATTCATATAGATTCTAACTGTTAAAGAAAGATCATCACTTGAGATATCTTTTTTGAAGCGAAACTTTACTGAATCGAACTCTAGAGAATTGCGAACATAATCTCGATCAGGTTTAAGTTCTGTCTATGAAAATTGTAAAATACCTTTGATAATGATTGTGATTGATTATTAATTTCACTTGCATCATTATAAATTGAAACAGTATATCTGCTTACAGTAAATATATGATAAATGCTTTGTATCTTATACGGTTGATCGATATGGAGCAGAAGACGTGATAATTCAATGATGAAACGAAAATGGAAAATGATCGGTTGAAAAAATTGATTAATATTCACATCAATCTGTGTTTTAAAATCGAGCTCATTAAGTACAGTTGTAGTAATAAAGGATTGCGTATTAAAGCGAAGAATAGCATTATTGATTCTCTCATTAGCCAGTTGGCAAAGAACTCGTAACAATTCGAAATGTTCTTCAATAGTACAACTCCATGGTAAAAGTGGGCATTGTCTCGTCTGCATGTTAAAATAACTGAATAGAGATTCGGAACCATTTGGTGAAAAAGCGGTTGTGCATAGCTTATGTAAAACTATACTTAATGAAATAAATTTCTGATGTGGTATTGCCATAGTAGTGCATGGACATTTGAGTGTATTTGCATGTTTCATTTGTAGATCATTATAAATGGTTAATGATGGATTCGGCACAGTTATCATAGTCATATGAGTGCTCAGTGAATTAAAGAGAACGAGAGATATAATACTGACTAATAAGAGATAAAAAGAAATAATATACTGATATCGATACTTGTCTTAGTGAGTTAATATCCTCTACAAAGTTGAGTGTTTTTCTTTTGTTTTTACAATCAGAGATAATTGACGACATGTTGTAGCACAACTTTTTTTTTTGAGAATATGAGATCTTAGATCGTATTTATGATAAATGAGTTGCGAATATATCAGTTGAAACGCAATGGCGTTCTCTTCATAGAAAAACAATTGGGAAACTTGTATTTCTTACAAGCAACTACGATTCTCATTAATTTCGTAAATTGTCAATGAGTTTCGCACTGCATAATTGAGAAAGTGTATTAGAGATATCTAATCAAACGTGCTGACGAACAAAACCCGAAAATTCGAGTGCTTCGTTTTTTTTGCATCCATCTGCTATTGCGAGAAAACTGTACTTACACCTGTTAATAACTAGAAGACACTGATGGAAACAGCACAAAAGTCTTTTAAAGATCTAATGGGATGACACGTTACATGTTCAAGTAGATATACAAAAGTTTCGTTGATTTTTGCTTTAATTTACTCAGAAATTTCATTATTTGTTGCACTTTCTTTCAAAACTAGATTTTAATGTGTAATAATGATCGCACACAGAGAACTCTCTTATTAGATAAAAAGACAAAGAACAATCTTACTTGACAACAGAGTCAAATAAAGATGTGTTGTAATCTTTTGTTGTTTAATATCACTTTCTGTTTGTTGATGAATTCTTCTAAATAAATTCAATTGTTTGATGGATTTAAAGGATTTCGATGGATGTATTTGTCGAAATACTAAAATTTATGTATTCAAAAGCTTTTATTCGAGACAATCACATTGTATTTATAAGACGTACCTAAAGCAATGTTTCGACTTTTAAAACAATATTTCAATTCCATAAAAGTGCTCATTAAGAGTGGTGCCATCAAGCGAAGTATAATAATGAGACCACCATATAAACTAATAAAAAGTGTTAATGCACGAGAAAAATTGATCTGATTCGTTTTTGTATATGTGCAAAATGATGGAGCACATTCGCTAAAATAATTTGAATAATTTGATACTATTTCCAATTCTTCAGTGAAAAATTTAGAAAAATATTCTTGTACAGAAATATTTCTTTGTTGTGTTCTTAAAATATGATCGGCCCAGCTAATATTCATCTAGATTAAAAAATATGTGTGTGTAGAAAAACGAGACAAAGTAAAATACTTGTTGAAGGAACGGAAAATGGTTGATTATTGAATGGACACATTTGATATCATATAAGCATTCAAGTGTGCTTGAAAGAATACTTGAAAATGGACTACATCCAACGAAGAATCCTTTGATATCTCCTTCCAGTATCAAATGGTCAGTTATATCACTAGGATTATTAAATATTTGATGATACGGTCCTGTATTGAGATTTGCTCTCGCAAAAACATCAGATTCGAAACAATTTATGCTACCCGTATTATTAATAGAAGTGGAGGGGGGCGTTAATGCTATTTGAAGTAATTCAGTTTCAGAATTGTATGTAGCATTTAACCATATATTTGTATTGAGTGCAGAAACGAATTTACTCCTGTGAATAATTTTCATAATATAGTTCACAAACAGAATATTTGGATCAAATGCATCGGTTTTGATATAGTGCATGATGTTATTCACTTGTGTTTCCAGTTGTATTTCAGTATAAAGATGTATAGAAACAAGTTCATGATTGCGCATATTAAATTGAATGTCGGAAACTTTGTTTTCAGAGAACAAACAAAGACTCGCCAAAATATTAAACTAAATGGAAAAGAGAAGCTATTTACGTATATAAACATCTTTATGTGTATATTTCCGTGTGAAAGATCGAATGAAAAATTAGTTCATCTGACTACCATGTGTTTAAAGAGCCGTATAAAATTTATCGGATCACTTCTGATAGTTGTACCTCAATTGTCAGTTTTAGTTTATCGTGAAACGAGTCATTTAAGTCGTAAGAAAAAGTGTCAAATAGAAAACACTGTTTGTTCGTTGTCATACAGCCGAGAGCATTTTAATTAGTAAGTACTATGGAGATTGGATTAATGTCGGTACTTACATTGTTATCTTCAAAAAAAAGTGAAGCAAACTAACCTGAAGTTGAGCTACTGTTGGAAAGTCCCAAAGTGTATAATTGCTTTGCATTTTATTAGATAATCCTTCGATCCATTCTTCGTGAATAAAGATACTCTTGCAAATAGGATGAAACGTGATTGAAAAAGAAACAAAATCCTTATACAATAGTGTGGGTTTCGAACATGGACATATGAGAGTTGTTCTGTATTCCAAATGAAGTTCATTGAATTTAGCAAGAGTAACATGAGGCTCGGTAATAGTTCTTGGTTGTGTTTTGATCAAAACAGCGTAGAACAAAACATACAAACATGCTAGAAAAACAAATTCCCATGCAAATCATTTCTTGATCAAATTATACGATGAAATACTCGATTACGATTACTTTTACACTTACTGATGAGTAGAAGAACATACAGTCGAGTCGTATATTTTTGGTGTTTAAGAATATCACTTGGTTCTTGTACTTCATCGTTGTTATCCACATGATCATCTTCGGACATAAAAACATTGTAATTTCGAATTCGATCAAGTAACCAGGAAAGTATATCTTTAAGTTTCATCGTTTACAGAATGATTGAAATTGATGAATAACTTATTTTGTACGAATTTAATTTATCGCACTTACACAATTATATCTGAAGAACAAAATTAGTGTGCTGATGGATAAAAAGCGCATCTTCTATTCTTGAAAGTGTGTAGAAGGAATATCGTTTGGGAAAGATTTACAATTCTATATGGATACTGAATAATTGTTTTATCTATACGAAGTGTTTGAATTCACCTTTTATGTTTGACAGCGCTGTCTTATGTCATAGACACAGCAGAGTATGTTGCGGTAGTATATGAAAACTTACAAGCACACCGATTTCTGAAATTTCTGTCGTTATCTAATGTATAAAATTATGTTCAAGTAAAATATAAATTATCCTACATTTTCCATTTTATTGTCTTGTTCTTTTTAAAAGCTGTTTTATTTCCTTTTCCGCCTTACTTTGATAACCATTCGATGTTTAATACAAGTAGAACTAACGATATATAGTAGCATTTTGTTTTATTTACCAACTATATTCACAAAAAGGTATGGTCTTGTCCAAACGTAACGTTGTGACATTTTGACAAAGTATTTTTCGATTTTTTCGAAGACTATAAAAGTTACGGATCTCGTTCAAACGTTCATGGATGCAACTCGTTAAACTCTATCAATAATAAAAAATTCAAATGTTTTGGTTGAGTCCTTGTATTTCTGTGATCATTTTAGAGTCGCGTAACAGCGTGACGTAAAAGCATGAGAAATTTAGTGTTATGGTATTTATAGCAGATGAAAGTATTCGTTTTTTCTCTCAATGAATATTTCGATCTCACTGTTAACGATAATCAATATTCATCAAATATCATCTGTGATATCGAATAATTTTACAAATGATTTTAAATCTTTTAAAGAATTTCTACTTTCATATCTTAATGAGTTGATTCGACTGTAGTACAATCATATTTAAAATGATCGTATTCAAGTCTTTACTAAATATATTAATTCATTTACCTGATAAAATTCCATTATCATCAATATTTACAAGGATGAAGATCGTTCATAAAGGTGTTAAGAATGAAAGCGTGGATATTTTCATTGACATAGAACTTCATTTTCATATGAAAACGGATAGAACTCCTCTTGACAGTGATTGAGAAAGCATATGCATGTTGTCAAAGAAGCAATATTCATCCATTTAATAAATATCATATGTCGTTTTTTGAATAACGTCACATCTGCGTTTATTTTTGATCCATTTATGGTATTTTCTAGCTGAAATAAATATAAATCATAGAAAATTCGAGTCACAGTGACTTTTTGGCTCTTATAAATATATATGCTTATCGTCAACATCAAAGTACCGCAAATAATTTTCTCTCTGTTTGTCATTATCCCTCTATTAAATATATTACATTCGTGCACTGAAAAAAATAAGGTATTCTACCAAACCCATCAAAAAGGTTTCGTAGGTGTCCAAAGCTTCCAAATGTGTCGACAAGTTAAAAAAAATGGTTTTAAAAAATCTACGAAACCAAAAAGGATCGGTCGGCGGGCACACGCTCCGAACCATCGTCTCGAAACCATTTAAAGTGTCGCACGGTTCCAATAAAGGTTCGCCAGAAAATACGGAACCTTAAG